TTCAATGAGATTGACTGTCCTAGCCTTTTGCAAAAGTTAAATTTTAATGTCCCCCGTAAGTCGATTAGATTTAATCCACCCATTTCTATTCCAATTTCTTCCTCAATCTATAGAAAAAATTCATATATTGTGCGAGCGAGCGGAGATTTCAATAAATTGTGCAAGGAATACTCTCTTGATCCCTTTAATACCAAAAGCAATGTTGTGCGCGGTATGCTAAACCTTAAATTTTTTAGATCGTAACATTTTTAGATCGATTATTATTTATTGTATAGTTGTATAGGTGTAGTGTCGTATTAGTTAGTGCTCCAGAACCTCTGTTATTTACAATGATTCTATTCGTGAAAACCTGTAATTGGCTTGATGTAGCATATCAATCTGACCATTTCATTTTTGTAGCTGTTGGTTTTCCTAACTGAAATAAAAAAAAAAAAAAAAAAAAAATCATAATACAGGTAATCGACAAACTTTTTGAGCGTCTAAATAAAGATAATATAAAAATTATTATATTCATTTTAATAAATATCGTAGCTATAAATATAAAATTAAGTTAAATGATGATAGATGAAGACATAAACTGGAAAATATGTTTAGCATGTGTTAAAATAAATATTCTTGTCTACGCTATCAAACATATTAAAAAATAAATAAATATGGATACAGCCATTATATCATACTTCTGTACTTCACTAGGGGTTCATTATGACTATATACTAGTAGTGTATATTAAAGTGTAAATATTTCATCTATTTATACGTTACCATCTTCAAATACCATGTTTTAATGCAAATTGAACCTTTTCTTTATGGATTACCCTAGCAGATTCCTTACAACCTTACAGTTTTATATATTATTAATTTGTAGGTTTATGTATGTGTGTAACTATGTAAGTATTTACGTATGTATATGTATTTGGTACGTATGTATGAATATATATTTATCGCATTGTTTCTGTCTAACTTATCAATAATTTCCTTTTACTTTACAAATCAATGTCTAGTGCACCTAGTCACACATTTCAGCACCACTCTAAGGTAGTCTGGAAGAAAATGCCTGTAGCATTAAGTCCGCTCTTGTACAACTCATACTTGTGCATAATGAATTAAAAAAAAAAAAAAAAAAAACATGAAAGTTAGTTTGTTTCTCTGTCACAGTCAGATCTTTAAATTTAGTAAATACGTTAACAGGATATACAAAAGGATTATCATCATCAATCAATTATCATCAAAAGAAAGAATCATTTAGTAAGAGTCCCATGTCATTACATAGAAATTCCCCGTATATTTTTAAGTACCTGTGTAAATTAAAATGATTAAAAGTAAGGATTATTCTATCAGATAAATTGATTAATAAATAATAAAATGTTTATGACGCCAGGTGTAGCATCAAGCTTTAATCAGAACATGTAAAATGGAGGTCGATGTGAGAATAGTGACTGCTGCACTGGTGCTTCTTGCAGCAGCCAATGTTGCCTCGGCGCAAGGTACGTACACTCCAACCACTCAACTTATGGCGCGTAGATGGTAGACACATGAGACATATTATTACGTAAAGAGAACTCTACGTGGACCCCTGAGGAATGTGGCATTTGAAGTATTACAAACCACAGTTCTTTAGAGAAAACGTAAAGATGTGCACAGAGCTATATTTTAACAAACGATATGTTACATTTTTTTTTTTTATTTTTTTTTTTAAATACAACTCCCGCACTAGGAATAAATCCTGTGTCGCGGGGGACTTTACAAACATATATGAAACGGACACAAAGTACATCCAGACTCAGAACAACAATTTGTGGATCACACAAAGTGTTATCCCATGTGGGGTTTGAACCCACAACACTCGGCGCAATAGAAAGCGGCGTGGCGACCGCTTAAACCACTACGCCATCCGTGCAGTCAAAATTTATTATTGATATTGTTATATATTATTGATATTGTTACTTATGAGGTGCAACCCTCAGTCCCGGAGAGCTCAAGGACCTCTGGAAGCCATGCTCCCCAGCCAGTAGTAGAGTATCATCGCGGAGATAAACCCCGACGATGTCCCGCAAGGGGCAACTGGTAATACACCAGTGCCTCCCCAATCGCCCACCACGGGAGAGATTTAAAGGCGTTGATCGTCTCGACCCATTTGCTTAACTGTTTTCTGAGAGGCCGTGGTTTTACTCCGCATTGCTCTCCTATAGAGAGTATCGATAATACATGGCGTTCTATTTTAGATTGATTTCGCCTAAGTCACACATATTTTTTTATAATTTCAGACCGCTGCAGTTTTATGACTAATGTACCGAGACCACCAAGGCCAGAATTCCCAGTGGAAGATTCTACAGGTAAGGCTGTTTTATTAGCATCATTGACAATGACATTTTTCATCGTCATCATAATCATTTAATTTGTTTAAATAATGGACACGACTCTCGCATAAGAAGTCCTTAATCTAAGACAGATTTTATATTTTGAATGAGAATGTCAAAGATTTATAAAGTTGCAGTTTTTTCAGAATGAAGTCCATTTTTGTCCATTGTCATCATTGATAAGGAAAATGTGGCGAGGAAAGTATTAGGTATGGGAGTTGAAGGGTACAAGAGAAGAGGAAGACCAAAAAAAAAGTTGATGGACGGTGTAAGAGATGATATGGCTAGCGAGTTAACGGTGAAATGTAGAATGATAGAGTAGAATGAAAGAATAGAACATACTGCGCCGAACCCAGATAAAATTGTATTATTGTACGCAGGGGATGATTTATAACTTTGTTTCATTTTATTCACTAAACGAGATTAACCGTAAGTATATCGCTTTAGATGGTTTATACATGAAATATTAATGATTTCACAGGAACGACATGGAGTCAGCAGCCCTTCATTCCGGCATTTGACAGAGATGAAGTGTGTGTAAGTGAGTTTAGAGGAATAATTCAGACCATTTACATGGAGGAAGAGATTGTGGGGGATGTGGTACTCGCCAGACTTAACTATCGTGGTAAGTAAATATTATACAATGGATTAAACTTAGCATCTGAAAGCATTAGATGCAATTATCATTTTCTTGTTTCATAGCTTTATAAAGCAAATTTACTTTTGTGTAAGTATTAATTAGCATCCTTTCACAGACTTTTAATGCTGATCTTATTAAATAATTTAAGTTATAGGTTTTTAGTTAAGATAAAAGAGGAATCTTGAAAAACTAACAACCGTTTTCGTCTAACTAACTACAAACACACGAGGAATATTATATGTTTCTCTTGCAGGACCGGAAGTGCCAATGATACCAGGATCCTTTCTGATTGGAACGTTTAGCCTGCTAGGTCCAGTTTTCAGAAGGATACCTGAGAATGGGGGAGATTGGCACCTCGTAATTACTGAAAGGTAAAATAAATGATTGATAACTGCTCTGACTACAAATTCACTTGGCTTTCTTACTTTAGCTTAAAATGCTTATTTATTTGGTTTTTTTTTCAAGGCAAGACTTTGAGACTCCTGGTATGCAGCACTATTCGTTCTCTGTGCGAATAGACGGAGAAGCAATGGAGCCATTTGTGGCGGTTACAATCGTCAATATAGACGACAATGCGCCGATAATAGAAGTCTTCGATCCTTGCCAAATACCTGTAAGTTGTTACTTATTAACTTATTTAATTTAATATGATTAATGAAGGTAGAAATATAAAGCGAGGTCAACCCCGATCGATCGGACGCCATATTGGAACGAAGTTCCTTATCGCGCGTTGTGAAAGGGGGCTAGACGGAAAAAATTCTTACGAAAATTGGTCACGACACTTTTAATATAAATTGACGTCTAACTGTGGATACCATACATTAAATTTGCTTAAACGTTCGCCAACGTCCATACCATGTTGAATTTTTCACCGGTTCTCGTCCGATCACCGAAGTTAAGCAACATCGGGCGTGGTTAGTACTTGGATGGGTGACCGCCTGGGAATACCACGTGATGTTGGCTTTTTGCTCTTTATTTTCGTGTCATCTTGTCAGACTTTCAGCGCCATCTATCGAATAGATAGGAAATAATTTCGCAAGGAGATTTTACTAATATATAAAATTTTTTAATTGTTTTTAATATGTAGGTAATAGCCGCTTTCATAGATGGCGTTGTAATTAAAATTGTGTCAAATCAGTTTTACTCGATCGTCACAACTTCGTTCCTATCGGGTGTCCCACGACACCACACGGCTTTTTTTTGGTTTGTGTTTCGCCTGAGAGCCGAAACTGAAGAGGTATCAAGCTGTGGCGGCGTGCTGTTGGCGATGTTTAACGACACCGCCAACATATTCAATAAAGGACATTTGCTATCAAGAAAAAGCTGTAATACTACTAAGAGCACACGATCTGAATGTAATAATAAAATAATAGCGTGGCTTCATTTACGGGGACCAAAATAAAGACTTTATTAGCCGGCCTGTTGCGTGCGGTATTCCACGGGGGCCTTGTTCTTAGGCTATTGCTAACACATGCGATACGACTTTGAATCTTACGCCGACAATAGCAAACCTTTTTGGCAACCCAGGAGATGTACAACAGGAGGATCAAGGAGGAGTCAAGGAGGTGAACAGGTCATGTGCCCTGGTGGCCCTGGGTACGATGTAGGCCGTTTTATTCCATGGGCCCTGTCGTGGCGCTTTGAAGAATTAATGTAGCTTTCTCTAAACTTTTATTTGTGTGTATGTGTATGTGTGTGTGTGTGTGTGTATGTGTGTGTGTGTGTGTGTGTGTGTGTGTGTGTAGGAGTATTTAATCGAAAAGTCTGGCGAAAAGTGGCACACTTAAATTATGGTTAGTCATGAGACAATCACCTGCCTCTAATTCCTGAATCAGTTTAGAATAGCGTAACCTTTTAAACAACCCCATCCCTTTCCCGTTCGAAGCTAATCGGAACTCAATTTTCGTCTTGCCCGGCTTATATTTTTGAAACGCGTTCATATTATTATATATTACAAACGCAGTGTAAATAATTTTTGATTTTATTGATCATTCAATAATTCATTTTCAAGAATATCTTTTTTGGCCTACGTTTTTAGTTTAAAGAAAATTAATTTCACCAGGAAACAGCAGAACCGGGTCCAACTAACTGTACATACACTGTGACCGACGCAGATGGATATATAAGCACGAATTTCATGACCTTTACACTTGATAGTGAACGCAACGATAACGAGATCTTCCAGATTGATCAAGAGACTAGCACCAATCAGTTTCGGATGTACATGAAGTTAAGACTCAAGAGTACCCTGGATTTTGCAAACAATGCACTTCACATCTTCAGAGTAACAGCATTTGTAAGTACCTACTAATTTTAACATATTTCCCTATGTAACAAAAAGCTGACTAACTTATAAATATTTAAACTCCCTGTTTGTACCGACTTCAAACTTATTAGAAAATACCTATACCTTATTGTGTAATAAAATTATAAGTGTCACACTTTTCAATTAAGTTTGTTTTTCTTTATTTTTTAGTAACCTTAGTATTCATTAGTAACATTATTATTTTTCAAGTCGGTTCACCTTTTTTTAAGTGTTTTTGTTAGTTTTCTATGAGGTACGTACTTACTAATTAGATTCGGTATTTAAATCAGTACTTACAGTTATATGTGTAACCGAACTGTAGTACGTTTGATTATATTAACTTTAATAGGTCCAATCATTTATTTAATAAAGCTCTTTATGGATACTAGATAGTAAATTTATTTAGCAAGATTTTGAGTTTATCCAGCAACTTGCTCCATTTGATTAATAACGTGTGGGTATTAATCGTGCACCTAGGGTTCCGAATAAACCTGTATTATAGATAGTTCATCCATCACAAGAATCGATTCTTGAAGATTATTGGCTGTTTTTTCTGAAAGACAAATTTAATTTGTAAACTCGTACCTATATCAGAGTCAATTTTATTTCCTTTTCTTCTTTTGGATTTTTTCATTTATTGGTGCAATGACACCTTGCTTTTAGGCTAATGGAAAGTACTTTGTAGGTTTTAATTTATCTGCAAAGTGTTAAAATCAGTCACATTTAAGCCTTAAATGCCCGCGTATATTTTTGCCGACTAAGGGAGCAAACGATGTAGGACAACAGCACTGAAAAGAGGAGGAAAACTTGACACAAACAATATGCATATCCGTCTAGCCAACGTGCTATAGTAGGCATATAAACCTACTTTCTAAGGAGAGGCCTATGTAAAGCAGTGGACTATTATAGGCTGTTGATGTAATGATGTGTGATGATATTTTGATTATGTTGAATAAGAAGCCTGATTTTGTGCAGATTTCGATAAGAATTTGATGTTTTTTTCAACTTTTGTACCTACTTATGCACGTAGCAGCAAAACTTTTGAACAAGGTAAGTAACGAATTGCATTATACCGACCAATTAGTAGACAACGATGATTTTCCACTAGGCACACCTATTAAGGTAATTATACTTTACCTATTAAGGTAATACAATGTGTAGTCCTCAAAGGTCTTTAAAAAAGAACCTCTTATGTTTACTTCCTTATTTATTTATTTTTACCAGGACTCTCTTCCAAACAATCACACGGTAACAATTATGGTACAAGTGCAAAACATAGAGTCAAGGCCACCGCGATGGGTAGAAATATTCGCAATGCAACAGTTCGATGAAAAGCAAGCAATGAATTTTACTGTCAGGGCTTTGGATGGCGATACGGGTATTGATAGGCCTATATTTTATCGAATTGAAACGGCGCCGGAAGGTAAGAAGTAATGAGATTGTCAACATATATATTGATAATTTATTACATTTATTGCAAGGGTAACTACTCCAATCACTGAAGATTTAAATGCAAATTTCCAGATCGATTCTTCAGCATTGAAACATTCGAAGGTGGTCGCAATGGTTCGATGTTATTCATCGACCCCATAGACAGAGATACTCTCGAAAGAGAAGTGTTCCAGTTCGCTTTAATCGCTTTCAAAAATGATGACTACGGTAATGAAGCATTTTCGACAAGTAACAACATTCTAATCATAGTTAACGATATCAACGACCAGAAACCAGAGCCGTTTCAAGCTGAGTACAACATAAGTATCATGGAAGAGACAGCTTTAACGCTAAACCTACAAAACTTTGGGTTTCATGATCGCGATCTGGTGAGTAACATCCATTCAGCAGTAAGGATATTCAATTTTTGTATTAATTTTTCCATTGATGGCTAGACTTTTTTATTACGCATGCAAATACAGAGCGAATAACGACGATGTGTTTTTATTTGATAAAACATACAATGAAAAATGCTTCGATTCTCTCCGGTCACTTATTTCAAGTTACCTCATAAACATAAACTTGAGGGTAACTTCTACCTAGCAGGCCGCGCCCTAATACTCAATGTTGAAAAGTTGTTGAATGTGAATTATGCCGATTAGAGAAAATCAGAGCTAGAAATTTCATTGCGCGATGCAGATGAAACCTGTAAGCTCGATATGTTTTCATTGGATGGTATTGCAGTATGTTTTTCGTCGTATTTCGAAAGCCGCCGTTTTTTGTTTTTTTTTTTAAAGACAACTCCCGCTTAGGAATGTTTTCTGTGTCGCGGGGGACTTTACAAATATACATGAAACGGACACAAAGAACACCCAGACTCAGAACAACAATTTGTAGATCACACAAAGTGTCGTCCCATGTGGGGTTTGAACCCACAACGCTCGGCGCAGTAGGAAGCGGCGTGGCGACCGCTTAAACCACTACGCCATCCGTGCAGTCAATTACGAAAGAATAAAATTATCAATTGTGTGACTAAAAGGCCACAACTCAGCCTAAAAGTGACCACACCGCTGATTTTCAGTTGAAGCCCATAGGTACCTCACGGACGTGTGCACGGTTTTAATACTATAAACATACATGTGATAATTACATACATACATTACATACATACATACATACCATAACATACATCCGGTTAATATAATAAAAACATCACGTTAAACAACATGTATGGCGTTAGATTGTTCGTTCAAGCCGTTCGAGCCCGAAGAGAGAGGCACAATCGTATAAAAAACCTATATTTTGCTAGTCTCTCTAGTAATTTAGGCCCACTTACATAATAACGGGCAACTATAACCGTCAACTGATCACTCTTGTAATTTTATATGGGCAAATTAATTTCCAATATGTGGTGTGAAATGTGAAAATTATATGAAAAGTGAGTGCTTTCTTCAAGGGTGATCATGCTGTATACACAGTGGAAATATTAGCCGATAGTCCATCGGGTGCCGAAGCAGGTTTCCAAATCTCACCATCGACTGGATACCAGCGCCAAAACTTTATTTTGACAACCTTGAACCACAACCTGCTTGATTTCGAAGTGATAGCCTTCCAAAATATTACATTAAGGGTTTGTAAAACATTGATATCTATTTAGCAAATGTTGTAGCTTTAGTCTTTTATCTTTAGTCAAAGTGTCACGTAAATATTAAATGTGAAAGTGAGTAATATTAAACTTGTAACAACAAATTAACTCCTGGACCGATCATCGTGAAATTTTGAGGAGGCCATAAGCGCAGGCCTGAGGGTGACAGATGAGGCCATCTGTCACTCTAGCAGAAGCAGGCCGGGGTGGGTAATGGCGCGACGCCCTTCGGAGCAAGAGGGGAACATCCAGGTTCCCACAACGGAGGGGTCATCTACAAGCCGTAGATGGCCTAAGGTAAGTCGGGGTACCAGGGCTTTCCTTTCTAGGGTATACCTGGTTCCCCCGTTACTGGAACCTGGAGACGGCGTGCGGTTTTTGGTCGGTTCGGGTCCGACGTAATCACCCATTGGTGGGTGGTATCCGATGGGAGTTCCGCACAGAAAAAAAAAAGGAGGACCAAGATTTCATGCAGAATAAAAGTTTAATTCTCGAGAAATAGACAACTATCAAAAAGGCAGACAGGGTAGTTGCTTAGCTTGACAAAATGTACATTACCGCAAACAAAAGCTAATTTATACGTTACTGCATTACTACACATTTGTTTTTTGTAACTTTTATCCCAACGATGTGATGTAGTAAAATGGTTTTCACCAGATACTTACTCAGTTTTGTTTAATTTGCTTAAATATTAGGTATCATTAGCAAACCATTAGAAAGATTAGATATTTTTAAAATACATTATTTTTTTTGTATAGATAGTTGCAACAGATCAAAACAACACAGAGTTCGTACGAGAGGCAATTATGAATATAAACCTTATCAACTGGAACGATGAGCAGCCAATCTTCTACGAGAACATACAGACAGTTACGTTTAAAGAGACAGTTGGTAGAGGACACTTCGTAGCCAATGTCACCGCCACCGACAGAGACATCGACGACCAAGTCGTGTGAGTATCGCAGAGCAACAAACGGTTACAATATTGCTCCTCCAGTGGAATAAGGAGTAGTAAGGAGATAAAGTGAATGTGAGTGAAAGTTTTAAGCCGAATAACGCATGCCTCAACATGATTTCGAACTTAAATCTCAGTACTTCGATATTTTATCTTAGTTATGCTTTGAGATTAATTTCAAAATGGTGGTTTATATACAGGCCTGTTCGAATAGTTGTTGGTACTATAACAGGACACCTAGCCCTGAACCGATACCTATTCATCATCACTGCGACGGACAGCCCTCTGTGCGGGGGATGTCTGGAAGCAGAAGAAACGGCCGCCCAATAGTCCTGGAATGCGAGGGAGTGGCCACACAACGGGCAAGTATCATTCCTGAGACAAAATGACTCCTAGAAGCCTGTGAACGCCCCAGGAGGCTTCTGCGCTTCTGGAAGGAGCTTGGTTGGCTCACCTAGCTAACCAATCCTCGACGCATAAAGGACCACTCTTGAGTCTAAATGCGGAAACCGAAGCCCACAACCAATACCAATACAGGCCTGTTCAGCCCGAAAGAAATAGTTTACCATTATTATTTACATCTTTCCCACTGAAAAAGCTTTCACACGTTTTACGAATATGTAGGTTTTTGATAGTCCGACCTTCAAATACTGATAAGAATGAACGTAAACTCCTGCATTTCCTTTCAGCCACGAACTGCTGGGCAATGCTGGCAACTTCTTGTGGATCGACCCAGACAATGGTTCCGTCTACGTGTCAGTTGATAACGCATTTGACTATCATAGGCAAAGCGAACTGTTTATACAGGTAAGAGGCGTAAGAGCAATAAAGGTTACATATTTATAGATATTGATGTACCTAATAAAATAGTTGGATAGATGATTGTGACAAATAGTTGGATGAAAATCCAACTATTTTGTGCTGCACTGAAGTGAACAATTAGGAAATTAATCGAAAATAAACACAGAGATATAAAGTCAGGGTCAGGATGGGATTAGGGATGTTTGCCGAGGCTTGTGTGGACCGTTTTCAAACCACGATGCGTAAAAGATGTGCACCCCTGGTGCGCCCCAACAATATTTTACGCTGCATTCCTAGCAGGCTCGACTGTGTGTTGAATTTGTGGTTGGCATTCCTATACATACGTTATAATAGGTATAAATTAATATAGCTTGTAAGATAATTTATTGTTACTAACCAAATGAGTCAAATGTTACGCCAATAAATTAATTATTTATTATTTAAGTGATCTGGTTGCAGGTACAAGCTATGGACACCCTGGGCGACGGACCGTATCACACAGCCACCTCGCAGCTCGTTATTCAGCTCATAGATGTCAATAACACACCGCCCAGTCTTAGATTGGTGAGCCTTAGCCTCCTTAGACATTCGACTTATTTTAACGTAAATAGGATCATGTTTAATGTTCTGTATTTCTCACACATTTTCTTGGAACTAGTTCTGCGCTGGGCTTAAACTAGAATTGTATATCATTTCATCACCTAACTTTCTTTGGACGGTTAAACAGAACCGTGGTCACCACGACAGTGCACAGTACAAGAGGTTATTCTCTCTCGATAAGCTTTGATTGCTCCATAATAATTCGTAAAACATTTAGTATACAAAGTAACAATTGTATTAGTATTTAAAGAATATAATATTTTATAGCCTCGGGGTCGTCCTGAAGTAGAGGAAAACGTTCCAGAAGGTTTTCCTATTGAGGTGGAGGTTGTAGAAGGTATGCCTGCTCAAGTAATCACCGCTACCGACCCAGACACAGATGCTGAACTTGTCTTCGAGATAGATTGGCAATCATCGTATGCCACAAAACAGGGACGGGACACCCCAGCATCAGAGTTCCACAAGTGAGTAGATATTGTTAAATGTTTTTTTTTAATATTCCAACAAGCACGCAATACTTATTCTAAACTCTCGACCAAAGTGCTCTGACCATTATTAGTTTAAAACTTTACTTCAACTAAATGTACATTATTTATTCCAAATACTATCTACGAGTACTACTATTATTACTAGTACTACAAGTACTGTCCGTATGGTGACGGATTAAGAATACGGAGTGTCGCCATCCGTATTAATTTCGTGGATGTCTTAAGAGCCGACTAAGAGAGTAAACTACGCAAGAAGGAAAACTTAAAACAAACCTTATGCCAACCCGTCTGGTCAGCGTGGTATAGTAGGCCAAAACTTTTTTTATAAGGAGAGGCCTATGTCCAGCAGTGGACTGCTAGAGGTTGTCTATGATGATTATTATTACTAGATGAAGTAGCACAATACCAGCGCTGCTTCTTAAGAACTAATACAATATTGAACTTAATCAATCATCATCATCAACAACCATTTATTAGTCCACTGCTGGACTTAGGCCTCTCCTTAGAAAGAAGGTTGAGCTTGAGATTTTTTTATGTTCAAACAGAGGTATACACTTATAGGATACACGGTATTTGTTGTTTGCCTCTGTGTAAGTACAAAATAAATATGTTTCCTTTTTTCTTTCCTTATTCTTGTACACAAATTTTAGATAGAAGAGAAATGCATTAGTCAAGTACAGGATCACTCTCTGAAGTGCATGATCCTGATGTTTTGAGTGTGGGTGTCTTTGTATTTCCTCCAATCACATTTTCATCAAATTGATAATTATAAATTTCCTCATCGACAGCTGCATAGAGATACAAACGGTATATCCATACCCCGAAGATACACGTACAGCCCAGGGTAAGCTGTTTGTGAAGGAGATCAGACCGGGTGTCACCATCGACTTTGAGGAATTTGAGATACTCTACATCACAGTGCGAGTTATCGACCTCAAAACTGAAATAGGATTAAACTATGATGAAGGTAAGCATGTCTACATAATAACACGGGTCTCCTTATTTTTGAATATCTCTGGAAAGTAATCGGCAATGATTATTTTATTTAGAGCCCACCGTAGGCGCCTTCATGGCATTTGCTTCTTGCTAATTTTAGCAAACTAAAGACCTTGAGTTTGTGTTTATACGTGTTTCTTTAAAAGATTAATTAGGCAGTCTGAGTAGACAGTCAGCAAAGAGCTGCAAGGCACTACCATGGTATGGTAGCCACTTACCATCAGGTGAACTGTCCCAAAAACGAAAATGTTGCATTTTCTAGAAACGTTTACTTAGCATTATAAATTTTAAGAAAGTTGATGATGTTCCTCAGCTACGTTCACGATAATCATAATTGACATGAACGACAACAAGCCTCTGTGGGTGGACGGAACCCTCGCTCAGGAGTTCAGAGTTCGCGAGAGGTCGGACACGGGTGTCGTCATCGGCTCAGTGCTGGCCACGGACATCGATGGGCCTCTCTACAACCAAGTGCGATACACGATGTTGTAAGTATGCCTGTATATTAATTTAGCAAAGTTTGTATTTATGTCCAATAGATGTCTGCTTCTGGATCGTAAAACGGTTTGACTATATTACCCACAACCTAGATAGATGACGTCGTGTCGCCATTTCGAATCGCACTAGTAATGCCAAATATAAGATCTGACATTTTTGGTAGGTAGTCAATTAACAGTGAATGATGTCATCAAGCGTTAAAATCTGTTAAATCGTTAATCTGTTACATTTTACTAATGTTTACAGCTGTAGGTTTTCAGTGTATTGAAATAAATAAATTAATAAAATGTCAACTTTACAATTTATACTTGCATACATTTTATTTATTTTGTTTTGTTGTTTGTAGTTGAACAGTGTCCTTCTTTATTTTCCTTTTTATTCTTTTATGACGTAACAATATTCTTGAAAAACATACCAAAACTACAATTCAACGTCAAAAGTCGCGGACTTCGTCTTCGTCGAGTTGGACCCTGTGGATACTACGACATTTTTAGGTATAACACTACATTGTAAGCTACAGTGGGGCCCACATATTAATAAATTATCAAGTAGACTCAGCTCAGCAGCGTACGCAGTAAGAAAAATTCGAGAGTTGACTGATGTTGATACAGCACGACTTGTCTACTTCAGTTATTTTCACATCATAATGTCGTACGGCATTCTACTGTGGGGGAATGCTGTCGACATTCAAACTATTTTGGTACTGCAAAAGAGAGTGATTCAAGCACTTTATAATTTAGGCAATTGTTTTTTATTGAGGCAGAAATTTAAAGAAATAAACATAATGTCAGTGGCATGTCAATATATGCTAGACTATATGAAAATGTAATATATGTTCATAAAAACAAGGATAGTTGAAAAAAAGTGATGTCGCTATGATGTAGACAGAGATTGTTGCCATTGTGTGTGTGTTGATCTACAACTTTAGGGTCTACATAAAAGACGATTTCAAACAATTAAAAAAAATATAAGAAATAAAGATATTTTGAATTAGAATTTTTTTATTGCGTACGTGTAATAAAAAAATAATTAAAAAAAAATGATTTAAGATGTGTTTTTTTCACTTTACTGTAATTTTCATAGAAAACGCCTTGTTAAACAACAACAATGTAAATAAACACAGAGCGGGAGTAACCAGCCACCATGATTTATTATCATGGTGCCGGTTATTCCCGCTTTGTGTTTTTTTGTATTGGTCAGGATGTTTCTGAGTCTTTATAAAAAATATAATAATAATATTCGGACATCTGACACACAACGCCATCTAGTTTCAAAGCAGAGCTTGTACTATGAAAGCTAGATTGACTGATAGAATACTTATATACTTTTTTTTGTAAATACATACATATTATACATAAAAAGATAATAAAGTATGATTATCTACGTTCTAGGGTCAGTTTTTGATAAATTTGACTTAAGATAAATAACTACCGCGCCTTTGGATATTTGCAAGTTAAGTCACAAATACGTTGCAGCCCCTTATATCCCCCCAGAATCCAAAATCATGAGGGAGGTTTGTAACATGTCTCTAACACGATCAAATTTGGATGAGAGCAGCATTTAACCTTTAATATTTTTTCATAATTCGCGGGTAGGGAAATCTTTCATGTATAATTAATCAAAATTAGGTAAACAGTTTAATCGTGAAAAATAATAGTCCTACAACGTTACTTTCAGATTTATAATATTAGAAATAAAGCACTATCTACTCTCAACAAGTACTGATTTCTTCTTCTTTTCCAGCCCGAGAGAAGAAACCCTCGAAGGTTTAGTCCAAATTGACTTTGACACGGGTCAGATCACGGTGAATACCACCAATAAAATCGACGCTGATGAACCTCCTACATACCATTTGTACTACACGCTGCGAGCCAGCGACGCGTGCTATGCTGAAGACATAGAGGACTGTCCGCCAGATAGGACCTCAAATTATAATGACGGAAATGTGAGCACAAAATACTGATTAAATAGTACATGTATACCTACTAGCTACCCAATACCAGGCTAATTGATGACACACATTATTACTAAAAATGCGTATGTTGCTTTATCTGTTACGGTTACACGCTTGGTCAACCGATCATCAGAAATTTTACAATAAACTAATACGATACCTTCCATCCCAGTTAAAGAAGTCCGAGGAATTTAAAAATAAAAGTTAATAGTATATATATATAATTGAACACAAATGATAGGCCAATTACATACTAAGTAACTACTCGTATGTAAAAGCTATCTATACAAATAAATAAAATTGGAGTGTCTGTTTGTAATATTAAAATAACCGCTTTTTACTAAATGCATATGTATGTTTACACGGACATGTGCCAAAATAACATTTTTTACAAATTTTTTCTGTTTGTCAGTCTGTCTGTTTGTTCTGGGTAATCTCTGGAACGGCTGGACCGATTTCGACGGGACTTTCACTGGCAGATAGCTGATGACATAAGGAGTAACTTAGGCTACTTTTTTTAGACGGCGTTGCCCGCGGTTATAACAACAAACGCGGGTAACACCGCGGGTCTCACCTAGTCTATAATAATATAAAGAGATAAAGTTTGTGATTTTGTATGTTCGGGGTAATCTTCGGTACTACTGTTTCGATTTTGAAAATTCTTACACTGTTAGAAAGGTGTATTATCCCTGAGTGCTATTGATTACTTTGTCTGTTTGACGATCACTCGTCTGTATCTCTGTAGTATAAATATTGAACTGAAGACCCTAACCCGGCTATAATATTGAATATTTTACTACTATTTTCTGATTAATGGCTTTTATTATTGGTAATACCAAAATGGGAAGTAACTTTGCCGTCTTTGGGACGAATGCATTATATATGTTCTTGTTGTCAGATAACGATCAGCATAATTGACACCAACAACCAAGTGCCAAAGGTGGAGACAACCTTGTTCAATCAGACGGTGTACGTGTGGGAGAATGCTACCCAATTCGATGAGATAGCAGAAGTCATCGGCAGCGACATAGACAGAGACGGTAAGAATAGAATAAACTTCACTGTATACCAGTTTGTACAACATACATACAAGAGTACTTCCAATTAATGACTTAATAGTCAGGACTGAAACTATGGAAAACCATAGCACAATGCTCGATGGCCTAAGTAGGGTCTCTAAACGAGTGAGTCTTAAAATGAACATGGATAAAACGAATATTATGTCAAACGCCTCTGTCGCACCCACTCCAGCGAAAATCGGAGTTTTAATGACTACGTGTACCTTGGACAAACTATCCAGTAAGGTAAGTTCAGCTTCGAAAAGGAGTTCAATCGTCACATTCAGCTTGACTGGCAGCGTTTGGAAAGCTACGTAACATTTTCTCGATCTAAAAAGTCTTTGATCAGTGTGTGTTGCCAGTGATGACGTATAGAACAGAAACGTGATCGCTCACGATGGGCCTCATAAGAAGGCTCAAAGTCACCCAAAGAGTAATGGAGAGAAAAGAGAATCAGAAATGAGGAGATCCGAAGATGAAACAAGGTCACCTATACAAATGTAAGGCCGGTTTAAAACCAATTAAACCAATCTCTTTAAACCGAAAAAAAAAAGTTTAAAACCATTTTTTCAATTTAAGACGGTTGGTGTTGGTATTTTCTTAATTATAACTACACCTATAAACTGTGTAAAGATTTTTTATATGTGTGATATACTGATATTGATATACTTAGCGGATTTAGTTCTAGTTAGTCGGACCGATGAAGTGTAGGTATTACCTACCTAAGTTATAAAAACACTATTGACAAGTTAAAAACTCTGGCCTACTAAACCTTTACCTACCCAATCTTCAACTTCAGAGTTACTGTATGGTCAAGCTGTTACTGTATCATATATTGTTTTTTTCAGAGATGTATCACGAGGTCAGCTACCAAATCGACTACCGGGTCAATCCTCGTCTCCGAGCTTTCTTTGCAGTCAACTTGACAACTGGCATTGTGTATGTGGACTACACCACTCATGAAACTTTGGACAGAGATGGTGATGAGCCCACTCACACAATCTTCTTGATTCTCTCAGACAACTTTTTAGGACAAGGAGGTGAGTGAGTTCCTCGTAGGTACGTTTTTTTGGATTAAAGTTATTTACCACGAACAGTTGAGACTGGGCTGAAACATTTACTCTTTAAGACTCTGTGTGATTAGTAACAGGTGGTTCAAAGAAATTATTGTGTGTAACCCACTTTAGCTCGTTCTGTATGTTTTGCGCAACATGAAGACTGTTGCAGCTGCCGCGTTACATTCTACCAAGCCTATCAAGCACCTATTTGGCTTGGCACCGACTTCAAACAGATTAGAAGGGGCTATTGCTATTATAATGTTACCTGTTATATTGAGGGTACCTCTTTTAGTTTTTTTACTTACATTTGTAATAATTTTTTAATTTTTGTTGCTCTTTGTCAGTATTATTTGAAGTCGGTTCACTTGTTTTTAAATGATTTATTTTATCATTTTTAGTGATAATTATTTTAGTAATGAGTAGATAAGTACGATATTTAAAACACTACGTAATGTATCACAACACAAGGACTCATGAGAGTGATTCTGATAATACTGCCTACGAGTCTGCTGTATCCTCAGATGACGACAGTTTCGCTTCTTTAACTGAAACACTAGGTGAACGCCTACGTTCTACATTCAACTGCCAGTCCCAACACCTACTTAATGTATGTCACCTAATTGCACAGAGCCTACCCAGTCACTTGACCAAACTGTAGTATGTTAGATTATATTAAATATTGTTTAATAAATCCATTACTTTATTTAGATAGGTGAGTAAGATTTTACAATTGAACTCGAAAATATATTTCTTTCCATATTACCTAATTTTCTAAAACTAGTTACTATTTTCTAACTCCTGATAGTCAAGGATCCTTCCATCATCAACTCAGCAACATGACATAACGACTACTAAACGCAAATACCTACGAGTATAAAGATAGAGAAATAAGCTAAAACACGTTGTCGGGGCTATAAAATTTGAGGGTTTCTCTCGATTTCTCTAAGATTCCATCATCAGATCCTGATTTGGTGGTAATAAAAAGAATTTTGTAAATCGGTCTACAATTGTTATAAATTTCGCGTTTTAAAAAACCAATTTCAATTTGGTTCCAAAACGCACAAGACTGTCATGGCGTCTTGAATGACGTCACGCCGTGCGAAACAAACCAAAGAGCGATCGTGTCTTCGTACGTTATAGCTGGTTTTTATCGTTTAAAAATGAATTTCTCATATTATAAGTACTGTATAGTGCCCCAGTGTGATAGCACGACTATAAAAACGCCAAACAAGTTATTTATATATGTTCCAAACAATGGAAAAATACGGAAAAAGTGACTAAAACTTGCAAGAAGAGATGATGCTCATACTTTATCAACAGGTTCAAGAATGTATTTTTGTGAAGATCATTTTGATGTAAGTATTTCACACAATACAATCTATTACTTAACTCGAGCAAACTAGATGTGTTTTGTAGAATCCCTATTTTCTAAATAATAAATACATGAGTTCAGGTCAAATTGTTTCACTTTTAGGAGTGAACGTTTTATTTTAGTTTTCTAATTAATGTTACAAACATACTCTTTTTATTATTCTAGTTGCCAAATGATATGATTAATTATATGGAGTATCATAATGAAGGGAACAGAATCACAAGAGAGCATGAAACCAGGTTGTATGCCAAGTAAATTTGGATGTCAAGAAGACAGAAGAAAACGAACATGCAGCAGTACAGAACGGCCATATATTCTAAAAAAACAAAGAAAGATGATAATAGAAGAGTGTCTGAATGAATCAAAAGAAAGTTGTTCTCCAAGTGGTTAATTCTTTCAAATTATAATTATCAAAAACTGTATCAACTTGATATTAATTGTTAAAAACCAAAATTTTTATCAAGAACAGGTAGTGATACTCGAAACGTCAAAGACAAGATTGGAGTTTCGCACGGCGTGACGTAACGCTTTCTGATTGGTGTTCACTGTCACGTGACTAAAGGTTTCATTTTACGAAATTTATTTTTAAAAAATATTATTAATCTTTAACGCTTTTAATAATTAAAATTGTTTGTTATTTTCTCCATAATATAATTAATCATTATAAACCCCTATCCATTATATTTATTCTTAATGGACACAAGCCTATTGTCTGAGATATTGCGTAGCAAACATACAAAAAAAAATACAGACGAATTGATAACCTCCTCTTTTGTGTTTTTGAAGTCGGTTAAAAAGAACAGAACAGTTCAGAAGTAGTCAAAAACGTATTTTGTCTCTAACGTTCTTTTCATCCGACTATGATTAAGACAATTTTTTTAAATTTTAATATAGGATATCTATGTATTTGGCGCTAAATGACTTTTAGCATTTGTTTTTCTACCTAGCCTACTTATCGAGTTTTTAATATTCTTTTACATTTAAACAAAAAGACTTGATCCGATGGTGGAACATTAAACATATTTACATTACATGTTAATATCTACAGTTGTATGTATCTAGTATTTTAACTCTGTTGTTGTCTGCCATTGACCGTTCCAGGTGGCAATAGGAACCAGAACACCACCGAAATATTGGTAGTGCTGTTGGACGTGAACGACAACGCGCCACAGCTTCCCTTGCCAAGTGAACTGTCGTGGACCATCTCCGAGAATACGAAAGCGGTAAGGACAAAATCGTTTCTCGCTATAACTTTGTCGTCATAATAAGTAATCTTGGTATTTCCCCCGTCTTCTCTATTCTTAAGTTAACAAGGTTTACATTTAAAACTCTACTATAAAACGAAATACTACGAGTACTACAAAGATCCTCAATTTTTTTTATTTTCATTAAAAATGGCGGTAATTTGGGATTATGTTATTCACAAAACTTTTTGCATCTAAAACTTTTCGAGAATTACATAATAGTATAGGATTCATAGTAGAATAAAGAAAATTATTCATCTAAAAAGGATGACTCACAAACACACTTACGCTCTTGGAATATTGATTTATTTATTACGATCTCCTACGAAAGATACACACAAGTAAAAAAACAATAATTGACTAAAGGGGTATAAAGTCGTTTTACTCCTTAACTTACAGGAGACCACAGCAAGCACAATGAAAATAAAAATAATAACATCAACCTAGCAAACAAAGTTACCAGCAATATAGAAAATTTAAAGTTTTAAAAGTAGCAAAAAATTGAAATTTAAAATTTTAATAAGTTACAAAAAAAATTGTTAAAATATAAAAAATACACAATTTAAATACAAAATAATTATAACGTTGAGGCTTACATTACATTCAATCTGTTAAGCATTTCTTATATTTAGACCACAAATTACCCCCTAAGGGGTAAGGGGTAATCTGTGATTTGGACAAACAGGCATATATCTAAATCAGTAGTTTTGACTAACATTTTATATCGCCTACAAAGTCTTGGCACAGCGGCGTAATGACCCAGGTTTGTATAAGAGCCAGGGAGGTAAAATAGGCTAAAAGTGTTACGCCTGGGGTTCCGAGTTGGAATTTGAATGGGTAATGAGCTCATAAACTCACTGCAATCTACTGCTCCGCTTAGAAGTGAAGGAAAATGAAGTCCAGCTTCTTCCTACGACTGGCTAAAGTATCCATATTATAGTGTTTCAACCTGTCAGTTTAGTTCGTAAGTTGCTTATAGTATTCGTTTTGTGTATACCTCGTAGTGTGGATTCCATACCACTAAATTATATTCTAAGATAGAGCGGACTAGTGTGTTGAAGAACTTTATTTTTGTAAGTGGGTTTTTAAATTATTTACGGTTTTGCAAAACAAAGCCCAGTGCTTTAAAGGCTTTAGAGACAACATTTAGAATATAGACATCATTATATATAATATATTAAACTTCAGCGCTTGGTCAAGTTGAACTCCAAGGTCATGTACACTTCCCTTGCTCTTAATTTCAATACCCTCTATTTAACGTTAGTTGTTGTCTAAAATTTTTTTATTGCTCTATATATTTTTCTATTACAAAACGGCAGGATAATATTTTCAACTTCTTTTTTGTGTCTTAGTATTTTTTTTGTTTGTGTATTTTCTTTTTTATTGTTGCCATTTTGTATGTACCCTTATGAATCTTGTGTTCGCAATAAAGTTTTATTATTATTTTATTATTATTATTACGCGTGAACTAAAGATAGACACTTAGTTTACACCAGTTCACAAGGCAGTCAATGTCTTCTTGAAGCATCTTAGAGTCCAAATTGGTTTGTATTGGCTTCATTATCTTTAAATCGTCAGCAAACAAGTAATACCGGCAGTGTTTGAAACATTAAGTTATGTCGTTTATAAAAACGTTAAAAAGAAGCGGACCCAAATGCGATCCTTGTGGAATTCTTGACGTTGCTAGAAAACTATGAGAGAAGTGACCGTTAATTACCACTTTTGACTCTCTGTTTAGGAATGTCAGGGAATCTATTGCATAAAGTCAATGAAGAGAATATTTTTTTTATATTTCAGGGTACGCGATTACCTGAATACATTTACGCGCCGGATAAAGATGAACCAGACACGGACAACTCCCGTGTTGGGTACGAAATACTAAACTTAAACATCCTCAACCGAGACATTGAAGTACCAGAACTATTTACCATGATACAGATACGAAACGTCACTGGTGAGCTGGAGACCGCCCAGGATTTAAAAGGCTATTGGGGCACTTACGCCATTCATATATTGGTAAGTAGCCCTCGATAGCATACAGGGTATCAAAGAAAAAGGTACGTCTTTCTGGAGATACCTATCAGGTCAAAAGAAATAATCACCAAAACTGGTCAATGTTTAAATAACACTACCAATAAATAAACAATAAAATTACTTCTACTTTTGCAATCTCTCCAATAAAAATTTGCGTCGTTCGATTAATTAAACCTTGAAAATTTTATGAAAATTAAAATAAAACATGGAATGATTTCGAACTGAGAATAATGACCTGACTTCAATATTTCGATTTGTAGCTGTATTTTACTAACTGTACTTATCTGCTCAGAATCGCATTCTCCTATATGTTGCACCACGAGTTTGATATATAAATGGCCCTGCTACTACTTTGTTAGACCATGAAGTAATACCTAAGAATAAATCTCCAAATTTTCACTAGTGAATATGAACGTTAGGATAGCAGAATACTTTGACTTATGAAATAGCTAACATAACTTATTTATTTATTATTAAATTCACCAACCACCATTATGTAATTTCAGGCCTTCGACCACGGAATCCCGCAGCAGTCCAGTAACGAAACATACGAGTTGGTCATCACTCCTTATAACTTCCACGACCCCGTGTTCGTTTTCCCGCAGCTAAACGATGTCATCAGAGTCGCTAGGGTAATTTCATTTTCATATGCCATTATTATATTTGGAAACCTCAATTTTTTTTTTATTGAGTATGAGTTCAGAAAAATATTGAACGCCTTGTGCAACTCTTGGAAAATAGAAATGTGTACTAGCCCTTTCCCGCTATTTACACGCATGTAAGGCAACGGCATACGCTCTTTCCACTTGAATCCCCTGACTCAATCCCCCAGGGATTAAACATAGAAGAAAAAGGAGATCGGAGTCAAATGTTAAGTACATTTGACTCCGATCTCTTTTTTTTCTGTGCGGCAATCCCCTCGGATTAGCCCTTTCCAGCGAAAAACAAAACATCTTCATCTTTGTCATATTTGTATGTTCTGGCTCTTTAAATGTAAAATGTTTCGCTGCTGAATTTTAAACTCTATTTCTTAACAGGAACAAATATCGGCAAATGGTGTTTTGATAACTGTTGGTAATGATGTCTTGGAACGCATCCATGCTACTGACGAGGACGGGCTGGAAGCTGGCGTCGTTACCTTCCAAATACAAGGTGACGGTACGTAGGCTTTAGATCACATTTACATACAATAAATATAGTAATATTATTTATTATATATCGGTATTATACAATCTGGGGACACAGAAGTACCCCCGCCGAGTTGAGCAAAAAAGCATAAAGACATTTTCTCGAAGAATTTCGGCCCATTTTAGACCCGCTGTATCGTCGTTGTGAAAAAATCTAAGTCTAAAATTTCAGTCATCAAGCCCCCTTTCTGATGAGAGGCCTAAGTATGTCCAGCAGTGGATAGGTACTTAATTTTGTCACTGACTGCTTCACCGACCATCAAGATTTCTAAGGTACTTCTAGCAGACTTTGTGCGTTTGCCAAGTTACTGTCTTCATTAAAGAAATAAAAAAATTAAATATTGAAATGGTTACTATGCAATGTTGTTTACTGGTTTACATTCGATTTCACAACTTTTTACGGCAGAAGAACTGTGTTGCGAGACTTACGCATTTTTGTACATGTCATGTTTTTGATGGGATCGCTTTTAGCGATAAGATCGCCTATTGCAGCACTAACATTTGATATAATAATAACAACTTCACACATCTGACACAAGACAGTCATTCAGTTTATTGTAATTTGATACAGTGTACATTTAATGTCGAAGACTGTTTCCTAATGCCCGAATGTGTGTCCCACAGCCGATGCGGAAGAATTCTTCGAGGTCAGGAACGACGGTGACAACTTCGGTACCCTCATTCTTCGGCAAACGTTCGAACAAAACATCAGGGAATTTACGGTATGTCTTTGATATTATTTAACCAGGGATTGAACAAATAAAAGGCAGCTTAAAAAGTAAAGAGGCCTTACAAGCATAGGTTTACTTGACATTGAGATATAAAACTGAGATAAAATAAAAATTATTATATTTTAAAAAACGAACTTTTAAACTAACACGTAAACTTTTTTATTAATAATTTTAAACCTCATTTCTAAGGAGAGACCTATCCTAAGGAGAGTCCAGCAGTTGACTGTTGTAGGCTGTGATGATGATGATAATATTCATTTATGAAGTAGGTATTAAAAGCGTCTTATTACACTTTTGCGATTATCCAGCCTGAGTTATACTGTGTAAGATTAAGTTTGGTATTTTAATAAGCCATCCCCTTTTACACAATTGAAGTGTGTTTGTTGTTTAATGTTCTTAAGCTTTTTTTTCGATGAAGTTAATTGCTAATCTTGGGCTCCATATTTAAACTTTCAACGTGACGAGACCAGGCTTTTTCCTACACTTAATGTTTGATGAATCACAGGTGACTATTCGAGCCACGGACGGCGGCACGGATCCTGGGCCGCGTCACACTGATCTCACATTTAAACTCGCGTTCGTGCCTACGCAGGGAGAACCCATTTTCATCGAGAACACTGCTACGGTCTTCTTCTTTGGTGAGTCTAAAACAAAAAGGCTTAGTAACATACACATCTTTATTCTTAACGGTATTTGCAAAGCCGTATAAATACACTAACATTTTTCTACTATAACTGCATATACTGTTGTCCGAAACCCTCCAACAGAAGGTCTATAATTCACAATCAGCACAAAACGTATCGACGCACGCGCAGCGGTAGCTAGCATACGTAAGTCAATATAAGACAATTTCATCAGTATATACGTAACATTATAAAGAATGAATTTATAGCGTAACATTTTGCACCATTAAATATACAAAAGGCAAATTAAATACGCGCGAGCAGCACAGGATCGGTTGTTGTGGGGAGCCATGGGGAAGGCCTATGTCCAGCAGTGGACATCTTTCGGAAAAAATGATGATGATGAAATTAAAATAGGCAGTCAGACTAGAGTGTTAAAATCTCACAGAACCCAATCAATCAATCAATCAACAGCTTATAATAGTCCAGTGCTGGACATAGGCCTCTCCTTAGAAAGGAGGTTCTATACTATATCACGCTGGCCAGACGGGTTGGTATAGGGTTTGTTTCAAGTATTCCTTCTCTTTGCAGTGCTGTTGTCTTGTAGTTTAGTCCCTTAGTCGGCTCTTACGACACCCACGGGATGATTAGGGGTGGTGACATTAAGTATTCTTAATCCGTCACCACACGGATAACCCACAGAACCCACATCACTACTAATTGAAATCCAAAGCAATCAAACCCACTGCAGGTATTTTTGAATTATCTGAAGTAGAAGTCGATCAGAACAAGTCAGTCCTAAAGTTAGTTGGCTGTTCCATAAAGTAGGAAAAGTACAGACAAGAAACTCCAAGACTTCTAAAGAAAGTAGAGCCATGTGACCAAGATCTTTAGGGAGTGTAGTGTGTGTGTGCTTCCCCTGTGGTAAAACTACACTACGTACTACGTACCTATACTCCGTGACCCATTTTTAACAATTTTTTGCTCCTGTCCCCCTCGGTAACCACCTGCAGTATGTGTCAAAAAACCCCGCCACCTCTTCCTTTCTAGTTTCACGCAATAGTTCGTAAATATGATATTAAATAATTTTTGGCCAACAGAAATTGAAAAAAAATCTCATATTCGTCTTTATTAATACAACAATTGCTATATTTGAATGGAGCTGGTAAAAGCGCTAGATTTTGACTACATTACGAAAACCCAAGCCCTCCTGATACCTCTGTAACCAAGTATTTACCTATATTGCGCTGTGCGCTTTTCAAGACTCTTTTTGCCTCGCACAACCAATCTGTGGAACAAGTTATCGTCTGCGGTATTCCCGGACCGATACGACCTTCAAACCTTCAAGAAAAGTCTGAAAAAGTCTGCTCGTCTGCCCCTTCTTCATTTGAACAAATTTTTTTAAAGACTCCCCTCACCCTTGAACTGGTCACGTAGTATAAGTACGTTTTCTAATACGTAAAATCAACCCTATAAAGGTGATGTCTCAGTAGAGCACAGAGTCCGCTTCTCAGTATAAAAGAGGTAAGGACACCATTCACTAAGCTAGGAAAAAGCTTTTTACATTGTTTTTATTTCATTCTTGTATAGAAGAGGAACGCGGTCTATCGGAGCAGTTTCCGCTGCCTCAAGCGACGGACCCCAAAAACCACCTGTGTGTTGACAACTGTCACAGTATTTACTACAGCATTGTTCGTAAGTATACTTTTGTGTTTTTTATTTATTTTGTGATGCTTTTAAATAAAGATGTATTTGAATAAACAAAAATAAGTTTGCTCACTATAAATAGAAAAAAATGAAGAGAGGCGACGTGACCGGTGGTAATTATTATTCTTATTAAATAGTTATTTATCTTTATATAAACTAAATATTCTAGCGGCATTTAAATCAAACTTTTATATTTTTAACAGAGTAGAAAAGCTTACCGAAATTTCGGTCATAATTTGATTTGTAGAGTATGTTCTAATGGTGGGGTGGGTAAGTCTTTACCCACTATGTTACAAATAATGATTTCATTAAAACATTTTATTTATTTCATTAAAATATTATGAAAACATTCATTCATGAAATAGTAATAATAAACGTTGTCTATATATTCAGCAAACATCAAACTCCAAGGTTAGCCGTAAAACTGGTGTCCGTATATACCATCGACATAGAGAATGGACTGAGCGTTCCGTATACAGCTGTGCAGTGACTATAGACTGAAGAGTACAAGAGAGATAAAGCGAATGTGCGGCCAGTAGTTGTCTCTTTCTTGTATTCTGATTGGTTCGCGTCACCGATATGTCCCTCCAAATTCTGAAAAAAAAAAACTGTCGGGCACTGTGCCTTTGTTATTGCAGTAAATTAAAGATGATGGTTGCTGAAAGCTAGATGAAGGTTTGGGTTTATAGATAGGTACACTCAATATTCCTACGATAAGATGATTCAAGAACTTGATGATATGTAGTATACTACCGTAATAAGTCCCACAGTCGCTTGGTCTCTATCTAGAGAGTGGCCCATTTTCTCAGCCCATTTTCTATGTCTATGGTATCTAAGTAACGTACGGCCAACTATTTACTAGTAATTGCCAGTTAACATAACTAACCTTTTTCCTCAGAGGGAAATGAAGGCGGACACTTTGCGGTGGAACCAACGACAAACGTCATATACCTGGTGAGGGAATTGGACCGCGACGAGAGCGAGACGCACACGGTGCTGGTAGCCGCTTCCAACTCGCCCAGCCTCATCAACGTGCTGCCCGCCAACACCCTTACCGTCACTGTCGTTGTAAGTTAACGATTAATATTAAATATTAACATCATGACGTCATGATGTTAATATTTATCGAAACTTCATGTAAAAGAAACGGGATCGTACGTAAGACGCAATTTACACATTTAATTAAATAAATGTTGGTTCCCATAATTTTTTTAATAGAATAAATTTAATTGTAACAATGCCATAGATTAATATGTAAATGAAGGACTCGTGGCTAAGTGGTAACCGGGTAGGTTAACAAATTGCAAAGTTAAGCAATCGTGGTCAGGTCAGTCTATGGATGGGTGACCATTCTTAACACATTGAGACCCCCTGTCGGTCCCGGTTGCCACAAGAACATCTGTTGCAATCGTTACAGGTACTTGTAGGCCTCAGAAGTCCGAAAACGGTCTTTCTAGAAGACTTCGATATCGCGTAGTACTTGGGTTGTGGAGGTCTGTTAGCAGTCGCTTCGCGTAAAAAATCAAAGTTCGGCTGTATCGTAGAAGTCTTAAAGCCGACCCCAACCTAATTTGGAAAAAAAGGCTCGGAGGAAAAACTATAGATAAATACAGTCTTATCGCTACAGGGTAATCTCTTGCCGATAACCGTTGGATGAACAGATCTACAATCGTACAACATTTAATGTCCTTAGAAGAAAAATAGAAAAGTTTAGAACACAGCACCATGGTATTAGCGCGATTAGTTTTATTTTTAGTGTAGGTATATTTCCAAATTTATTTAAAACTATCTGTACCCTGCCACGCTGCGTTTTGGCAAATTGTAGCTACATTGATAAATAAAGGGGGAACAAAACTAACGCGAAAAATAGATGAGGACAATCTTTGAAGCGGATTGTATATCGTGTTAAACTTTAAGCTCAATCTGTGTAGAACTTTTTGAGTTTTTGAAGAAACCGTTTCAAAGTTCTTATTTATATAGATTTAAACCTAGCATTTTTCTCCTAATTTATATAAAACTTTATTTTTTCTATAATTTATAGTTATCCTTGTAACTATTGTTATGTGAGAACTAAAAAAAATGTTTATATACCAGGTAAGGGAAGCCAACCCTCGGCCTATCTTCCAGAGCGAGATCTACACCGCTGGAATTTCAGCGACAGACGTCATTAACAGAACTCTTCTGACAGTACAGGTTCGTAGTAAAACACTATTTCATTACTTTATTTAATTTTAGATATACCTAGATCCATGCCTGTAAAAATCAGTAGATCCAAGTAAAATAATTAATCCTAACCAATGACGACATGACGAATGACTAACGTTATACGATAAATTATAAATGAGAAAGTTTGAATGAATATTTGTTACTTATTCACTTTAGACCGGCTAAATGAATCTTGAAGAAATTTTGCACAAAAATAGGTCTTCCTTCTGGGATAAAAACTAGCCTACATGGCCTAGGTCTCGGTCAAAAACTACTATACGATAAACGGTAATATAAATTAACATTTGAATGAATTGAATTATTATTAATATTTACACACCTAAAAGGGTAGTACAGCGGTCAAAAGGAGTTTCTAAGATCTTTGTATAAGCTGTATTACGCAAATAAACAGTTTGATTTCATTGGATTTTATTTGAAATGTACCTATTTTAGGGTCTACCCTTTATAGCAGAACTTTTATGTCATATTATTTTGCATAACAGCGGATAGCATAAACTTCATTTCGTAGAAATCGTTTGGCAGACACTCATTTATCATACACTAGCTGACCCGCGCAACTTCGTCTGCGTCTCTCAATAGTAATAAATTTTCTCCGTTTTTGAAACATTCTTCATTGGTGCTCCGCTCCTATTGCTCTTAGCGTGATGATATATAGCCTATAGCCTTCCTCGATAAATGGGCTATCTAACACTGAAAGAATTTTTCAAATCGGACCAGTAGTTCCTGAGATTAGCGCGTTCAAACAAACAAACAAACAAACAAACAAACAAACTCTTCAGCTTTATAATATTAGTATAGATTTAAAACTCAACATTTTGTAAGTCATAATCATCTTTAGGCACTAATAATTAAAAAGTAGAACCATCATATCGCCGAAAGTTCATAGTCAGAATCGTCTTTGAGCATAAATTTCATATCGATAGTCATTAAATATAGCGTCCGTCCGAAAAATAAACAAACGGTTTAAGAATACAGAGTGTCACCACCCCTATTCATTCCGTGGGTGTCGTAAGAGCCGACTAAGGGAGCAAAGTACACAGAACAACAGCACTGCAAAGAGAATGAAAACTTGAAACAAATATAACAACTTGGTATAGTAGGCCAAACCCTTCTTTCTAAGGAGGCTTATGTCCAGCAGTGGACTATTATAGGCTGTTGATGATGATGAGTCATTAAAAGTCAGAAGACTACGTAGACTTGGTTTTGCAGCGATTCGTTTCTGTCACAAACTTTTGTAGCAAGACATTATGACTTTTAAGATAATAATTTAATTTAAGGTAAAAATGCTACTTTGAGGCAATATGCCTAATAAAATTATTCCAGATGTAATTCTACCAAATAATCGTCCATAGGCATCTATAGGCCAAAACCTCCTTTCTAAGGAGAGACCTATGTCCAGCAGTGGACTAGTAAAGACTCTTGATGATGATGATGAAACATGGTTTACTGTTGCATTAACATAAATCAATATGTAATGCCCTTTTTCTTACAATAATAGGTACCTAATATAGACGATAGGCTTAAACCCACATAGGCTATGGTGAAATCTGTCATGACAATAGATACACTAACCATCTGTATGTAGGAATCCAAGTTTTATAAAATACTAGCGATCAGGTGAAAATATCTCCACACTAAATTTCATTGAAATCAGTTGGGCGGTTAAATGGCGTAAAACGGATTGCGTTGGCGCGTTGGCGTAAAGCGGCGAGGTGACCGCTTAAACCACTAGGTTTAAGCGGTCACCTCGCCGCTTACTCCTGCGCTGAGTATTGTGGGTCCGATCCCCACACGGGACAACACTTTGTGTGATCACAAATTGTTGTTCTGAGTCTGGGTATTCTTTGTGTCCGTTTCCATGTATGTTAGTAAAGTCCCCCGCCACACAGGATAGATTCCTAGTGCGGGAGTCGTGTTTAAAAAAATATATATATATAAAATGGTTTCTCGATGACTCCCAAAGTTGGGGTTATGTTTGGAGTAACTTTCGCATTGATAATATTACTTAGTAAGGGATTATATTTATAATTTATTGAAAACAATTTGTATATCACCAGGCGTCTCATACTGAAGGAGCTTCAATAGTTTACACGATAGACTTTGCCACTATGATCGTGGATCCCACACTGGAAGCAGTACGGGCGATTGCCTTCGTGCTCAACCCCATCACTGGAGTACTCTCCCTGAACATACAGCCCACTGTTTTAATGCATGGAATGTTCCAGTTCGAAATCATAGCTACGGACCCAAGTAAGTTTAATTATTAAAATTATTTTCTAATTCCTTTTTTAAGAACGGATGCTATTTACTGTACAGGGATCACATATATGAAAAATTATTATAAACTGTATCCTTCATTCCCATTCATTAATTTATTTTACACATCATGCACTTTTGGTGCATTGACATACTTAACGCCTAAGGCATTCTCTACCAGTCAACCATTGGGTAATGCAGAAAAAACAGGAAGTAGGTGCATTTTGGTTGAAAATAGTAAACATTTATTCGTGTTTCTTTTTGTGCCGATGTGAATAATTTATTATTTAATAATCTTTCGGACATGTTATACACAACGCCATCTAGCTTCAAACTAAGCAGAGCTTGTACCTTCTATGAAAGCTATATTGACTGATAGAATACTTATTTCACATCACCAGCCTTTAATAATGCACTGCTGGACATAGGCCTCTCCTTAGAAAGGAGGTTTTGGCCTACTATACCACGCTGGCCAGACGGGTTGGTATAGGGTTTGTGTCAAGTTTTCCTTCGTTTTGCAGTGCTGGTGTCCTGCGTTGTTTTGCGCCCTTAGTCGGCTCATACGACACCCACGGGATGAATTGGGGTAGTGACATCCCGTATTCTTAATCCGTCACTACACGGACCACACTTACAAACTTGACAACAAATGGGACCAAACGGGAAAAAAAACCCTTTAAAAAAAGGACTTTTCAAATCGGATCATAAATGACGAAATACTCTGGTGAAATACATAAAAAATAACATATAACCGAAGTGAGAAGGCTTCGTTTTTTTAAGTCAGCTAAAAATAATTGTCCGTGCGGTGTCGTATTAAAAATACAAAAAAGCACCACCCCTATTCAACCAGTGGATGTCGTGGGAGCCGACTAACAGAGCAAACTACGCAGGACAACAGCACTGCAAAGAGAAGAAAGACTTGAAACAAACCCTATACCATCCCGTCTGGCCAGCGTGGTATGCTAGGCCAAAACCTATTTTCCAAGGAGATGCTTATGTCCAGCAGTGGACTATTATAGGCTGGTGATGTGGTGATGAAAAAGAATGAATAATGTTCCAAAGAACCCTTGGTGCAGTTATAATTCTTCACATATCTTACAACAATATATTATTAAGCATTATAATAAAGACCTAACTGTCCATGTTCTAAAGACGCGATTCCAACAACCCACAGATAGCAATCGCTTTCTTAGTGTACATTTTGTCTAGTCAGCTATTTAATATGTTGTTTTTTATCCAGCTGGCGCATACGACCGCGCCCAGGTCAAAATATACCTGATATCGTCACAAAACAGAGTGATCTTCAGTTTCAGAAACACCCTTGAACAAATTGAAGAGAACGCCAGTTTTGTAAGTATACGACGAAATGTTATTAAATAGGGTAGATTTATAGATTTAAAATAAATTATAATATAACATGTTAAAGTAGAGCCTCAATTATCCTCCATTATCATTTTAATCTTTTTATTGATTTAATATCTTGATATTTTTATTTATTTATTTATACTTCCTGCAAATACATTGCATAAGGCGGACTTAATGCCATAGGCATTTTCTTCCAGTCAACCTTGGGGTGATGCAGAGATTTGTGTGTGGCAGGTGTATAATGAGATAAATTATTTAAATTGTAGTCGGTTGCAAGATGTTATACTACACAGATATACGGGGATACATATATAGATGTAAATATAATTTATACGTACTGTATAATACTATAAATATAAAAAAAACATAAACATACACACATACATCCATACATATATGCCTGCATTGATGAACAGACGAGGGGTTATTTTGATATCAACAGGGGATATCAACATTAAATATAAATGATTTGACAATAGCTAAGTGTTACGTCACGAAATAGTATTTCATAAAAAATGTACCGCCTCTAGCGTTTAGACGGTAAAAAAAAGTTAATTTGACTTGACCGTCATCTACCCTACTATATAAAGCTTGAGAAAAATGAAAATAAAACGTTGCTTTTCACAGAGTGATTAAGGTTACCGGAGCCCAAAGCTCCTCCCTTTCGGGGAAATAAAAGGGGAGCCGCGGACTCTTGACTCTTGAGTTGCAGGTGTCAAGGGTGATGGTAGTCATTTACCACCAGGTCTTCTCGTTTACCCCTCTACCATAAAAAATACTCCGAATTTACCCTTCTTCTATTCGGGAAGTGCTAGTTTGCGGCAATAGCAATGCCCTCTAATGTTTAATAGGCTATCTACCCGCCACATCAGAGATGCAGGAATGAGTCCATATAGGTAATATGAAATAAAGCTGATTTACACCAATAGTGCTTTGTAATATCATTTACCAGTCTGGTAATCGTCAATATGGATATATAATACCGATTAGCTGACCCGCGCAACTTCCACTGCTTCTCTAAAACAAAATGCATAAGTTTTCCCCGTTTTCGTTCGTTTTGGTCATAGCATCATGCAATACGAGTCTAGCCAATATTCTGTCTCGATGAGGGCTATCTAACACTAAAATAATTTTTCAATGTAGCGACTCCCACATACAGGGAAACAGACACATACTACAGCGCCATCTAACAAAGACACACCGAACTACGGAGTAACTCCTGAATGAGAATTGCTAATCCTGTATCGAGATATGAAGAATTCTCTCGCCGATTAGCATATATACAACTTCCTACAACCTCGCCTGGTGGGAGGATCCTCCCTTTGAGTTGGAAGGATCTGAAACCCGTTCCTCCACACTCGTAGATTAATATCTTCACATATCTGAAAACCTGAACATCGAAACTAATTCGAAACCAATTCAAACCAGTAGTTCCTGAGGCTACCCACTACCTACAAACAAACTGTGCCTCTTTATAATCTTAATATCGATAACCACAGGCCAATTGCTGTTCTGGCAACTATTGCTAAAGTTTTTGAGCATATTCTAAATTTTATAATTTATACACTTATTTTTTTTGAACCGCATATGCTACCTTCATAAAACATCAACTAAGTCTTATATTTACCTGCAGATAGCGCAGACTTTCACGGCCGGTTTCCGCATGACGTGCAACATCGATCAAATAGTGCCGGCCACTGACGACGTTCTGGGCACCGTCATCGAGGGCCGCACCGAGGTGAGGGCGCACTTCATCAGGGACAACGTGCCTGTGCTCGCTGACGAGATTGAAAGGTGGGTAATATCTATCCACGATGTGCTTATAACAAAGCAAAGCGTATTACTTTCATTTTCCTGTCTAACGTATATCTATTACTGTTCAACTATAACACAGAAATGCAGTAAAGAAATTCTTAAGTTTCCTAATTTAAATAAATGTCATTTAATTCATTTTTTATTTATTTGCTTAAAATAATCGAAGGTATTTCGTTGCAGTCCACTTGTCATCCAATTTTTATTTGCTATATTAGGCAACTTTAGTTTTATGGTTTAGTATGTAAGTATGAAAATAAGAGATTAAACAATTTTTGTAATGATTGTATCTTTCTATATCATTCAGCATAATAAATTTAATGAATTGTAGTGGTATAACAAGCTCTGGGCAACAACTATAAAAATTTATTACTAATAATCTTATACGAGTATATAAAATTCTCGTGTCACAATGTTGGTTACCATACTCCTCCGAAACGTCTGGACCGATTTTTATGAAATTTTGTGTGCACATCGGGTAGGTCTGAGAATCGGCCAACATCTATTTTTCATACCCCAAAAAGTTTTTTTTTTAAATAATGTATATTGGCAAAACCACGGTTGCCGGGTCAGCTAGTAATAAATAAAATCTAATAACCTCTTGTTTCTTACACAAAGCAGTTTTTGCCAGCGTGCTCATAAACATACTTATAATATATATTTGTAAATACATGTAAATAAAATACACCCAGGCACACAACAAATTATAGTGCTCGTATTTAAACTTACTTTTAAGTCTACTCCACTCCATCTGATAATTACAAAGAACATCTTTGTCCGTAGGATCCGCAGTGACATCATTCTACTTCGATCGATTCAAGAGACACTATCCATGCAACTGGTAGAACTAGAGGACTTCGTCACTGATATTAGTCCTGATGTAGTCAGCGATAATTCGCAGATCACGGTGTACGTGCTCATCGCGCTCACCGCTGTACTTGGCACACTGTGTCTGATACTGCTGGTGACCTTCATTATTAGGACTAGAGCGTAAGTAGATATTCCATCAACATCATCATAAGAATTTGCTTTCTTTTCCATAATCCTCTGCATTATGGAAAGGCGTACAGATTTATTTATGAAAAGTGGCCACTGTAACCCGTGGACCCTTGCAACGCTGTAAAAGGTTTTAACACCTTTTATTCGTTCTTTTACAACCGGCAGGAAGTTTCACAATTTGTGTGTCAACAGAAGAATTGCGTCTCAAATAAAAAAAAACCGTTCGCAATATTAAAAGCATGGCATAGTTTTGTTCGGCCCTACGCTTATCATTCATATTTTAAAGTTTTTCTTCAAACTCACTTAAAGCCTAGGGTTCTAGCTACTATACTTGTCGCGTCTCGCCTAAAGAGGCATCAGTCAGCGCTCCACCGTAATCCGCAGTGTTTCGTTCAATGGAGCGCACCTAGATTTTTAGATTAAACTGTAATATTACCTTCTAAGTCGCGTTTATCCTTTTTTTTTTTTTTTCTTTTTCCGTGCGGAAATCCCCTCGGATACCACCTGTCGGTGGCATGTCGGACTCGAACCGACTAAAACCGCACGCCGTCTCGGGTACTAATAGCCGGGGAACCAGGTATACCCCAGAAAGGAAGTCCCTAGTGCAGTCGCGTTTATCCTAAACAGCAAACGTACCTATACTCTTATTGCATATTCACAGATAAGTATGACCATACACAAAATTATCATTCTTTGTTGTAATAACATGTTATGTATTGTTATACAGCCTGAACCGTCGCCTCGAAGCTCTGTCTATGACGAAGTACGGTTCAGTGGACTCAGGTCTTAACCGTATGGGCATTACTCCTGGCACCAACAAGCACGCCGTTGAAGGATCGAACCCTATTTGGAATGAAACTATCAAAGCACCTGAATTCGATGCTCTCAGGTAAGTACCATAATAATAATTGCACCGTCCTACAAGACGACGGAAATGAGACGGTAAATAGTTGTACAAAGGTTAAGGCATTGGCTATTTAACTAAGGGTATGACATGGACTTCTTTCTATATAGATTAAAATACGGCTCAGGAGATGGAGTGGTTTAGGTTATGGGATATGACTGGAAGAATTAAGTCAATGATAGGGAGGATCATGTTTCAGATGCTATCTTTACCAGCAGCGATGCAAATTTTGTTAGCTATGTTGGTTTTAATATCGTACTGTATTACGTTTTTTTTTTGGTCCAAATATCGCAAATCAATGAATCAGAAATCACAAACCAGAAATCATAAAAGAAGTAAACCACAAAAGCTATTTTTTCTTAAGCATTACCATTACCAGACAAGACCATACTTACATATTGAAATTCTTTTAGAGTTTTGCATCAAACATAACTTTGGCAGTCATCGAGAACCCATTTTTTAATGTATTTTTTTTAAAGACTACTTCTGCACCAGGAATATATATCCTGTGTTGCAGCGACTTTACAGACATACAGGAAACGAACAAAGAACACCTAGACTTAGAACAACAATTTGTGGATCAAACAGTGTTAGCCCATGTGGGAATCGAACCTACAACACTCAGCGTAGTAGTAACAGCGAGGTAACTTCTTAAACCACTACGCCAGTCGCATTAGTCATTGATCAGTAGAATATAAAGCAATGAAAAGAGAATAGATAGAAATTATATCAAGATTCCTCTTGTCAAGTGTACACAAAAACATCTTATATAACACTACGTATAACACCATATCTCTTTATTTCTGCAGCAACATGTCCAATGACTCAGACCTGATCGGTATCGAAGACTTGCCACAGTTCCGCTCCGACTACTTCCCTCCAGCTGACGACCCGAACCAGCAGGCAATATTCAACAATGCGGTAATCATTCCTTTTCATTTATTTTTTTCTATCATTTTTACATATATTCAAAAAATTCTGGCATACTGATGATGATAAAGATGAACTGCTCCTAAAAGTATCTAGTATTACAGATACTTATTATTAGGTTAAGTATAATAGAAGGCAAGAGAAAACGAGGACGGCATAGATCAACATACATACAGCTAGTGGAGGAGAAAGTGGTAGTAGTGGTCTATCAAAAAGTCAAATTGATAGCAGGAAATAGAGAGGAGTGACGATTGCTCCACCGAAAAGGACTTGGCTCTTAAATTGAGACAGAGATTATTAGGTATCACGTACATTACTGGTATCGGTTACTTAGTTGAATCAGATATCGACTTAACAAACAAGTATGAATATGATTATTTGAACATATTTATAGCTATTTCAAAACTTCAAAACTTTTTTGTGGCGAAATCTCAGTGTCATGTTACATCAGAATTTTTTATATGTGTTTTAAAAATATGTATAGTATACTTTAGCCATTGATTTATATGCATTTTTTATGCCTATAAGTCAATGTTCAATGTGCATGTCAGACAAGAAGATCCTTCGATTTTCATAAAAGTATTAACTTAATGTTATGAAGTTTTCTAATATATTATGTTCTCTATTCTAGCCAAACCAACCAGCTACGCACAGCAACAACTTTGGATTCAACGCGACCCCCTTCAGTCCAGAGTTTGCTAACAGACATACAGGCAGATAGTTACCTGCCAAGCCTGAAATAAGGCACATTTTAAACAATATACAGTAAAATACGACAAAATTACTCAAAATCTATTCTTAACATAAAAATCCCGAACTCTTTAAGTGAATTGGTACTTATTAAACCCGACGTGAGTGACTCCTATGGTACGTAATACCCAAGTAGTCTTTAAAAGTAAATAAGTTCAATAACCATCCTCCGAGCCTGTTCCCAAACTAGGTTGGGGTCGGCTTTCAGTTTTCTACAACACGGCTAAACTTCGATTTTTTACATGGAGCGACTACCATCAGACCTCCACACCCCAAGTACCAGGCGATATCGAAGTTCTGTTGATAGACTTTTGGTAGACTTTTCAGGGCGACAACAAACCGTAACAATTGCCACAGATGCTCGTATGGCAACCGCGACCGTCGGCTTAACGTACCTACTCTCCGTTACACAGAGGAGTCTCAATGTGGGTCTCCCATCCATAGTCTCACCTGCCTAGGATTACGGAACTTTGCAATTTAGTTCGATAAATTGTTGTACGTACTACAAAGTTAAAAATGAATAAAAGTTGTCATGATTCAAAACTTAATAAACTTCTATACAACTTAAGTTATACTGCTCAATAAAATAAAATAAAATATTCTAATACTTAGTCCAAATTCGCCCACCCGGCGATCTCTAGTTATTACTAATATTTTAGTCGTAGTCGTAAACGGCGTTGCATAGAGGGCGGGATTTTTATGTGTATAGATGGTGCTGGTGAAATTTTGAAGTCTTTACTAGTCGATCTCAAAAGAGTTTTTAGTTATTATTGTTTTTTTAATTATTTTTATGATTATTATTTCAAAAAACTACAACTTCTTTTTAAAAAGCTGAAGACTTAACAAGGGCAAATTTGTTATTAAAATAACAATCTCTCAAATCTTATTTTATTTTGTATCATGAATTTATCAAAAAATTAAGAAAGTAAAAAGAAATACTTAAATATACAAAACTATAGGAAAATTTTAAGTATTAAGTTTCGGATACCTAATAATCGGTTTACAGTTGGTGTAAATTCGTTTTACCTCATTCGCGTCTGGTTAAGTAACGTAAGTTTAAGTAGATAATTAGTACATATAGGTAAATTGGTCATAATACTCTGCCCTTGGACTAACACGACCTAGACACCTTTTGAGGAAATCACGACCACAGATTGCTGGAAGGTGAGAGGAAACATGTCACATAAACGAACGGTCAGAGTAGGGCCAACGTATAATAATAATTATGTCTTAGATTTCTTCTATCCTTGGGGGCTATAATTCTTAAAGAAATGACAAAATGTGATAAATATCATCATCATAAACAGCCTTTAATAGTCCTGTGCTGGACATAGGGCTCTCCTTAGAAAGGTGGTTTTGGCCTACTATACCACGCTGGCCAGACGGGTTGTTATAGGGTTTGTTTCAAGTTTTCATTCTCTTTGCAGTGCTGTTGTCCTGCGTAGTTTATCCCTTAGTCGACTTTTACAACACCCACGGCCACGGGATGTATAGGGTGGTAACACTCCGTATTCTCAATACGTCACCACACGGAATTGATAAATGTCAATATTCTGTAAACATATAATTAGTAAAATCAATATTATTTAAAATAAAAATATGTATTTGATTAATAAAAAGTTTTATAAAAACACCATTATTTCCTTGGACCTGTGCACCCAATTTATCGTATAGAATTTCTGTGTGCATGAATGACGCATGTGCGCAAGCACACATGCAAAGAGGAATGCGATGTGCTTGCTTAAATGCATAAGTAGGTACTTAGACACGTGACGGAGCAATACCTAAATACGTATAACTAAGAATATATAAATGGAAATTATTTAAAACTAGTAGTAATAAATATTATATTGATATAAAATAACTTGTCAACGCGTTTAATAATCAAATTAAAAACTTTTTTTTTTACCTTATATGGCCTTCTTAAGGCTCCGTTCTTTGTAAGGCCACAATGTTCCTAAGAAGGCCAAACTAGCAATCTATGACTTTTTATATTAATTATAATAAAATAATAGACACTACAGACGTACTGTAATTATTACAAACTTATCATGGCACATAGTCAGTCTTGTAGTCAGGAATATTTAAAATCAACGGTTCTTAAGGTTAAAAAACGAAAATAATAATAATAAAACGTTGGCTTCGGTGCGATAAATCTTCTTCTAATTGATTTGTGAGAATAGTTTTCTTCCCAATAATTTTAGTACTGTTACCGCTTACTAAATGGTTTCTAAGGGTGCGTCTTGGAATATTAAACTTCAACGCTGCAGCATTTGTATTTAGTTCATTATTTTGTACTGCTTCCATGGCTCGTCTTAAACTATCTTCGTTCCATTTACTACCTCTTTTTCTAGGTTTTGACTGTGACATTCTCAAAATCTGAAATAATACGTATAAATTTTAATCATCTGTTCAATTACCAACTTATTGATATAATTTTTTTTTGGCTTTAATTATAGTTTTAGACAGACTATCTTAGATATACAATTTTTAACTTATCTCATACTTTACCGCTTTTAACAAGCAAATATTTTTTATATTCGTTGCTTTTCATGTAAATTAGTTTAGTTTATTTCCAGACATAACCTCTTCATAGACATAAAATAAATTTAAATATATACTGAAAATAAAATAATTTTGAAAAAAATGTCTATTCAATCTGAGTTTAAAAGTTAGAAAACCCTTAAAAAAAATTATAAATATAAAACATTGTTTTAACTTTAACGGTACGTATTTATAACTACATAATAAGTGTTCATATGTTCATGGTTTATAGATGTAAGGCCCATGTATTAAGTATTGACATTATATTAATTACGGTCTCTTTAATTCTGAGGGTTCCCTATATTTATCTATATGTGGATATGTGTACTATTTACCAATGTATGTGTAGGTATATAAATAAAACACAACAAAACAAATCAAAACAGCTTTATTTCTTGCTGGCTCATCTGTGGATTTTTGAAACTACACTAGGTATTCTTTGTCTAAGTCTCAATATATTTAAAAGCGGTTTTGTTTAATTTTTATGTCACAGTGAATTGATACACAAACCCCTCCCGTGTTGAGACCTTAGATTACAATAGCTTAAATATATAAAAAAGAATAAATACATATCTTTAATGAAATTGGTGCTGTGTACTTTAATCACAGTTGGATTTGTACAAGCTTAGTAAAACCAGGTTTGAGTAACATGAGAAGTAACGGCTACATAAATGATCTATAGGTGAATTTAAATGGTTGAACCCCTCTTGGCAGCCTGCCGACAAATGGGGTTCAACCATTAGTCATGTGATACCCTTAAGTTCTAATCAACACTATTGATAAAGACAACTAGGATTATAAATATATAATGCAACAGTACTTGGTACTGAACGACAAAGTGGAAAAATCATTGGTAAAGATGCATGTATTTTTATCTGTCAGAGCAGTATTTCTAACTCCTAACTGGATCAACAAATCATGAACTGCTTACTTTCATGTGTAAAAATAGTATTCAACACTTACAAGCTAAAAGTAATAGGCAATTCCTTCTCATTGACGGACTTTATTAGTGTTGTTCTAATTAATCGATAGTTTGGAAAAATGATTGGAAAAATAGTTTGGACGAAGATACGAAAACAGTAGGTTTTCGTATCTTCGTCATACTTATTCAAGAAATCAATAGCCGTCATAGTACTACGGTAATTTATATTACAACAGATTGTTTTAATAAAACTTTTCTCAATTTAAGCTTCAAATTATAACACGTCACGTCACACATTCCGCACTTTAGCCATGAAGCTACAAGTATGCGCTCCCGACTATAGAACCAAAATCAGTGGGCTACCAAGCGTCAGCCGAATCACACGTTAATTTATTACTCAACGGCTTAACGGCGGACGTTCGTATCTAGGCTATTGAGTTGTTCAGTACTAGATACTAGGTAATATAGGGTGTATTGTAAATACATCCTTGGCTTCTGTAGTTAGAAATTGCCATCAAAAATAAGCGTTCTTGTTTATGGTATTACGATTCGCTATATTTTCAAACGATTTCAATGTGAGTACACTTTGAGTGAGTGAGTGAGTGAGATTACACTTTGGCAGTATGTCTTGAAAATCAGACATTCATAGATAAAATGCCTCAATTTTGATATCTTTTTGGAACTATGTCATTTCACACAAAACAAACGAGAATAAAATACACGGTTTAAGATAATCACACGACTTTTAAACTCACCATATTGTTTATTAATGGACTCGACGGAGAGAACTCCCTCCCACCACCATACTCCATGGTTTACTAGTACTTTACAAATTCGATAGAGAAAGCATGTGGTACAAAACATTGGTTTAACAGGAAACGTAAATACTGCTAGTAAACGCATGGTAAATAGTGTTACGAATCACAAAATATTGGTTTATTCAATTCTCTATCTTATTATAAGTGCAGTGAGGTGCAATATCGATATCCAACTATACTACTATTTTAGGAGTTGAATTTAAAACGAAAAATTTTTTCGTAGGAAGATTAACTTTTATACTCTGTCCATACATTTCGTTTCGTTTTGTCAGTTCGATAGGTAGTCAATTAAAACAGTGATTTTACCTAAAAATACTGAACAGATATAACCCACATTTAATAATGCATGAGAAATTGTCCAAAAAGAAAATATTAGTGTTAATGAAGTCTAGAGAGATGAATCTAATGTGTATCATCCATAACTATCATAGAAGACAGTTTTTTTACTAATTCCGCAATAGTTAATATCGGTTTATAATTATAGCAGAAACATATGTTTTCACAACGAACAAAAGAACATAAAAAAGCACAGTATCACAGTGTCTGCAATGAATACAAGAGCCTATTTATTTTTCCCACTTAATTTTTTTCAGTCTGGTACAGTTACGTTCTCAAGCAACTGACGATAAAACAAATGGATGGACAAGTATAGAGAATTTCGTTTGTTATTATATAACTATGCACCGTGAACGTTATGACGCATGTCTGACAACATCATAGTTGTGGCATGACACGCGTCACGCCCTTTGTACACCCAGACGGCAGACCGTATATAGTGGATTGAACACCAACCAAAATATACAAAACATCTTACATTAAGGTGTGATAGAAAATATATATAAACATTATGAGAAATTATAGTTTTGTTGAAAGGAACTACATACATTATTTAAATTCATATTGCAATAATTGCCATAACCGCTTAGCTGGCACAGCGGGTAAGTTACATAGCAGACAATAGGGTAGATTCCTAGGTTTCAAATAATTTATTTCTCCTGAATCACTAAGTATAACATCTTAAAGTATAGCCTGAATTGTCCTCCATTATCAATTTAACATATACATTGTTTTTATATCTTCAAATCAACATTAAATAAAAATTATTTGAAATTAGCTAGTTATGACGTCACACTATAGTATTATATACAAAATTGTACCGCGACTATAGTTTGACGTTTAATAAAAAGATGTAATTAAATTTGTGTCATCTACCCCATTGGTAAGTAAAAAAAGAGATACATATCATATCCATAGTTACGAAATATAAAAAGCCCCCTAATTTACCCCTATTAAATTAGCTACTATCAATAGTCCATTCTATAATATATCAGTTAAATACCGTATCATTAAATTTTATTTAAAAATTATATTTATAATGTGTACACATGGAGACAGAAGATCAAAGTAACACTGATAACATCTGTCCGTGCACTAATAGGACCAAATGTGGACAAACAAACATTACAAAGTATACAAACCGATTTATTATATAATGTAAAAAATCTTTTTTATTACGGCACGAGTTGGTATAAAACAATAAATGAATTGTTTAAAAAAAAAACTAATATCGCCTTAAATTTTGGCGGGCAATGGTTTGTAACAGCCAGTGTATTCTGTTCGAAACGTCGGGTAATTTGTAGGTATATAATACCTGTGTAGTGATAATTCCAGTACGTATTTATTGCTTTATAATACACAAGACTCATATCCTCCATATTATATACACAATTATATGAAATGTTACGTTGGTATGCCTCAAAAAGTTCTACACCAATTGAGCTCAAATTTTGACACGGTATACATTTACGGTATTGTTTTCATGTAGTTTTCGCGTCAGTTTTGTTGCTCACATCAACAGCCTTTAATAGTCCACTTCTGGACATAATGCTCTCCTTAGGGGAGGTTTTGTTGCTCATTTCACATCAATGCAATCACAATATGCCACAACGAAGTGTGGCAAGGTACACCTAGTATTTGATAACACATCAATTTAAAAAGCTTAGGGTAGGACTACGTTTTAACTTTGTTTTAATTTTTTTAGTTTGAGGGCTGGGGACTCACCAACAGCCAGTTCAGGTCAGGTCACATTGCTGAACTATGTAATACACTAATCATGTAATACATGAACGGTTCTAGCTATTGCATTTACTGCCCGATACCTACTTTTATAGATGCGAATAACTCTGTTACGCTTTCACCTCACTCACTCGACGATAAACAATTAAAGAATTGTTTAAAACCGGTTTTCTGTTTTTCTTAATTGTTTTTTCATACTCAGATACCGTACCTATGTACTGGGGTCAACCAAAGGGGAATGTAGAAGAAATCCTATATGTATGTATTTGAAACAGATTCTTCTTCTATTCTTCTTTCTTGTTTTTGCGTCATTTCTATATTGATGATTCTGACGACAAAATTATGAGGTTAAATAATAGTTGGTAGCAAACTGTATCCTATGTATTGGCAAAGTAATGTTTGAAGAAGTCTCCATATACGAGAGTCCCCTGCAATTTGATTGTAATCATTGTCACGTCATGTGTGTGACGGAACATCGTGGTATTAGTCAGTTCGATTCCCACTTCACCGTAAGTAAATTAGATTTTCCGTACAAGTAAGCTAACAATTGTCAATTAAAAACATCATGTGTCAAAAAATGATTCTAAATTCTAACTGATAATCATTCAGAATTTAGAATAATTTAGAAATACAGTATGTAAAGTTTAATCATCTCATCATCATCACTATAATACCCGCCACACTAAGCTGTACGATTGAAAGTCATCGGTGATCAGAATAGGTAGTAGTAAAAAGGAATGTAGTTTTCTAATTACTTATATTTATTATTTATTTAATTTGCTCTGACTAATTTGAATCTTTAATAAAATAAAAATTCCTTCGACAAAGAGATTGTTTACATTATAATTAAATCCGTTTGTAAACAAATTACCATTAAAGAGGGACGACAATATAGATTTGCACAATGGCAACACACAAAAAGCAATATTGCTTTAAAATCATTATTCTTCTGAATAATTACATGCTTGTAACACCAGTGCACAAATCATACCTTCATAAGAACGTATATGCGTAAACATATTGTAACAATAAAAAACTATTAAAAAAACAATGTTTTTTACGAGATCAGTCATTTAAATATGTTGATCAGTATTACTTTAGTTTCCTTACAAAACAGAACGTTACTAGATAAAATAAATCTACTTATTTGCAGCTTAATTCCGAAATCTAAACACGCCAAGATGGTATTTAAAAAAAAATATGTAAATTTCCGTACGACATAGACAATCTATACACAACGCCTACAGTTATGAGGTAAGCTACAAATAAATCAGACCCGTACACAAACCATGCGATGTGACTGTGTAAACAAATATCATTAATACAATTACCATCATTTACGACAAAGTTCAAGCTTCAAGCTGTTAAATAAAAATAGTGTCGCGGAGTTAGTAACACAGACCGTTAACAATTAGTTAAGTGCAAAAAATCATAGCCGCGAATTTTCTAATATTCCGTTACAAACCGACATACCATATACATATATTTTTTTTAATTTTAAATTCCAAATTGTATGACGTCATGGCCTAAGTTATATAAAAAAAGCCACAATAGATGATGATTGATTAATATCAAACGGGAAATATATTGTGTCCGCACTGCGTGCACGCAGGTAGGGATGTGTCGAACGCGATACGTCGTCCAACTACCGAAATAAATAATTATAATAATGTATTCTACTAATTAATTTGGGCTAAATTAATCCATTTCTAAACCTGTAATATTCCCTGCGACATTTTAAGTTAAATAGTAGTGAATTGGTTGACTAGTCGACTAAAAGACACACCCCTAGTTCGTAGTCTTAGCATAGGACCGCCCGGTGTGCGGCTCTTCAGTCACCTCAACATTTATCTAAATGTAACAAAACTAGTATTTATGAATCACATAAATGTGCAACCACTCTATTGGTGGTTCAAGTTTTTACGATAAACTACAAAAAGCTACACTCCCTTCGTACAAAGCGTCACAAAAATACTACAAAGAATCGTGTAGACGTAACAGAATATGTTAAAATCGAGCAAAATGATCGATAAATTAATAACAAAATATGTTATATGCAAAAAAATATAATTAAGGTGTCGCCCGCGGAGCGGTGGTAGGAGCCCGCAGGCGAGGTAGTCCAAGTTTATGAACTAGATATATTACAAAATCGTTGAGATGCATGTTGTTGCCTGCATCAGTTTCGTCCAAACCATAGCTGAGTCGTTTAATGCTGATCCATCTGAAATTAAACGTATTTATATTTACTACGTTCTATTAACGCAGGGCTTTTTGTTGATTTCGATCAACTCTGGTTATTTTGACTCAAATGCATAGCTAGCATAGTATTCATTTTTAATTTATAATAACTAACTTATGGCCGCGGCGCCACCGGCGTGTTTGTCGATTAAAGCTGTTAAAACTAGGCTAGGTTCGTTCTAAGTTTTCCTTCTCTGTGCAGTGCTGTTGTCCCGCGTATATTGCTCCCTTAGTCGGCTCTTAGACACTCCGTATTTTTAGTCCGTCACCACACTGATATTTGTTTCAGCAATTACACAAAATATAATCCGAGTTTATCTCATAGAAATTTCTAAAGGGTTTATGAATTTTTATCTTTGATCTGGTAATAACCAACTGCCTCGACACAACTACATTAACTTTGCCTGAATTCGACTAGTTCCGCTACTAGATAGCACGTGGCGCCACTTGGCCTGGGTGCACCACCAGAGGTTCTTCTTGTAAATGTTAAGATAAATCAGAGGTCACTACTCGGTAAGGTCTGCCGCTTTTAGCGTGCAGCTTGGATTTCCTTTTCTAAGGATCGGATTGTGCGGTACCCCAAACCTTCTCCTCTCTTTCATCTTTCAGTCATTTGAGCTTCCGACGAGTGCTGGCCTGATTGTCTGATGTGCAAATAATTTTCCATCCTCATCACTTGATAATTAACACTAAATCACTGAGTGCTTTGCGAAACACTTTGCCTTTTTTTTATCTGTGGAAGTTTCGGCCAGCACTTTCGCCGTTAATCCCACGGTGGAGTTCCGGCTAACGCCCACGCTGCCTCCGGCAGAGGTCCGGCGGAAACGGTGAGGTAACTGCGTATGGCTCTAACCGCCAATATTCTCCACGTACGCCAAAGGCGCGCTCTATTCGGCAGTGCTATGCTCTAAAGAAACGGCCTTGCGTACAGCACTGCCACAGCGTCGATTTACGCTGCAGTGCACTGCTGACGCAAAAGATTTAGCTGCGTCAAACAAATAGCGATAATTTGTTTGTCAGTATTTCTGGACCAAAACCACCTTCTAGAAAAGAGGGTACTTCACAGGCCAGGGACGCACTAGTAGACAACTCTTGATATGCAGGTGTCTATGGATGGCGGCAGTTACCAGCAGTTGACCCATCTGCTAAGTTGTTAAGTGCTTGTTTACGTCATTCTTTTTTCTACGTCAATTTCGAAGTAGGTTTGTTGAAATAAACTTTAAGAAAAAACAACACGTCTCTGCACACTTGCGTGACTATTGCTAGCAGAAGGCGGACCCTCATATGTTCCGCAACCCGTAGATGTCACAGGCTATATAAGGCAATGTCACGTACGACATCTTAGTACACGTATTTTTCGTGACAAATTTCCCTGAGTGAAACAAGGTTTACATACCTGTTCTTGTCCGTTTGTCTCCTGAGATTTCATCACATCTGGCAAATCCGGTGGCGAGGAGTAGGCAGTCAGATCCAATGCTTCAAATTCGCCAGTTTCTTTCCTGCAACAATAATAACACCTTATGTTAATAAAATATTTATTTAGCAAAAGTTGCAGAAATATACTTTTCATCCGATAATTCATTCATGTATAGGCTATTAATTTGACTGATAGACAGGCAAACAGAGGACAACAAAATGATCTTATTATTCTCTTTACTAGCAAAACCATAAACATTATTGGAACACAAACAAGACTTGGTATCAAATTTACAGTATCATTATTTGTGTACCATGTATGTACATGGTACACAAATAGTTCATGCATTTGGACATTTACGAACTCGAATATAGAATTAACTAGAGACCACTATGTATCAGCAAACTAAAATAGTACACAGATATAAGTTTTAAAATATTTTGTACTCTTTGTTAAAGAAGTTAGCAAAAGAAAACTACAATTGTACCGTAAAGCCAATCCAATGGGTGCAGGACACTGGGCTTTAGCTGTAGCTGAAGTCAATCCATATTCTGCAAGAGTCTTTTCATCCTCCATCAGTTGACTGTCCTTGTTGAACAGCATTTGAGCCGGGGGAGTAACCTTTAAGATACCTGTGAAATATTGAATTATTCACTTGACATATCATACAATATTATTAAGGCGAAAGTTATGTTATTAATTGCAAAATGTCTTAACTTTTCCAAAACAAATCAATACATTAGTGGTTATTGTGATGTTTAATACCCTAGAAAAGGAATGTTTTCTATACATAGATACAACACCAAGGCAGCCAAATTGTTGAAATCTGTCACATGAGATTTGCCAGCAAATTTGCTCATCAAATATTTGGTGGAAGGCTGAAATGTAGGGAGCAGCAGCCGACAGCAGCCCAACGAGGTACGAAAAGTAATGTGTGAGCAGCATGAGGCCTTCACTGCTAGCATTGATATCATGGAGGCGCTAAAGACATACATATTCAGTGTGCAGGAGGGTAGCACATGACTTTCGTGTGTTAAATACATGCTTCGGCATATGTATTAGGCTGCTTGACTGGAGTGATGGAAAGCTTCAGGCTTCACAGACAATCGGTGTTAAACAATTTCTTTGATGCTTTTCTGCATGCAAGGCTTATCAAGCAAAGGTGGCAACACGGATGGCATAGTGGTTCAAGTGATTCGCCACTGCCGCTTCCTACTGCGCTAAGTGTAGTGGGTTCTCCACATCTCAAGATCTCCACATTGGACACCACTTTGTGTACACAAATTGTTGTTCTGTAGTCGCGCTGCTGTATCCTTTGATTGCATTGACATTTTAACTTGATTATTTTATAGTTTTATCTCCATGAATCTGAAGAAGTTACCTAAATGACTTAGAAGTAGTGATGTGCCGGATATCCGTATCCGTATCCGCGGATATCCAAGGGAGAAGAGGTAACCGTATCCGTATCCGTGACTTTTTTGGCGGATCTTTCAATACATATTACATAGATGAAATTCTATATTTTGTATTCACTGTAAAACTCTTAGGTATGTGTTTGTAACACTATAAACAGCAACTTTTTTTCTGGCCAACGTCAAAATGAAAAAAAAAATGGCCCTCCATTCAAATGACCAATCAAATGTTGTTAGTTTGTAATGAGAAACAATTTTTTTTCTTTCGTTTTCGGTATTAGTCCAGAAGAAAAGTTGTTGTTTATTATGTTACTAATATGCACTTCAGAGGTTTTCAGTAAATTTAAATTTAACCCTGAATAATGGTTATTAGGTAGCTATGAAAAACTATTGAATTCTGTTCAGATTACTTTTTATTTCTAAAAACATATCTTTGGCACCTTTGTATTGCAATCATTTATCGCACTACACTAAATCAACTAGGCAGGTCGTAGGTACTGAAAGAGCTATCTTTATAATGAGATCAATCAAACATCTTTGTATTAGCTTATTAAAATAATGAAATATTTAAATATCAACGGCAAAGCGTCAAGTGGCGACAACTATCAAGGTCACGGGCTCCGATTGAGTAAGAAACTTAAAATCCATATCCGTATTCGTATCCGTGGATCTTGGCACCAAATATCTGTATCCGGATCCGTATCTGCGGATATACTTTGTTAACGATCCGGCACATCACTACTTAGAAGTTACCTACATTTAAATCTGATCATTTCAAAACAAATTACTAAAAACCTACAACATCACATTTTATTGAAAAAAGGAGGTGCTTGTATTATATTTACCAGAAATAAAATTAGTAATAAATAAATATGTGTATTACTAAACACAAATATCTTAGATACATTACACCCAGACACAAATTATACAATTATTTGTAATAGATGGCAATCAAACCCTTAAAATCTGGCTCAACGGTCAGTATCCCTAACCACTAAACCAACAGGCCCATAAGCCTATCATTTTACATTAATTCACATAAATCCTTTGAGTAAAATACTGTTTTTAAACTGTATATACTATAAATGTACATTAATACTCAAATAAATATTTGTAACAAAATTATAAGACCTTTTATCACACTAATTGGTATGAGCTTTAAATATATGTTTATAGTTTTCTTAGAATACATCTAAAGGAACTATATATCAGGAATCCCAATATCAGAAGATACACTGAAGCACTTTTCATAGAAATAAAATAAATATTACTATGAATATATAACACAACTACATAGCATTCATAAACACAATGGCCCTAGCAACTGTTATCTTAAATTAAGATTATAATATAAATGAAATCAGAGTTCAAAGTCTAATAATTCTAGAAAACCTAAGTTTTATAATTAACTGACAGTGCAACACTATTTAAAAAAAAACAGTTTTAAAGTTTAACTTTGAAAATACACTTCAAGTAACAACAAATACATGGCCTTTTATTTACCAATTAAATATGAAAATATGCATTACCTCAGTAAGGTTTATACAACAAAAGGAAACGAAAAAGGATGAATGTTTCAAAAGAGTTCAAGAATTTTAGTTTTTAAATGAACAATGAAGAATAACACAAGGCTTGACAACAAAACCTACGCTGCGCGCCCGACATTGTATCCTGACTATAAATAGAATTTTCGCATACAACGACAATCGCACTCACCTTCGATCATTTTCTTCAATTCTAGCACAGTTGTCGTGTCCTTTGCGTCGGTAAAGATGGTCAATTTTTTTCGCCTAATCATTAGAAAGACATCCTGAAAACAAAATCCGTTTTTGAGGTTACATCTTTCAAGCAAATATCCCACATGAAATTAACACTGGTTAAAAAAATACACCGTCACTGCAGAATGTACACTTTTAGGAACTTACCATGTTGAGTTTATAATTGTTTAATATTAAACTATTAAGTTTTATGAGAAACTCTTCAAGGCGTACCTACGAAATGAAATTAAAACGAAGTGACAACTGCTAGTTGCGACCACAGATTATCAAAATTTTCATAATAACCAATCCATAATGAAACTTGACTAGTAGGTAGTTATCTGTGGTCTTCAATGCTAGTGACCATTCTACAATGCCATGTTTCGAAACAGTCTTTGTTGGTACATTATTTATCCATCTTCAAATTGCGTTGTTTGCTTTAATTACTTGCTTCTTGAGCTCCAAATATTTGAAATGATTCATAGAAAATTCTTGATTTTATGCCCAATAAGAGAGTATTTAATACGCTTTTATGAGCTTGGGATGTATGTATGTTTGTGTGTAACGGAATCTTCGAACGTGATTTTGACCCAGCTCAAAACTTAAATAGTAATAGTAATCAATATTTTAAATAGTTTGTCCCATCATTCTTATCAGGACTTCAGGATTAAAGGCTTTTTCCATACCTAAAAATACGGTAGTGTCTTTTGCCATATACTACAGCGTGTGCTGAAACAATCATGTGGAAAACTTAACTTAAACAAAAAAGCGTGGATGCTAGATTTCAGTTGTTGTAAAAAGATTTTACTAACAGATATTGGTAATAGTAAAGTTGTTAAGTTATAAAACTAGCGATCCACCCCGGCTTCGCTTCGCTTAAATGTCTATCTCCTAAGGATACCCCACAGTAACCATTTTTATCTTTTAAACCAACGCCCTGGCGTCACACGGGTGCAATGTAGATACTACTTACTACTAATGTAGTGTCAGTGTAGAGTAATTAATTATAATTTTATTTTGATAGGATTATACTACAGGACATCATGGAGATCATCACATAATGACAGTGAAATGTACGAGGGTGCGTTTTTAAGTTCGCGGAATGAGAGTGTTGGAGGGGGGTGATTAGACTCATTAGAATCGTCACGTGTTCAGTGACTCATAATTAGTATAAATACCAGGTTTCATTGTTATTAGACAATTAGTCTTTGAGTTATCGTCAACCAAGCAACATAATCGGGAGTGAAAAGTGAAACATGGAAAAAATCGAATATCGTGCCGTTATAAAGTTCCTTACCAAGCAAGGAAAATCAGTTGCGACCATAATGAATGAGATGTCATTGGTTTACGGCGACTCTTGTCCAGGAAAAACCATGGTGTACAAATGGCACATTTTATTTAAACAAGGAAGGGAATTGCTTGAAGACGACCCGAGGCCGGGCAGGAGCATCGAGGTGATCACGCCAGAACTTATACAAAAAGTCGAAAAAATTGTACTCGACGATGCTCGACTAAAGAAGAAACAACTCGCAGAAATGGTTGGAGTATCTGATACAACCATTTTTAGAATTCTGCACGATCATTTTGGCATGACAAAGGTCAGTGCAAGATGGGTGCCGAGAATGCTCACGCCGACGCAAAAACAACAGCGCGTAGAGTGTTCACGTGCATTTTTAGACCTTTGTAATGAAGACAAGGATGCTGTATTAAGTAAAATTTTTACTGGAGACGAAACTTGGGTTCATCATTATGAACCTGAGTCGAAACAAGACTCCATGCAGTGGTATAAAAAGGGCACAGCACCTCCCAAGAAGTTTAAGGTGTCACAGTCAGCTGGGAAACTAATGGCAATCGATTATAAAGATAAAGGTGTTTCTATAACCGGAGAATACTACGCTTCAATATTAGAGCGACTCAAAGAAGCCATTAAAGAGAAAAGACGGGGAAAATTGACAAAAGGTGTGTTGCTTTTGCGCGACAACGCGCCCGTCCACAAGAGCCGCGTTGCGTTGGCTGCCCTGCATAAGGTGGGCTTCGATATTTTGAATCACCCACCCTACAGCCCAGACCTGGCCCCGAGCGATTGTTACTTGTTTCTAAAAATGAAAAAAGAGCAGCGGAGTAAAAAATTTACCAACGATGATGAAGTCAAGGAGGCAGTTTCGGCGTATTTTGAAGCCAAAGAGAAAACATTTTTTTATGAGGGTATAAACAAATTAAGTGAAAGATCTGAAAAATGTATCCGTCTTGCAGGTGAATATATTGAAAAGGAAAAATAATTTGTTTTTTTTTTATTTCCACCCCTTATCCCCCATTCCGCGAACATAAAAACACTCCCTCGTACCTACCTCTAGGCTACAAAAGATAAACAAGTCATTTCGTGGTCAATGTGTCCGATTTTATAATAAAATCCCAAGTACAAGACGTAAGTATAAACAAATTTAAATCCACAACGAAGAATAGACGGTTTCATAAGGCCTATTACTCGATTGTGAATTATATAGAAAACAAGAGTGCTTGGGATTAATTTAGCACAGGTTCATTTCTTTTAAATGAAAGTGTAGTGAGTATGGGCTATTATTAATTAATATTGTGTATTTATTAAAAAAAATTTTTTTTTGTTTTACTTCACTTTCAATTCTATTCCATCTTTTTTCTTTATCCTGTTTTCTCTTCATTGTTTTTACCTTTTAGTATTTAACAATGACATACTGGCGCACATATCACAACAATGTTGTAATTTTTTTAATGATATGACTGTATCTTGCTGTAATTGAAAAAGAGTGGTAGTGAGTTTGTTTGCCCTTTCTTCTCATAAGGTTCAACTCCTTGGAAATGGCCGGTTGTAGATCGGCACAGACATATAATGGATTAACTTCATTGTTCTAAACATTTGACAAAACAGATTGTTGCTGTTGTGTGTGTTGATCTATGACTTTGGATTCTAAGACGATTTAAAACAATTTTTAAAATCATTTTAATTAAATAAAGATGTTTTGAGTTTGAGTTTGACCCCTCCGTGCCTCGGAGAGCACGATAACGATACCTACGTCCCGGTTGACATACAAAAATCTGTGGCAATAAATACAGGTAGTTGGAGCTCTATAGTCAATAATCATTTTTAAGCTGCTTTGCTTTGTGTTTGTATACGTTCTGAAACCATATATATTTTATTATGATAAAGAAATGCATGACTAAATGGGATCACATAGCAATCATTTGTATTCATTTGAAGGATGAAGAATAAAAATGTAGCCTAACATATTTGAAAATTCATTAGTTCATCATGTTAGACGGGTTAAAAATATGTAAAAACAAACTATTGGCTGTCAAGTGTCAACTGCAAGAAGTACGTTTTAAAACGCACACGCTTTTTGCGTATGCTTTGCAAAAATGGAAGATTGTTATTTTTTGTTTTTATAATGTGTTAAATTCTTCACACACCTGCATAAATTCTATCGGAAAACAATAGTTTTCAACTTATTTGTGATGTATACGAATTAAATAAGTTTTTCACCCTAAAATAACACTTATAACCTTAAAGGTTTGTTAGCATTATGGATTCACAAGTTTGTGTAATTTGTCATAACAAGAAACCTGTAAATTCGACTGATAATAGATTGGTAACGGAGAGCTGTGGTCATGTAAAATGTATGGACTGTCTATTGATGGAAAAGAGTGGATGTCTTGCTTGCAAGCAACCGAAGTATGACGCTGGTTTACAAGAGGAGCAGCGTGAAGATAGGCAGCCGGTTGCTATTAATAACATATTGCAAGGACAGGAGAAGTCGTATGATGATAAAGACACTCAGTGTGAGACATACGAGTTGTTCACCAAGAAGAAAAAGCCTGAGACATCTCATATTAAAATAGAAACTGGTAAGCTCTGTCACAAATTAATATATCGTAGTAGAAATATTTGAATGAATATACCTGCAACAATAAATATTTCTTAGTTTGATAAAAACAAATAAATAGACATCTTAATTAGAACTGTTACAATTTCTGTATTAAAAAATGTATTATTCCAAACAATATTAACCATAGTTCAGGATCATTAGTAATGTAGCTATGAAATCCGGATTTGCTCTCTTTTACTACACCGTTTGAAACTAAACAAATAATTTTTTTTGCAGATGCTAACGGCAAGTGCTATGAATGCACAGTGTGTAACAAGAAGTTCCATGCCCGTAGTCAGGTAGCTTACCATGCCTATTGCAATGGACAAAGGAAACCTTACCAGTGTCCTGACTGTAACAAGGTAGGCTAAAGATTATTTTTTTCAATGTGGAAGAAACTCCAATCACTCTATTGTATAGAATAATAATAAACTTGAAAAAAAATATAACCTTCATTGTTCCTATATGGTGATAAATGGTAAGTTTAACATCATTTAATCATCATTCACCCCTAGAGGTGACATTTTTTGTTCAAAGTTAGATAAAGTTAGGAACTATAATAAAAATGGGAGTTCTGAGGTAACAAGTAAAAAAAGTAAAACAGAACCAAATTGAGAACTTTTTTTAAAAGTTGATTAAAAATATAGTAAAATAACAGTCCTATGTTGATTTCATTACTATTATAATTAACAATTATATTATAAATTTTACAGAGCTTTGCTACTCAATCCCATTACAAATACCACATGAGAGTGCATCGGAACGAAAGGACTTACTCATGTGAAGTTTGCGGTGACAGCTTCTTCCAGATGTCGAAGTTACAAAGGCATAAGTTGAAACATACTAGTTAGTAGTAATTTATTTTAAGGCTTACACAAACAAAAATTAATGAAGAATAAAGGACTTACTTATTTACTAATAGTAAGAACTGATAGTTAGATAGAGATAGCAGGGAACTTTACAAACATACATGAAATGGACACAAAGAACACCCAAACTCAGAATAACAATTTGTGAATCACACAGTGTTGTCCCATGTGGGGACACCCACAACACTCAGCACAGTAAGAAGCCATGTGGCAACGGCTTAAACCACTATGCCATTCATGCAGTCTGACTTTAGTTACATGTTTTTCCTCTTTGGAGGTGTATAATCAGAAATGGTGGGTTAGTCCTATCCTTATGATGTTTATATGGATCACTAGAGTTTGATTCATCATACCTAGAAGGTGAGGTTAACAACATGCATGATTAATACTGATAAATGTTAATAAAATCTAATCGCTAGACAGGTAATCAGAAGATATAGAGACAAAGTAATCATTACATGGCTTGCTGTAATCTATTTAAAAAGTTCATTTCTGGGCATTGTGATTCTTGATTATTACATAGGGTTACAAGGAGTATACAATGTCTTTAGTATTTTATGTTAACCACATTCACATAATAAACCCTATATTTAAAGTTGGCCATTTAATTTTCAGAAGAAAAGAAGTTTGTATGTAATCAGTGCGAAAAGGCTTTTAACAACTTGACGTCATTACGTAAGCATGGACTGACTCACACTGAGGAAAGACCTTATCCTTGTGCGACATGCGGGAGGTGTTTTCGTGACAGCTCTAACTACAGAAAGCATGTGGCTAAGCACGGTGAGCAAAGAGGTTTTCTTATCTTCTGTTCAAAAGTTATAAAGTTTTTATAATGATACATACTTTATTGACATAGAGTGCACCAATACAGAGTTGAGATTAAGAATATCATCTATTTTAATACTCTCATTAACATACAAATAAGTGGTGAGTGAAGAAACTTGCACTAGCCAAAATTGACAGCAGAATAGCATTGTCATTTCTCCCTTTAAACAGAAAAGTTGATGGCACAGTTTATTGGATATGTAATTAAAAGTACTTGATAATCTTCATCCAATAAAAACAGATATAGATAGGATGTTATTCTAATATCACTACAACCCATAAATGCAACGTATGTGACACATTCATATGTACACTATACGGCCTTTGTACGGTACAGTTTCCTTATAACCTAACAGTTTTTATTTAGAAAACGAGTGCATAACCCACAGCTGCTTATACAATGTTAATGTACGTAAATTGCCAACAGAAAAGAAGTGTGCTTGCGGGGGCTGGAGCGGCTGGGGCTCGTGCGGGCGCGGCGCGTGCGCTGGACGTGGCGCAAGGACGGCGGGTGGGGCGCGCCGCCCGCACCAGTGTCCGCGCTGTCCGCAGGCCTTCCATTCCAGCAAGGACATGCGCAGGCATGCTGCTGTCCACACGGGTACATATATTCGACATCTTTTTTTTCTCTTTCTATTCCTATTATAAGGGGAAGATATCCATCCCTTCCTGCATCATACATATACATCTAAAAGTACTGAAATAGATCGATTAATTAACAACTAATTAACAAATCTCAATAATAAAAGACGCCTCTCGATCGCTTAATCTTAATTATAAATGTTCAATTTTTAACAGATTCTAAACCTTTTCGCTGTAAAGTTTGCAACCGCCGTTTCCGAAGAAAAGACAATTTAGAACGTCACATTCGCAATACGCACCCGGATTATAGCCCATCCAGTGCCGTCGAATGCGACGAGGCGGCTCTCATTGAAATAGCTAACGGAAATACCGTGCTCAAGCAAAATTATGAAAACGACGAGAAAATAAAGTTAGAGAAAGGAAACCCTCTACCTCCGTTACCTCCGGATGTTATACAGAAGCATATGTATGAGAATGGCAATAAAAATGAGGCTGAAAAGTGTGACAAAAATAACATAGAGACAAGTGATAAAATGAATAGTGAGAGATCAGAAGAGACTGGAATAGATACGTCGTACATTTTAGTGGCAAATAATGCGCGGCAAAGCGTCATTGTGAACAAAAAAGCTGTTGTAGAAACAAAACCTTCGAGTCCTAAAGATGTGTGTGAATATGTGCATAAAATAAGGAAAGCTTCAACGGTACGTTTGCCGCCAATAGATATGAGCAAAATGTTTGAATTAGAAGAACAAACACATTTGAATAATCTGGAGTTCGGTACTCCGGCAAAGGAGAAAAAGACTGTTTATGAGAAGATTTTGTATGGTGATAAGGATAAACGAGAGAACGAGGAAACAAATGCTGATGCTGGTGCTGAAATTCACTGGCGAAGGAAAATTAAGCAATCCGTTTCCATTGGTAAGTAAACAGTAAAACAAACATAATAATATAGCATGCGACACAACTCTGCATCAATGAAGTTGTTTTTTTTTAACAATTATGTACGTAACAGTAGGTTAGAGCAAAGCAGATAAGTCACTTAATGTGTTAGAGGGGGATGCACTACTGACCTTGAAGCGGTGCAATGCGTCGGTGGCCAAGTGCCCCCCTCGTCTTTTTCCAATGCGCAGAAGGAGGGTAGGAAAGGTAGGATGTGTCCGAAGGAGGTTGCAGTGTAGACACCTGATGCTACAAAAGTCAAGGTCAAGCCTCTTGCCGCGGGCAGATATTTTGTTGTCAAGCGCAGTTGTACTGTGTGTGTGTAAGTGAGTAGTAATGAAGAAAAAGCAATTGATTACCAAAAACGTAATTGTGAAAAATCTCAAAAGTTACAGTGTATTGGATTGGCACAGCAGAGGAATACCACAGGGTACTAGTCTAGGGTCACTTACATACATTTTTTTCTTTTTCAGACTTGAAGTAAGGCTGACGCGCTTAAGATTGAACAGGGAAGGTAACTCTAGGATATAGTTAAATCTACTTTATATGTATTAAATGCATACATTAACAAATAACTGGTTGATAAATAAAATACCATTCAAATACACTTATACTGCATTCTTTTCGAATATTGAAATGTTGTAGTTCATTAAAAAGCCATTGCCAATCTATAGACAGAGCAATAATTAATCTGTGGATGAATTAGCGGTATATATTTATATATATATAAATTGTAGCTGGTAGCGACTCGACGCATGTAGATAATATTCACCAAAAAACTTGTTGTAATTGAAACAATAGAATCCTTCCAACTGAAAAAACCTCGCCACATTATTATAAAAAATATACTCATTAACTTCTTAAACGTCGCTCATATACATATTTAAAAAAAAGACCGCAAAAAAAAATCTCAGGCACTAGCACCGAGAATTTCGAAACGGACACAAATTATTCTCATTTTACTGTTAATTTATTATCATTAAAGCTAACGATTAAGTAGCTATTGAATGGATCAAGAATCAGATTCCCGACGTCTATCATTATCATACTTAATATATACATTTAAACCAATCTACTGAGTTAACCACAATTTTGACTTGTCACTTTTCGCTAACATGGGTTATGTTCACTAGTTTTTATCCGCGGCTTCATCCATTGAAAGAATAATCCTTTATAAATGTGTACCAGTGTTTATATCTATCCTATTAGCTATAGTATTGTTGCTATACAAGCTCTAATCAGTCAATGTCTATTAACATTAGTAAGTAAGGACGTCCAAGACGTGTTTGTTTATAAGTTGTAATTATTAGCTGTGACTTTTATTATATTATATTCATGTATTTTATGTGTATTTGAGATTTTAAAATGTTATATTGTAATTTAAAATGAAATATTCGAAGGGATGTAACGGCTCGAAGGACCAAAAATATATTGAATTTTGATCTCAATCATGGTACAAATACGCCAGGTATTTTTTTTTTGAAGGTGTATTGCATAACTGATGCTCATATTTGCCATATTGCTGCAACGATACTCTAGAGACGGTATTTATTAAAATCAAGTGTCTATTTGTTTTTAAAATTTATGTCAACGAATATGAAATCTTATTAAAATATAACTTACGTTTTTTATCAAGCTATTTGGCATTAAAGTATTTTTTTATCGAAAATAATTATGTTTTTGTATGACTTAGGAATAAAGGGAGTCTGGTTTAGAAAAATAAAAAGCGAGTGTATATTTGTAATTTCTTTCACAAGACGTTGACAAAATATTTTCTGCTGGAAAGAAAGTGTCTTTTTATGATTCTAAAAACTGCGTAGTAACTTGCGCCCTTGTATAAAAGTACAGGTACTTTTGACAAGCTTTGCATTCGGTCTCAATCATCGGTTGAAATCATTAATTTATAGTTATTTTTGCTACACAGCAGTAGTTACCAACGCATATTATCGACACGCTATTAAGCTATTTTGTACTATTTTCTTAGCAGGGCAGAATATACATATAATTTTGCCAAACTCACAAAAGTAGTAATACGAAAAGTAATGAGTGAGTAAGTGATGATAAACTGAAATTCAACCGGTAGTGACGTCAAAAAATAAATAGTATAGACCATGGTGTCACCTTAGTCAAAAAAATCCATGGAATTTAAATATCGACAGGGGTTTTAGACTGATATAGAGTGGGTAGAATTAAATTCAATTTTTTTTTCTCTAAAATATCTTATTGCATATATGTACTTGTATATGTACCTATACTTGTAATAATTAAATCAAAAATATTCGGGGTGTTGGAAAAGACTGTTACATGAATTCATGGAGAATTTGATATCAATGAAATGCTCCTCACATACGCGGAGGAAATACTCACAGAGAGTTTCAGTTCTCTGCTGCTGTCGCAGCAATAGTCCTACTAGGCAAACTTTGTAAGTGTTTATGATTTTGAATCTTATTTCAATGCTATGTGTTTTGATATTCGTCGAAAATTTCCGGTATCCCTTAAGACTGCTTTACCAACGTACTGCGTACGCTATGCTCATTAAAATAACATTGGAAATCATTTCCACTTATAAAAATCATTTACTTTTGTGCCGTAAGAAAATTGTCTATAATCGAAAAATGTCGTCCATAAGTCTTGATCTTTATACAAATAATTATATATTTTATATTGGGTAGGTGAGGATTGAAATTGCTCTGTGAGTGCATAACCTACATACCACATGTGATAGCGGTTTCGATTTTAAATTTTATTGAACAATATTAGTTTTTATAATGTCGACTGAAGATCATGATCTCTGATGTAAGCTGATCTCACGTAATTTAAGTTGATGTTTAACATTATTGCAGCTCGATCGTTTCACAAAAAGAGTGTAAATCAAGTTTAATTTATGCTTTTGTTATTCGGCGGAGATATTGATAATAACCCAGTATACGAAGTGGGTGTGAATGTATCTCATTAAATAAATACTTTACGCACAGTTATAGGGTGCAACTTCAGTCAACTTTTGCTGAATATATGTAGCTAATTTTATTCGTTTCGTTTACGTGTATTAAAAGCAATCGTCGTTTCATATAAGAAGCTATTTTATTTTCATTTAATGAGAAAATATCACACCCACTCTGCGTGCAAAGTAATTTGTAAGTTAGAATGTGTCATCCAAATCTCATAGAGAGAAAATCAGCCAGTGGCCAGTCACAAAACTTCAAATACTGTAATCTTTATTTTATTACCATCTTGTCTAAGCTTTAAGATTCAAGTTTAGTTTAATATTCTATCGTTATGAAAATGTGTTCAGCCACATGCGTTTATAGTAGCTATGCATATCTGACTTTTATTAGTTATATAGTCCTTTCTTATAAATCATTAGTCTGCGGCACTAGTATGACAATGATACGATTTCGGAATCGTTAGGTCGATAGAGAATAAGACATCTTAAGAAACCCATTAAATGAACTTCACATCATCACATCAACAGCCTATAATAGTCCACTGCTGGACATAGGCCTCTCCTTAGAAAGTAGGTTTTGGCCTACTATACCACACTGGCCAGACGGGTTGGTATAGGGTTTGTGTCAAGTTTTCCTTCTCTCTGCAGTGCTGTCTTGCGTAGTTTAAAAGAACTTAATTAATCTTAATTGCTTGTTGCATAAGAAACGTATTTGGTTTCATTGTACATACAAACATCATAATTGGTTGATGGAAAACTAAGAAATCGATCAAGACCGAAAAAAAAACTCTGAATAAGCTAACTAACTAAGCTAACTCAAATATGCTGCAGTAACTAAAATATACTAAGCTAGATCAAATAAATTTATCTGATATGTTTACATGATGGTTGTAATTATGAGTAGGGAAACTTTAGTTAGTAACATTCTAATACTGCCGTTGACTAGATATCTCCGCTAATAAAATATATTTTCGTAAAATGTTAAACATTTTGAAACGAAGTGAACGAGCTATTGCTAATACATACAGCGTTTAAGACCTTGTGTCAAACTTAATTTTTATTTTAACACAACATTATGAAATTCAATCTTCACATGAAATGCGTATTTTATTGGTTTGTGTATTTTGCTAATATTTTATGTAATTTTTGTAAAGAACTTTGATACAAATAAATGGATTCAAACTATTAGCTGTTTTTATTTAATAAATAATATTTATTTTGAACAACTGACACACAATGCCATCTAGTTACAAACTAGTGTACTATGAGTTAGATTGAATGATACCATACTAATATTTAATACACTTTTTTTTGTAAATACATACATATTATACATAGAAAACACCCAAACTTCGAAGCAAATATTTGCAGATCATAAACATTGGTCGTACCCGGGCATCGAACCCGAGACCTCAGCACAGCAGTTGCATACTCTACCACTGCTCCACCGAGGCAGTCAAGTCAGTTATTGTATTGGATGATGATTGCTTCCTGTATTGGTTGCCAGATGAAAGACTCTTGGGCTAGGTCCAATTTTTTAAACGATAGAAGTATACAGAGGCGAATTCTGTGTTGAAATCTTTATCGTAATTAGTATCATAATACCTAGACCTAGCACCTAACGACTATTACTTTTTCCAAAATTTAGACAACTTTTTAGTGGGTAAAAAATTCAATTACCGAGAGGCAGTACAAAATGCCTTTGAAGAATTTGTTGCCTCCCGTCCAGCTGATTTTTACAAGAAGGGCATCAATAAACTGCCAATGCGTTGGCAAAGATGCGTCGATTGCATGGGTGATTACTTCGAATAACAGAAATAAAAAAGTTTGAAAAAATAAGTACTTTCACTTATTGCATACAAAACGGCAATTTCATAGGTAAAGACCTAATATTAATAAGTCCACTGCTATAATATTTATGTGTAACAAGATAAAGAAAAAGGCATAATTGCAATGAACAGCAGTATCGCGTCTGTTACGCATTTAACTTTAATTCACACGTGAAATACTCCTAACACGAAGGCCATGCAACTGTAGGCAATTTTAGAACATCATCATTATAGCGACTTCCAGATGCCGTAAAACCTAGAAACATACATCAGCGCCATCTAACGAAGACACCGAACTGCGCTTATCCTGTATTCACAAATCGCAACGTCTCTGTAATATTGAGCTGCGGCCCGCCAGGCATGATCATCTCGCCTGGTCAGAGGGTCCTCCCTTTGTGTAGGAGGGACGTGTCACCCGTTCCTCCACAATCATGGTAAACCAAATCATCATCAACAATGGCTTTTAATAGTCCACTGCTGGACATAGGCCTCTGCTTAGAAAGGAGGTTTTGGCCTACTATACCACGCTGGCCAGATGGGTTGGTATAGGGTTTTAGATAGGTTTATTTCAAATGGTTTTATACCAATGTGTTATATCTCAATCAGCCAGTAATTTCGAAACTACACAATACTAGCTGTACCCTGTCAAGTCACGCCAGTCACGTTTAAACCGTTAAAAAAAAAAAAGCCGTGTGGTGTCGTGGGCCATCCGATAGGAACGAAGTTGTGACGATCGAGTAAAACTGATTTGACACGATTTTAGTTACAATGCCATCTATGAAAGCGGCTATTACCTACATATTAATAACAATTAAAACAATTTATACATTGGTAAAATCTCTTTGCGAAATGATTTTCTATCTATTCGATAAATGGCGCTGAATGTCTGACAAGATGACACGAAAATAAAGAGCAAAAAGCCAACATCACGTGGTATTCCCAGGCGGTCACCCATCCAAGTACTAACCACTCCCGATGTTGCTTAACTTCGGTGATCGGACGAGAACCGGTGTATTCAACATGGTATGGACGTTGGCGAACGTTAAAGCAAATTTAATGTATGGTATCCACAGTTAGACGTCAATTTATATTAAAAGTGTCGTGACAAATTTTCGTACGAATTTTTTCCTTCTAGCCCCCTTTCACAACGCGCGATAAGGAACTTTGTTCCAAAAAAAAAAGCTGCATTATCAGCGAGTAACAGGCTATTTTTTACCGCGACTTTGGCCTGACAGTAGTCGCGTATGATACTCGTATGTGATCTAACATCTCACCTACCCTTCTGTCGGCCAACTCCAGCAGCGTGCGCTTCTACACACTCGTTCATTCTCACCAAATCATTTCCACAAATTGCAGCCAAGCCAGAGGAAACACGTACACGTTTTTTTCAGAAATATCCCTCACAAACTACTTGCCCCTCAGTTTAGATGATTTTTCAGAAACATGAAATACATATATATACAAAATTTATGTTAATTGAGATACAGGAGCAGAAATAATAAATACACAATAAAAACCTTTTTTTGTGAGACTCCGCTGGCCAACTCGCCAAATCCGCCTCTGTAACAGTACCTCAGTATATAATATATTACGTAGGGTTGTGTAACTCTAGTCGTTCAAAGTCAATGTTACTGTGTGGCTGAAAATATCCCGTATTAGATCATATAACAATGGACATAGTGCCGAGTATAACCGATTTGTATAAAGAGAATAATTGGAAGGAAATTGTCCACAAGTATCACGACCATCCAGACAGGAATAAACTGCTATGGGTTTACCCCAGTGAAGAAAATTTTGAATTTTTGAAGTTATGTTTGAATAATTTATGCTGTGACAGGATTTTTAGTGTAGGCTGTGGAAGCGGCCTCTTGGAGTGGATGGTTACCCAGGCTACGGGTAAGTGCTTTCTTTTACCTTTTTAGATGACCTTTCTCAAACATTCTTCTTTAAATACCACAGTATATTTGTAGTTTTCTTCTTTGTGTCTGGGTGTTCTTTGTGTCCGTTCAAAATGTATACTTATATTTTTTTAAGTAAGTTGTCAGTAACTGTAGTACCAGTAGTGTCCGTCGTCATGGGTGTACCCAGTGGGTCAAGGTGGGGCGCTTGCCCCACCCTCCACCGTGACTAACAGCCGTTTTTTTTACGTGACAAAAAATTTAAAACAATTCATGTTCTACAGATTCTATTGCAATTCACAATAATAGGTCACCCATCCATAGACTTACCTGGCTTTGATTGCTTAACTTTGCAATGTGTTAACTTAGCCACGAGCCCCTTAATTTTGCCCTACCCCTAAGTAAAAACTGGGTACGCCCATGTCCGTTGTACGTTATCAATCCCATTGCATAATCACTTTTCATCAGGTGACTTGGAACACATACGTCTATTACAAACCGGTATTTGACTGATAAGTCAAATCCCTCTTATTAAACATCAAAATTTGTGTACAATAATGCACTATGACGTCATACATAGCTATTCTCAAATTATATTAACATTTCAAAAAAAAATGTCACCGGTGAAAAAGTCGTCACGACCAAGCAATAAAACAATAAGTTAATGCTCTAATTAACTGTACTTATTTATCTATATTTCAGGTATTCCAGTGTCGGGCATTGAGGTAGACAGTGCGTGGTGGCGATGCAAGTACGCCCCGCCCACTTTTATCCCCCTCCACCTCACACCACTAGAATTAGACAAGGACACTATTAATATCCTCCAGACAAACAAAACAGCTGCTCTCTTATTTTGTTACTTCAACAATCGAAAATCCTTCGAAGATTACTTACACTACTTTACAGGAAATGTTATGATCATTATTGGACCCCATGAAAAAGGGGTGCATACGGACCCCTTGCCCTTTGGAGATGTCGGTGACGACTGGGTCCTGTACAATTCTCAAGAAATCAGGAACAGTGGAGATTACATAGTTGTGTATAAAAAGACAATATAGATATACATTCCGTTTTTTTATTTACACTTATATGGATAACAGTCTTTTGGAGGAAATTTTTACACGGCCAATTTTTATAAATAGGTCTACAAATCATCAGAGGGTGACAAAGTTTACAGTATAATATGCTATACAGTACTAGCTATCTACAGAATTAAAAAAAAACTTACAATGAATAAACATTTTAAAACCCTGCTTATTATACTAGTGATTTATTTTATTTTTAAAAAGTATAGCAAATTTCAAAGCGCTTAGTTTAGAGGTAAAAAAATCCTCTAATCTAAGTGAGTTTTTTTAACTCTGAGGTTGTAAAATTCATCATTATCATCATAAATTTTACAACCATCATCATCTTGATGCTGATGATAATGACTTTTACACAGAATTAAAAAAGTCTTTATATTTAAATGAGACCAACTTTAGGTGTAACCCATTTAATTAAAATAAATATTTAATGTAGTAAAAAATTAAAATAGGTGATATTGCACTATTTGTTAACCGATTTCAATATTTAATTTATACAATTTCTTAAGTATAAGGATTAATATATTTTTTTCTACAAAAATAATTAACATTATTTTAGGTGCGTATGCTGGGAGTTAGCATTCGCAACCAACTCAATAACATTTTTTACATATTTATAATAAACCTATCTCCTGTTCACCTATTAATTAGCAAACAGACTAGTATGATTAGTGCTTTAGAATAATAATGAAAAAAAATGTACTGAGTTCATAAAAACATTCAAGACTATCCTGTACGCCTACATAACGCCCTTTGCAACATGTGCCAATTCTCGTAATAAAAATTCGGTCACAATTCAGTTTCGATCTATTCGCGATCTCATAAATGTCATAATAGGTATTTTCATAGTAAAACTAAGACTAAAAACTAGTATTACTAAGAGTAGTACTTTGTCGATTCAACTTTCGGTCACAATACGATATAATCACATTACAGTCAACGTTGCATGTTTAATGCTTCACTACACAAAATTTTAGGCAGTTCCAACATTCGACAAAGTACTGTACATATAATGACCCCCTTGACGACCGGATGGCGTAGTTGTTTGTGTAACGGACTGCTATTCCAAAGATCGCGGGTTCGATTCCCGCTCAAGTCAAACATTTGTGTACATGAACATTTAATGTTTGATTTGGTCTGGGTGTTTCGTTGTATAATCTGTAGGTATTTACAAAAAAAATGTATTTATATCAGTTGTCTAGTACCCATAAGACAAGCTCTGCTTACTTTGGGACTAGATGGCGTTGTGTGAATGTGGTAGAATATTAAATTATAATGGAAGAGAAAGAAGAATTTGCTGTTTTTAAGCGACTGCGCCAGGAGGGTTATGGTTTTCGAGTGAATGTATTTATATTTCTTTGGCACGCTCTGTAGCTGTAAGGGCTTGATGGATTTTGGCGTTTGGAATGGCTCTAGATTCGACTTAAATGTCAAAGTGACAGTGGGGGTACAAATAAATGGCGGTTTTTTGGCGCCAAATTTTGTTTTCAAATATTTTTCTTCCAAAACTCTCGAGTGGAGTACCAAAATAAAGGGTTTCATAAATGTCAATGTCAATAATTACATTTGGGACGAGAAATACTGAAAAAAAAATATATAAAATATAAATTTGTGAGATAAACTATTTTCACGCGGTCGAGATTTTTGCCAATGAATTAACTTGTTCAAATACCTACTGCCTAATATGTAATTTTTTGTACCTTTCAACTTTACTGATTGCATGTATGATAGTTAGAAGGCGCTGTTTTTCTACCCACTACCCTTCAGTCATCTACAAGAACATAAATATATAATCTTATCAAATTAATATTTGTCAACAGTGACGCCTAAGCAACTTATACTAAATAGCTTGCTTTATATTAAAAATGAATTAATTAAATAAAACAATACATTGAACATTTAGTTAATGAGTATGTTTAAATTTCACCGTATTATGAATAATACCTACATAACATCAACAACATGCACACATTTGAACATTACATGATCGTGGCAGTTAGTTCTTAAAACCTAATAAAGATAAATAATATCTTTCTGCCGGCAAACAAGTTTGACAAGAATAAGTCGACCCCCAAATGAAAATTTCGTTGGGAAATTTCAATTTGAGACACATGTTTGGTTTGGCTCTCGATGTAATTTTCTCGAGAAATTTTGGTTTCATTTAGGCTGCAAGATATATAAAAAGGCCAAAACCATTTTGCAATGAAATGAAACAGTCCGTGAAATATATTTAGGGAAAAAGTAGGAAGATGATAATGATTATAGATGACTATACACTCACAGTAATGAGTTCAACTCATAACAATAGCTACACACTATGTACAAAATATGAACAATGTGTTTTATTTTAACAAATGTCTCTACTAAACTTTAATAGTAAAAGTGTTTTGTATTTTAATTCTTCATAAGCTCTATATTTTTAACATTTATTTTGTTGGTTGAAGGTCTAGCAGTAGTATTCATTACAGGGTCCATCAAGCCTTGCACACATATGGGTAACTCATTCTCATTCTCACTAGAAGGTTCCATCACTTCCTTTTGGTTTATAATCGGCACTTCAACCATTCTGTTAACTACTTCGGTTTCACTACTCATGCCGTTCTGTTGCATCTCATTTTCTAAGAAATGAAAATCATTGTGCATTGGATACAAAGACTCCAGAGGAAAGAACATATCTAGTCTAGGCAATAACTTATTGTCATCTGAATTATCATCTATTTCGATGACGTCGTTCTGTTGTTCCGATATCTCTTGCAGAACTACTCCAGATAGGTCCATTAGACCAGAATACTTTTCTCCTATTATATTGTCCATTAAATACTGGTCTATCATTGGTTGGCTCGCTGTCGCAGTGTTCAAAGGAATGTTGTAGAATTGATCTGATTTCACCTCATTCTTGATTTCGTTCATATTTTTGTGAATATCTTCTAAAGGTGGCGATGCTTTGTATTCACGATTTATTGCTGGGTTAGTCAGTAAATTTGCATTGCACATTCTCTCTAAGCTTGGAGATTGGGTGTTTTGTTTAATTGTAGCTTCAAGTTTGATGTAGCTTGGATCGTTACTTGGTATCTTCTGCGGTGCGGGAAGCAATGTCAATGAATTTACGTTCATCTGCTGGTTAAATGAGAAAATTTGTGGGTTATCATTCAATTCGCTATCGACGGGTGTTGTTGCCGCGTCTGCCAACATTGGCTCTTGAGGATATGGCATTATGTTATTAGGCGAATCGCTCAGTGTTGGCTCTGGTTGTAATTGCATAAATTGTGTTGTGATCAAATTGTTGAACGTCACTGGACTTCCGAGACCAAATCTTTCATTATTCTCAAGCCTCCTAAACGCCATTTTTTGCTGAGAATGAAACATATTGACTTGATCTGGTCCCTTGAGTATTAAATTACTTTTTACAGATATCTTAGGTTTCTTTCTAGGAGCACCTTCGAGCTCTGTAGATATGTTGACTGGAGAATTGCTCAAAGATGGCACTGGCAATATTTGGGTTGGTTTTATGATTGGGCCGGTAACTTTAGTGGTGGCTAAGGATATTTTATCGACAGGTTTCAATGTGATATTGTTACATAGAGATACTTGAGGGACTGAAGGAAGTCTGATTGGGAAATTGTTCATGATATTGTTGCTTATACTACTTGGTATAACACAGTGATTTGAAGACAAAGAATTCACATTACTGTTCTGTAATAAGCTCTGTTCAATAGATGTGGGAGTGTGAAGGAACTCATGTAAAGTTGACTGGTTTGTGTCATACGTGAGTAAAGAGTGTTGTGCCGGATATTGATGCCTGTCCATCATGGTGTCGTTTGAACTTTCGGAAATGAGGCAATCAGAATTATTGTCATCTTTGCTAAGATCTGTTACCATTACAAGGCTATTGTATTCTGATGGTGGGTTTTGATTACTTGGTGTCGTGCAGTAAGCTTGCGAGTAGTTCTGCGGCATGCTTTCAGAAAGGCTATCACAGTCATAAACTTCAATAGGTATTTCATTGACAGGCTTAAGGGCTGTGTCCTTACTTTTATCATCATTGACATTAACATTTTCATTAGTCTTTGCCACTTGACTAGGTATTGTCCAGCTGGGTTTATTTGATTTATTTTTCGTCATTTCCACAAGGAGTTGTATCCCTTCTTTATCAGTGTGAGTGGAGAGATGTTGGATGTACTTATCTTTATTGACAGTCTTGAAAGAGCAGTATGGACAACAATGGATATCTGTATTAACATTGGGATGTTTCGAGATCATGTGGGATGCAAACAAGGTAGACTGTATGGCCGTGTATGGGCAGTGTTTACACTTATACACATTTTCTTTGGAATGTTGTTTTTTGTGTCGCCGTAGCGAATTGTGATCGCCTGACCGGAATTCGCAAGTATTGCAGGCATACGGCTTATCGCCTGAAAATAAAATGGTTTATCAAATGATTAACTATTTCTACTAGTTACGTCACACCTTATTTATGGTCTTTTGACTTCACCTCATCCATGCCACACTTAAGAAACTCCGGCCCTCTCTAGTGTGACGTCACATATTATGAAATTTTACGTTTAGAAATTATTAAATAAAACCCGCAGTTCTGAAATTGATTACTTTCATTGCCATTTACATTTTTTTTTAATAAAATTAATATGAAATGAAGCATTTGAAAAAATTAACAAAACAAAAAACGATGAAAAATATTACTGTTAATAATTACCATTTCGCGTTTTAATACTTAGATATATAAAGTTAACAAATGTGACGTCAAGAAGCATCTCACACAATATCACACTTGGTCGACCCCCCTAAAACGTGTGGCGTAATTTATATATGACCTCAGCATTGAGCATCAGATCACCATGGTCTATGGATGTCTCTTTTTGTAACATGTAAAGATAAACACACAACCTAATACATACCTGTATGTGATCTTAAGTGCATCTTGAGCTGTTCCTTCCTAGCACTACTGTAATCACATTGAGAGCATTTGTACTGCTTGACTTTGTCATGCACTTCGGCAATGTGGATCTTTAACCGTTGTTCATTCCGTAACTCGAGCAGGCAAGTAGGACACTGTACTGGGTTGTTGCCGTTCTTATGAAACTGTTTGTGTTTTGATAACTGATTAGGTGTCTTAAATGCCTTTGAGCATACAGGACCTGAAAAAATATTACTTTATATATAAAAATATGGAGTGTCCCACCCCTATTAATCATGTGGGTATTATAAGAGCCAACTAAGGAAGCAAACCATAGAGTATAACATCCAACATAAAAATTTTCCTCTCTTTAGACGACGTCCGGCACACGCGGACGCCGCCCCCTCGCGGCTGGCCAAACTAATGCGGGTGGAGGTTAAACCCACCCCGTCCACCCGCGGCCACACTCAGGGCGGCATGAGGTGGCGAACCGGCGCGCCTCCGCCGCCCGGTTCGCCGGCGGCGGATCGGGTCCGAGTATAGGTCGTCCTCCCGGGCCTTCTCCGCCGCCTCCTTCCGCGAGATTACTTCCTCGCAGAAGGTTGGGACCGCGGTAAAACAACTGTCGCTACCGGCCATGGAGCGTACTACGGCCGGTAGCGAGAGATCCACTCCGATGATTGCAGTGAGGGCCCGGCGCTGCGTCGCCCATGCGGGGCAGACCGCCAGCGTGTGATGGGCCGAGTCCTCACTGACAGCGACCGAGTGCAGGTACTTTCCGAAGCAACCGTGCCCGGAAAGCACCTGCGTCAGCCGGAAGGAAAGGGTCCCGTGCTGCCGCAAAGAGAAGAAAACCCCTGTACCAACCCATCTGGCCAAAATGGTATACTAGGCCAAAACCTCCTTTCTAAGAAGAGGCTTATGTCCAACACTGGGCTATTAAGGCTGTTAATATATATCTTATAATTTTTAAAGAGAAGAAAAGTTAATATAAGAAAATGTAAAATTATTTTATTTGGAAATGTTTCAATTAGATTACTGGAGCACTTCAAAATTATATGTTATGGAATGCAGCTTTTAACAGAAACACAGATTGCATCATACATCAATAAATGTTTGCATTGGTCTCAGTGTTTTCCAGTATAGTTCTATATTATCTTTATAATATTATCTATACAAATAAATAAAATTGAAGTGTCTGTTTGTAATGTCAAAATAATAGTGTTTCTCATGCTCACATGGTTATTTGCACGATACCTATGCCTAAAAATCAGTTAAAATGTTTTTGTCTGCCTGTCTGTTTGTTCCGGGTTATCTTCTAAGCGACTGGACGGTATTTGTCTATATAAGGAGTAACTTAGGCAATTTTTCCTCTCAGAAAACCTTGGCCCGGTCTGGGAATCAAACCTAAGGGAATCAAACCCGCTTTTCAGTTTTAAATATGATAGTAACTATGTTAATTTATAAAACTCAATGCCATACCTACTCAACTGACTATCATTAACTTCTCCATGAATATATTCTCGTGGGTACACAAAGAAAAGGGTTTTATCCAGAAAAAATTTCTTTAGAGATTGTTATATTACCCAGAAATGTTTGATTTCCAATATATAACTGTTATAAATTAAATTCAATCATTTATACTTACATATATGAGGTTTAGTTTTTCTATGGCATTTCATGTGACTATTTCGTAGTCGTGAATTTCTATAAGTTTTAAAGTTACATATGTGACAAGTCGGTAACTCTACGTCTATCATGTGAATTTTCCACAAATGCATGTGTAACATTTCTACTGAAGAGTATGCTTCTGAACACTCTGGACATATTAGTTTACCATTTTGGTGACACTTCCTGTGATATACTAGATTCTTTTCCTCTTTTACAAGTATTCTACAATTATCTACTAAGCACATTGTACCCCTTTTCCGTTCTGTAGGTTTTGATGTTTCATCATCTTCATCTTTTAGTTGCTCAGGCTTACACACGAACGGAATGTGTGTTTGTTTACTGTCTCTAGTTTGTGACGGAGAAAGCTTAGCCTCTAATGATGTGATACGTGGCTGTATGGATGATATTAGATCTGGTGGGACACTAGACATTTGGATCATATTACAAGGTGGCTTTGAAGTGTTGGGATCTGATAGAGTACGGACAAATTTAGCTGACATTTCATTTGTGTACACTATATTGATACTAGCTTCTTGTATTATTTCTTTTGGATCAAGTTTTTCGAAGTTTGGTGTACTCATTTTGTGTAGTTCATCTACGGATATAAATGCAACTCCTTTCGGTAAATCACTGTTGGCATTTACAGCATCAGGGACTATTTCTATGACTTGCGGGATTTTAATATCAGGTGTATCCTGCCTCTGAGGAGTTAACGGTGGTGTTTCAGGTTTAAAATGTTCTTTTTTTAATTTAGCATTTTTTAAAGCTATTTGAACTAGACTTTTGATCATTTTTTTAACATCTTTAATGCCCATTTTGTGGTGGTTGCGTAGATGAGTTCTAAGAGTTTCCTCGGCATCGAAGACGCTTGTACAACCAGGACATGGTATTTGTATATTGTCTGCAAGACCATTATTTTTAGCCAGGTCTGGGTGGACTGTGAATAGATGAAATTTTATGTCATCCTCTGCAAGTGCCATGTAGGGACACGCTTCACATTTAAAGAAGGAAGTCGAGCCAACAGATTTTTCTTCATACGACATGACTTTCTCCTTCGGAGCAGGTTTAACTTCTCTAGGAGTCTGATTGATCATTCTGCTCACGTTCATAATAAAGCACTGACCAGACATTTTTCACGGTTGAAAATTACAATTTTAACAACTAACGTATCATCATAAAATAGATTATTTTTTTACCGAACCGCGAAACAGAAAACTCATGGTTTAAGAAAACAGCTGTAAACATTAGCGGCCATTGTTTTTCATATTATTTTATAGGCATTCCATGAACGTGATTGACAGGCGAGTTTGGAAATTAAACATATGAATGACATTTACGAAAAATTGACACACTGTTTCTAAAACATGGATAGATGTCTGCAGTCGTTCTGGGTAACATTGGCTTTAAGTTTTGAGGTAATTTGACACAGATTTATCTTTGTAATTTACTAATTTGTAATTTAATTTGTAATTTAATTTGTAATTTAATTTGTAATTTAATTGTAATTTATAGATTAGCATTAATTCGAATGCAATTCCTTTACAGTAACTGATTTAAGATTGATGTTGACTTTTATTTTTTGGGGTAACATTGAATCATATTTATCTTTAAAATCTTTAAAACCTATTATAAGATGTTCGACATTAGAGGAAGGATTATTATTATAACACTAGCTGGTACCCGTGACTTCGTTCGGCTGGAATTTGCATTGAAAATGTTTGATCAATTTGCAGAATTCATGAAAAATAAATGTGTGGGTGTTTCGCATAATACAATTTGAGTAATGAAATGGAGTCTGAAACGGGACTTAAAATATAGTAGTTATCTCCGTTGAGATGTCCGTACACATGTGCGTGCCTCTTTTTGGATATACAGGCGTGATATTTTCTGATCAATTTTAGCTAAAACAGATTTCAGTGTCTGACCTAATCTTTAAAAACACATATGTAGCGTAGGTCCATGTAGCGTTAACAATCCTTAATATCCGTGTATGAAAAATGATATTGGTAGCAAAGATTTCCTGTCTTTTACTACAGAAATTATTACTGGTAAATACGGTTATCCATTTTATAGAATATTTTCAATCGATCCAGCAGGTTTGAAGATTACCCGGAACACAGTTTTTAGCCATAGGTATCGTGCAAATAACCATGTGAGCATGAAAAAACCTATAATTTTGAAATTACAAACAGACTTCAATTATAGAAGAATATAAGTGTGCTTTATGATTAGACCAGGGTAGTCCAAACCTTGTGTGTGTTGTTGTAACATAATGATTTTCTTAACTGAATCAATTTATTTACTTAGCTTTCAGATATTTCTAGACCTCACATAATTAAAGTAATCCTACAAATTAAAACGGATTACTATTATTACTTTAGTCGATTTCTCAACTTAAACAGTCGATCATTATTCTATCCCTTGTCTATGGCTGCTAAATTGACTGACGTATCCCAAATTCCCATTGGTGTCAGTGTTTTGACTTCGTGTAATAAAAAGTAGAAACCTAAAAGAAAAACTGCGAAAATGAGTGTGAGTACAATACTGTTTCTCTTAATTTTTGATTTACCTCAAAAGCAATCATGTCATAATTTCTTTTTCGCAGCTTGAAATAGAATCGATGGTTCGCTACACATCTCCGATCAACCCGGCAGTTTTTCCACACCTCACACTTTTGTTACTCGGCATCGGCATATTTTTTACGGCTTGGTTCTTTGTTTATGAAGTCACAAGCACGAAACTATCAAGGGATTTGTTCAAGGAACTGCTACTGTCGCTGGTCGCCGCGCTTTTTTCAGGATTTGGGATCTTATTTTTATTACTGTGGGTGGGCATCTATGTCTGATAACTGTTTGTAAACTAGTTTGTAAGCTATGTATAGCATTCCGTATGTGGCTGGCACTGAGATCGGTTTTATTTGACCAAATGATTGTTGGTAATAAATTTTATATTTAAGAAGTATTGAGTTATTTATTGTTTCAAAGTTAAATGGCAAATTCATGGTTAGTTCACCTCTAGTAATGTGACTGGACTAATAAAAACCTTGTGTTATCTTATCATACATTTTCTTGGCTTCAGTTATTTATTACTTCAGAAATTAAACTGGTTTTCTTACTCTGGGTACACAATTGAGAATAGTTATAGATTTGACCACTGGCATGTTGGCCTAGTGATCAGTGATCCTGACTGCTAACCCAGAGGTCGTAGATTCAATCCCACCCAGGACAAATGCTGATTTGTATCACCAGTATTATGGTAATAACCGTAATACAGACTGCCTAGCTTGAGAACAGAAGGCCATGTGTGTTATTATATTGTTTCTGAGCAACTACATTTATTAAATAAAACACTAAATTAAACTAACTTTTATTAAAATTCTTAAAACAATGTCTATTCATAGAACTAAACTTATACAATATATATTGTATGTATTATATTCTTTCTCAATAGAAGAGCTCACATCAAAAAAAACATAACCTAGAAACCAAATTAAGCCCTTTTCATCTATCTAGTATTATAGAATATTAATAAAACAGTTATCAATTTCGAATTGTTTGGTGACAACATTGGTAAAGCAAAGGGTATTGAAAGACTCGTGAAGTGTCTATAGACTAGATAGATTATTTTAAGCCCTTACGTTACTAAACCTTTGAACCTCTTTTACGAAGCCTGTTTACAAATTGTGTTAATTAATTAGAAAATAAATAAATTACAAAACATTCTTCCAATTTCAAATGTAACTAGTGCAATTTATAAGCCACACAGTGTTGAAGGATCTAGGTTGTTGTTTACCGTTGATAAGTGTTTTACTCTTTCTTTGCGCACAGCATCATCTACTAAGACTATTTCGTGCATGCGACGAGACCCCAAAGACTGGATCCGGTCACGTAACACCGCGTGTGACATTATATGGCGGCTGAAAGAAAATGTATTCTTGGTTTTAATTTTATGATTTACTACATTTTGCCAGTGGCTTTGCTTTAACATGAATATGCAATCAATTCGTTGTCCCTCGGGAATAAAACATATTTTTGATATTGCCTATTTGATAGTTTTAGTTTTATTAGTTAGTGTCCTACTCTGTATGTAATACTGTCATACGCTTGACGTGGAGCGTGCTTGACAGGGAACGTAAAGCAGGTACATTTTCTAAATTAGTGTAACCAGTTTCCAAACTACAGACAGTCATCCACATGGGTAAGGCAAATCTATAAAACTGTCTTTTTAGGATTACGGAACACTAAATCTGTAGTCGATAACTGCTGGACTTTTACAAACAGAAGCTGTGTTATACATATTAGCTGTGTACCTGAAGTCTTCCTCATCCATTCTGTATAACTGTGAGTTCTCAATTGCTACTATGGTGGCCGGCCGCTTATGGTCCTTCATGAGTAGAGCCCCTTCACCGAAGTGTGCACCGTCTTCGAGATGGCATATCTATTAACATCCCCAATAGTTTGTAACAATTATGCAGAGTAGGTAGTCACAATTCATCTTCTCGTAGATTTGGTAGCCACAGACAATCTTATAATTACTGGTTCTTGAACTTTTAGAATTCTAGATTGACAGAGTTAGAGAAATAGGTAGTTGAAAGTAAGAATGGTAGTGACTCTCATATAATTATGCGGCAATTATTATGCCAGTAGAGGCGAGTAGGTATACCTACGTCAAATTATGTTTATTTATTAAGTGTATTGGGGGAAGACTCAGCGAACTGAGATAAACGAAGCCTTGTTTTATCGGCAGACGGGGTCCGGAATAGCCCTGCAAGATTTTTAAGAGAATCCAGAGACATTGAGAAATAGTGTACACTAGTACACACAGACACACACATAGAAACGTTTGCACACTGTACCTACTGCCTACCCGTAGAATAATAATTTTAAAATTATATTATAGCCGTTTTAATCACTCTTTACAAGAGACTAACCCGTCTGGCCAGCGTGGATATAGTAGGCTAAAACCTGCTTTGTACGGAGAGGTCTGTGTCTAAACACTGTTAAACAAAGACCTATCCTTAAAATTGGACACTGTGGACTTCTAAAGGCTGTTAATGAATAATGATTACAAGATACCGCGTTTATCTTTCCAGGGACTCAGAACAAACGCGCTCACAGACATTTTACATTATCAGTAATTATTTACTTTTGGTAAAGCTGGCACTGATTTATCGTGATAGACAGTGTTCGATTTTTATGCAGACGGGATGACAACTAACGCCACCCATGACCAGTATGGACACCTGCAGCTGAAGAGACACAAGTAAATTCACGCCCTTGGCATTCTCTACCAAGAGGTTTATAAAATGTAGAGGAAGCGAACAAGGTCCGGCCCTTTCGCATATGGTTGGTAGAGAGAGAAAGATGATTGTTTTGGACTTGCATCTCTTTGTGCTGTTGTTAAATGCTATTTAAAATGCAGCAGCCAATCAGTGCAGAGAGCAAAGAGAGATAAAAGACCAAAACAGTCTTCTTTCTCTATCTGCCGACTGCACGCTACTATTTACAGAGGAATATACAGTTCGCTTCCTCTATTTAAATTATTTCTATGTGCCCTACCGACTCCGTATTGGGGAAGGGGTTCGACCTCGGATAACCTCAATCTCTCGGTTTAAATCAACGAAAGAATTGCGTAACAACTAAAAATGGAAATAATTGCTACTTTTAAATCATGAAATGCGTTTTTACATGTGATTGTGATTTCGTCATGGACATAGATGTGGCATTAAAATCAATCAAAATTATTACGACCCTTTTTTTAGACCTTTCGCGAATCTTGCGCTATCATAATAATAATAATTAAGTAGCAGTGGTTTTGTAAATCAGTCAAGGTGTGATGAAATTTTAAATCATATGAAATGATATAAGTTATCACATGAGATTGTGATTTTATTCCATCCCTAGTAAGAACTGTTGCACAGTTGAAACAGTTGCTAGTGATAACTACAATTCAGCCGGCCCATTTGTGTCGAAGCATGGCTCTTCTACATCTACGGTTAACACACACAACCACATTCTGCAGTTAAATACCTACTTGTGTAAATAAAAGCTCGCTTACTTCAACGCCATTCGCAGAATACGCAGCTACGGTGCCGGTAGATATGAAATACATGCAATCCCCCTGATCCCCAGCAGCTATAACCAAGTCATTAGCTAGGTACACTTCGGGGTGGAGGCATCCAAGAATCGTTCCGACCGTACTCGGAGAGATATTTTCGAAGAGTTTCACCTTGTCGATGAGTGAACGACTTGTGTGTAGTTGAACTTCATCACGTAGTTGTTCTAAATGATATTTGATTGATTTTAGACGACCTTGGAACTTAAATTAATAATATTCCACGTAACAATTTATACTTATTAAGAAATATTGTTGGCGATATTTAATTTAGCAAAGCTTGCGAGGATGCTGACTGAATCGATTTAATAATATCATCATTAAAAAAAAAAAAAAAAAAAAAAAAAAATATTATAGGTGTATTTCTGAGGAGTTGGCTATCCCGCAGACTACTTGATGTAGCAGCAAGTTCCAGGTTTCATGTCGTAGAAGTACAATCAAAGTAACAGTAGGTATACCAATTTTAGACCAAAACCTGTGGATTTTAGTGAGATCCCTCCATCACTTAGGTCACATCGGCATTCGATCAAAAAAATCCGCATCCCATCCGTTCGGGAGCTATGATGCCACAGACAGACAGGCAGATACACAGATACATAGGTTAAATTTCGTTTCCCTCGTTTTCCGTCGGGGGTTAAAAATTAACTAAGTTTTTCGTGGCTAGGACCCTTTTTTGGGTAGACTTATCATATATAGTTCTATAAAATAATTGACATTGACATTGAAACACTGAATGGTTTTTCCATAATATAGGTACGAATAGTGTAAGGCAATGCATGTGAAACAGGAAGTTATAAAGCAAAAGCACTTTATGAGTAGATATAGCTACTGAATAAAAAAAATATTGCTATACACACCGGATAGACACTGGAGGTTATTTGACTCTTTGAAGTAATGTTGCTGATATCTGTATTCATAGAAAGCTCGTACACGTTTCTTTAATTTAACAGGGAATTGTCTGTATGTCATATATTCCTGTATTAAAACAAATATACCATATAAATACACTTACAGAAGTTTAAAACAACACTATTATCTATTACATATACTTATATCACCTAATACCAACTAACAACCAATTACTAACAATCAATAAAATAAATAACCAGAAAATACAGAGTTGGTGTACTAACTTTCAAACTATTGCGTTCCATAATATATACCTAATTACTAGTATGTTTACGGAAATTAACGCGCTCAAGATAGGTATTAAGTATGTTTAAATAAACCCCAGAAGGTCAATTCTCGTACCTAATAAAAATTCGTTCACAATTTAGTTCCAACCAACTTTCGATGGCGATGTGAATTAGCTCTGAGGTTGCACTGATCGTAGTCACTGGCTGACTTAAGCAGAGGGCCAAGTGCAAGTTTATTTCACATCAATTAGCTCTCGCACTTGGGCCTCAGCAGTCAGTAGGTATCGTGAGCTCGTTAATTCACGTAAACATAATCTCCCATAAACATAAAATCGACATGATATGTCTATAGAGTTGTGTTATATGTGTAATATAATGTACATACATTGTTACACATATGGTTGTGTCTCTATGACTCTGTAGAGTTGGGTTGTAGCTGACACATTAGAGAAATCAGTAGTCTTCTTTTGTACGGGGCATCGAATGCATCAAATTTTAGTGTTAAATGTAACTTGAGCTCTGATGATTTATTAGTGTAATCTTTTTTATTTGTGCAGCCTGCGAGGCTTGGATCATTGGTTTGTTCTAACTAGGTCATGGTAATAAGAACTAACATTCTGAGGTCAGCTAAAAAAATAGATGAGTCGCCTCACACCTACTTGCTTTTATAGGCTTATTCCCTTTGTCCTCATTGACGCTGTCCCATAGTGTACACACAAAGCGTTATTATTTCAAGCTTACTGCCATCTTTATAATAGATTGGCAACGCACTCGTGATTCGTAAGATGCAGGTTCGGGGCTGCGGTAGTCTCTCAACATCAGATGAACCGACTGCTCATTTGCCCCCTATGTCATAGAAAAAAAAACACATTTTCTATGTGAAATAGGGCTATTACTTTTTATGTAGTTTGTTGCACCTATATTTTTCTTTATAATTCGACTCATAGGTAAATTTATTTGTTTAATTGAATGCGTTTATTTCTGGAACTACTGATTCGAATTGTAAAATTCCTTTAGTGTTTGATAGCACATTTATCGAGGAAGGCTTTAAGCTATGTAACATCACGCCACGACCAGTAGGGGTTGAGCATAATTGAAAAATGTTGCAAAAACAGGGCAAATTTATTGATTTTAAGAGACGCAAACGAAATGGGGGAATCCTTTAGTGATTAATAAACTTACTTCTACTTGATTGATAAGCCCATTATAACGTATCGTTGAGTCGTACATCGTCAGATACGATTTGATGAAAAACACTGGAAAAGTGAACAATACTTATAGTACATTATAACGTTTAATACTGAAAAACCTTTAATGACAATAAAATAATATTAAAATGGTACTTAATAATAATGTATGTACTTTATAAGAATTACACTTTGCATAAACGAAATCACACCCAAAAAATACTAGTTACTATTACGCTTATTGTTACTTATTAAATAAAACTTAATTTAATAAATTAAAGTAATAATAACTGACCTAAAGTAAAAACCATAAATATAGCCGCGTAAACAATAATGCAGGAATGTACCAACAACTCGTCTGGTAAGCTCGAGTGAAACATTGAGTAACCAGTGCCTGAAAAATTCAAATAACCCTGGTCACATCGTATCAAAGTAAACTCGTCGCAGATTTCTGAACGATTGTACTGTGCCAGTCACATAAAAAAAATTGGCATAGAGTCTTATAATCTCTATTTTTTTGTTTAGTTTTCTATAATTGAAAGAAATCCGTATTTAATTACTTCTTTCTGAATTAACGATTGACTCAGAGCATTAGCCATGTTTACAAACAGAATGACAGAGTCGATTTCAGAAAATCTTCACTTCATTATTTTGAAAACATTACAGAGAAGGCTGTGCAAACCTGAATAATAATAATTACCTTACACAAGAGTCTGATTCCAAAAAAGCCTGTACTATGGTAACAAAACTGCTGATAAACATACTTATATATTTCTAAGTACATACAAAACAAGAACAAATTATCGTATTCAGCACACAATTATTTGTCCTGGGTGGGAAGCGAACCCACGACCTCCCCCTTAGTAGTCAGTCTCACTATCCAAAAGACCACGGGGCCGTCAGAAATTGTATTTCGTGTATTTTGGAGAAAATGACATGTAACTACTTAAGATAACAAAGCTTTTAGGAACACTGTGACGTAAGAGTTAAATAAAAAAAACAAATTGGGAGATCTTACCAAGGAAGGCGGATACAACAATTATAATAGCTTTTCCATATCGATAATCAACAGAGAACCTCATCAAATTGACATCGTCCCCTACATTTTGTAAGTAAAAATTGTAATCGACAGGCAATTTAGCCGTCCCTGTAAATTAAATTAAATTAATTCCAAACAATCCTAATGTCGGCTAGAATAATTCTCACCCATTCTCATTCTAAATTCACCATTTACTACAACTTATACTCGTACCTACATATTATGTTGTTACGAGCGGCGTATACAATAAATTAAAGTTGTCGGTTAATTACTTTTACTGTACTGCTTTTACAAACACTCACTATAACAAACAAGAAATCACTATATAATTCGTTAGTCGCACTAGGAATTTGCTTTGATGTTAATTAGCTTAGTCGTAAAACGATACTGTGTCGTACGGATAACACGTTTCGCTTTTATAGTGCTATCGAAATTACTAGACTAATCCCGAAGATGCGATGAAATGTTCCAGACAGAACCACGCACAGTAAGGCATCTACAAATTTCTATAATCTTCCGATATTCGACACCTTACCTATAATGATACTCAGCGATTCGGGGGGCAGGTAAACAAATTACCTAATTTATAACAAATATTGTAAATCGTGGGATTTAATTAAGCCTTTAGCAAAATCGGGGACGCAAGTCACTACGGTATGAATTAACATCGTTTGTTATAGCCGAGTTGCCTTTAAAATATTAAAAGAGGATAATTAAACGAGGATCGATTAGATTATCATTGTTGATAATGTTGATACTATATAAACATTGTTTTTCAAACTCACACCAGATGGCGTTTATCCGCGGCTGACTTCTACAGGGAATCATCCATCCACAGTTTACAATCACGGCTCAATATTCAGAAATATTAATTATTTCCCTATTATATCTCATACAAACAATAACTTAGGTTGAATGGTATTTATTTATTTCATATTAGGTTCCTAAATCTATACCTGTGTAAACAAATAATAATAATAATAATATAAAACTGCTACAACTAGACCCGAAAACATAGACATTCCTACACAGACACAACTTGAAACATTTTGGTCAGGTATTTGGGAAGAACCGGTACAACACAATGATAAAGCAGACTGGATTACAGAAGAAGAAAATAAATGGAATTCAATAGAAGAAATGGAATTTGATTGTATTACAGAAGACGATATTGCACACGTAACAGGTAAACTACACAACTGGAAATCTCCTGGCATAGATAAAATACATAATTACTGGTACAAAAAGATAACATTATTTCACAAACCTATAGCCAAAAACTTAACATATATAATTCTGGGGAAACAGAATATACCTGAATTTATAGGTATGGGTATAACATATATGCTGCCAAAAACCGCACACTCACCACAGCCTTCTCAATACAGACCCATTACATGCTTACCTACTATATATAAAATTCTTACATCAGCAATAGCCCACAAAATTAATATGCACATTGAACACAATCACATAATAGCAGAAGAACAAAAAGGATGCAGGCGGGGACACATGGGATGCAAGGAGCAGCTGATCATAGACTCTACTATCCATAAACATGCTACTACAAAAAACAGAAACTTACACTGCACTTACATAGACTATAAGAAAGCGTTTGACAGCATCCCACATTCTTGGCTTTTAAAAATTTTACACATCTATAAAATTAACCCTAAAATCACAGATTTTATGCGCGATATTATGAGCCATTGGAAAACCACATTACATCTAAATATGAATGATAGAACAGTCACGACCCGACAAATCTCTATAAAAAAAGGTATATATCAAGGTGATTCCTTGAGCCCCTTGTGGTTCTGTCTTGCCTTGAATCCCTTGTCTCATTTGCTGCAGCGATGTCAGGCAGGATATCGTCTGAGGAATTCTACAGAAGAAACTATTATTTCTCATCTCATATACATGGACGATATTAAACTATATGCAAAATCCGACAAAGAAATGACAAAACTATTACAAAATACAACAAAGTTTAGTAAAGATATAAATATGGAATTTGGACTGGATAAGTGTAAAACGTTACACATAATCAGAGGGCAAATACGCCCTGGGGACTACGCAGTGGATGAGTCAAGTACGATAGCAGCTATGGAGTCAACAGATTTATACAAATATTTAGGTTATAAACAACTTAAAGGGCTAGATCACACCTCAATCAAACAAATATTAGCTACTGAATATAAAAGTCGAACTAACACTTTATGCAAAACCCAACTTTCTGCTAAAAATCTGATAAAAGCATTAAACACATACGCTATTCCAATACTAACCTACTCATTTGGCATTATAAAATGGACAAAAACTGACATAGAGCAAATAGAACGAACTACACGCACTACATTAACCAAACACAACAACCTACACCCTAAATCCGCCATAGAAAGACTTACTATCAAAAGAGAAAATGGTGGCAGGGGTTTAATAGATATTTATCATCTTTGGCAAAAACAAGTTTATAATCTAAAGACATTCTTTCGCACAAAATCACACACAAGTAACATCCATAAAGCCATAACTCTAAACGACTACAATTTCACACCACTAAACTTAAATGATCACACTGGAATACACAACCCTAATAACATAGACCCACAGGCAGACAAAATAGAAAACTGGAAAAAAAAGGTACTACATGGAAGACACCCTCATGATTTAGAGCAACCCCACATTGATACAATAGCGTCAAATTCATGGCTTAAAATTGGTAACCTATTTCCAGAAACAGAGGGATTTATAATAGCTATACAAGACCAAATAGTTAATACGAAAAATTATAGAAAATATATAATCAAAGATGCAACCGTTACAGATGATAAGTGCCGAAAATGCCACATTCAATCTGAAACCATTCAGCACATTACTGGAGCATGCATTACCCTCACACAAACGGATTATACACATAGACATAACCAAATAACTAACATCATCCACCAAAAATTAGCACTCAAACATCATCTTATACAAAACACAAACACACCTTACTACAATTATACTCCTCAATCTGTATTAGAAAGTAGCTCACACAAACTTTACTACGACCGCGCCATCCTCACAGATAGAACCATCCACTATAACAGACCAGACATAACCCTACAAGACAAAATTAACAAAACCACCTACCTAATTGATATTGCAGTACCGAATACACACAATCTACAGAAAACCATCACAGAAAAAATTAGCAAATACACAGAACTAAAAGAAGAAATAATACGAATCTGGAGACAGGAGAAAGTTTACATAGTACCCATAGTTCTATCTACCACAGGAGTTATACCTAAACATCTTCACCATAGCCTTAAATTAATCAATTTAAATGAATCCGTGTATTTTAACCTACAGAAAGCAGCAATATTGAACACTTGCCGAACAGTCAGAAAGTTCATGGATATTGAAGAGAACGGAACAGCACAACACACACAGCAACCACCATCTACATCTACATAACAAAGACACACACCTCACTGTATTTACTTGGTTTTGGCCCGTAAATACAGTTGAAACCAGCCTTGAGCTGAGAAAAATTAAGACTACAAAAATAATAATAATAATTTATTGTTAAAAAGGTGATTGTAGTACAAAGGCTTGTGACTTAGTTCTAATTTCAATTACATATATATAGATACAATCTTGTGGGTGGAGTTCTGTTACCCTTGATAGGTTACGCAGTAACCTGTAGTAAGGAATAACAGTCCTGTCCCCTTTGGAATATGCAATCGGTAAATACAATTATTTATTTAAAACAAGTGATGAAACAAAAGTTGAGAACATTTAAAGACTACAATTTGAGCTTAGTATTAATTTACATAAGAATTTCATGCAGGATATGAGTGTAAGTGTGAATGTATGTGTTAGTGAGTGTGTATATATAATAATATAATATATTACATACGAGGGTGGGCGCGTGCGTGCGTGCGTGTATGTGTGTGTTTGTATAGTCTGTTTGGATTTGTTTTTTGAGATTGAACAGGTACTTGTATATTATATTTAAATTTAATGTGGTTGGTGTGATTGTAAGTGTGTATTTTAAATATATATAGTTGAATAAATATTGGCAGACATTGCATGTACATAGATTTAAACTAATTAAATTAGATTTAAATTAATTAATTAAAATAATATGTTAAGATTTTATGGCAAGAATTCCTCGGTTTCATCATAAGATTTGTTTTGGAGAAATGACCTGAGTGTATTTTTGCATTTAAAGTGAGACAAACCGTATATGGGGCAACTTAAGTTTATTTTATTGTATAGGTATGGACCTAAGTAAAAGAAAAACCTTTTAGTAAATGAAGCACGTGGTTTTGGAACGTTACATATTTTATCTGTACGACGTTTGGACATTTTTATGAATGGAGTATTTTTGTGTTGCGTGAGTACTGCATGTAGTATGTATAATTGTCTAACATTAAGTACATCACACTTATTGTACAGTAAGGTGGACGCGAACATTATGGGCCTAAAAGTGGCAACTTTCAATATGGCCCTATGGGCTACTTCTAGTGGCTTCAGGAACGTTTTCGCTGCGCCACCCCAACAGGAAATACAGTATGTAACAATTGATAAACAGACGGCGTAATACACATTACGTATAATAGTTTGGTTTGCGATATGGCGAAGAGTTTTAAAGACGTAAATCAATTTACGGACTCGACCTACGAGATCACTTATATGAATCTTAAAGTTTAAGCATTTGTCTAGTGTTACGCCTAGGTATTTAACGTGATCAACTGGGGATAAAGTAGGACAGTCGCATGAGAGTTGATCTGAGGTGGGACAAGAGTGCGCTTTTAAAATTAGTGGTGTTATTGGTTGTGATATTGAGCTTTTTGAGAAAGTAATATATTTCGTTTTGGCTGTGTTCAATGTTAAGGTATGTGAATATAGCCATTTCGATGCAAGATCAAAGCCAAACTGTGCCATGTGCATCAGGTCTGACCATGTATCACCGACAAAGGTTATTGCCGTGTCATCTGCGTAGCACACGGTCCTTGCATTAGGAATTTTCAGCTTACAGAGGTCGTTTATAAATACGAGGAATAATGTAGGGCCAAGTATGCTACCTTGTGGTACTCCATAGTAGATGGGTAGTTCCTCACTATAATAGCCATCAATTTTCACTATCTGCGAACGATTTGTTAGATAACTCTCAAATAGCTGTAGTTGTGCACCTCTGACACCCATCTGTTCAAGTTTGGATAAGAGTGTGACAATGGGAACCGTATCGAACGCTTTTGCGAGGTCTAAGAATATACTTAGAACCTTTTTGTTTTGATTGATACTTTGAACGATAAAGTTTGTGAGCTCATGAATAGCGTCAGAAGTTGATTTCTTCTGGCGAAAACCAAATTGGTTGGATGAAATTAGATTATACCGATCTAGGTAGCCTACTAGTCTTTTATTTATTAAGCGTTCGAAAATTTTTGATAATGCACTCAATACTGCAATGGGGCGATAGTTGTTCGGTAGGGTTCCGTCACCACCCTTGAAGATAGGATGGATTATCGCCTTTTTAAGAGCATTTGGAAAGACAGCTGTGTCACAACAAAGATTAAATATGTGGCTTAATATGGGTGCCAGAAGGTTAGAGTATCTCTTCAAAATATAAGATGGGATGCCATCCCAACCCGTAGAGGCGTTTGCACGCAGTGAGTCTATCGTTGAAATGACCTCGGCAATGTCAGTATAGCTTAAAGCGAAGGACGAACATGCGAACGGTTTTGCAATGATTTGAGATTTGGTGATTAGGTGTTGATGTTGATGGTTCGTTATATTGTCCGCAAGTGTTTTACCGATGTTGACAAAGAAATAGTTTACGTCGTTACATGACTGAATGGGTGAAGTAGAGGTGTCCAGTAACTGAATTGAAGAATTTTTCACTTTTGTTGTATTCGTTATTTGTTTGATAGTATCCCATAGTAATTTAGGATTGCGACTGGCTTTGTTTATTTGGTCTGCATCATAAAACCTCTTAGCTTTTTTTAAAGTACTTGTGCAAAACTTTCTGTATCTTTTGTATGTTAGATGTAAAACTTCATTTGTTGGTGATTTCTTAAATTTTTTATGCAGCGCGTCTCTATGTTTTATGCACCGCAGTAGGCCGGGAGTAATCCAGGGTTTTAGTATTTTTTTCATTGCTGGGACTTTTTTATAAACTGTATGTTTTGATATGGCTGACGACAATAATTTTATAACTGTATCTGTCGCTGTGTTAGGGTTTGTTATTGAGAAAACGGAATTGAAATCCATGCTGGATATTGTTTCATCAAGTGCATTGTAATCGATTTTAGCAGCGGTGAAAGCCACAAAGTTTCGAACACTTTGGTTACTTAGACAGAGCAAGGTTGAGTAGTGGTCTGTGACTGTTGATTCATATATGAATGAGAAAGATGGGGACTTTGTTTTTAGAATAATATGATCTAAACAATTTTTACCTCGAGTTGGACATGTATGAGCTGGTAGTAAACCGTTTGAAGCGAGGCAATTTAAATATTCGTGTGAGCGTGCGTCTAAAGTATTAGGTTTGATGTCTATGTTTAAGTCACCAGTTATGACCACAGTTTTAAAATTAGTAAGCGATGAAAGTAAATTATTAAGGGTTAAAAGTAAGGTATTTATGCTATCACATGAAGGTGTACGGTAGATACAGATTATTGCAATAGTCTTATTAATTTTGATAATGATTCCAGAAGCTGTTTGATTAAAGTCTAATTCTTCATATAAAACCGATAACCCAGATTTGATATAAACCACCACACCGTCACTTTGATTAATGTGTTTAGTAGTTTTGAACATAGTATAGTTTTGAAGAAGCGGTATGGTGGCATTGCTTGAGCATGGCAGCCAACACTCTGTGAGGACTATCACGTCGCAGTCAAAATGAAAACGGTGCATGAATGTTTGTAAATTTAAAAAATTGCAGTTTATTGAGCGAATGTTCTGAGAAAATATTTTAAGAAATCCATTTGGTTGCTTTAAATAAGTTGCTGTTTCTTCGGGGGAGCATGTGTGAGCTTCTGATACGGAGAGTTGATCAATACTATCAATAAGATCATTAATAACACCAGTCATTTTTGTAGCAAGTTATAGTCAAAAGGATTAATGAAGTGGGATGAATCATTTATAACAGATTTTAGAGCAAATTGGAGAAGTTCAGTATTATAAGGTCTCGGCATATGGGACATTCGGTTCGCAATGGTTACTAAAATATTAATAGAGGGAATTAAGTATTTATAGCGGATAATTAATATAATATATCTTAACATAGCTGTAATGATATGTACGAATAAATAGTAATGGGGATAAATGTATATATTAGTTTTAGTGTTTTGTCTACTCATATCTATGAATAGTTGTGTGGGTTTTTGAGGGTTGTGTAATATTTTATAAAATATGTGTGTACTTATACTAATGAGAGTGCCAAGATTTGTAACTGACTTATTTAAAGTTACAATATTATAGGTAATACAATAGGAAATGTAATGTAATCGTGGATTAACAGCTAGTCATAGACTATTTTGATGGGAAAGTTGTTTCAGATGTTCTTCATTTTTAATAATGATTGCCTGGCTGTTTGTATCCTTTTTTAGCATAATCTTGCCGTTTGAAGTCCAACAGAAACTATATTGGTTTGCTTTGGCAAAGGATCTGGCAGAGTAGAATGTTTTTTTGGCTTGGGATGTTAATTGTTCAGTAATATATATCGGTAGCTGCTCAGTAGTTTTAATATCCAAGTGAGATGAGCTTACCTTATTTTTAGGGTTCTGTTTATTGTATTGTCGAATAGCATTTAAGAAGCTCGCCTTGAGTAATGTGTTGGAGAACTCTAACGTTATATTTGAGGTTTGATTTTCCTTTTTAGAAGGTTGTCTGGTTATATCCCGAATATGTGTGGGTTCTATTCCTATATTTAGTTGTTTAGACAGGTAAGTGATCGAATCATATAACATTGACTTAGTTTCTGCCACTCTTTTAGGTACATTTCGAAGCTCAACAGAAGTCTTCACAAGGTTGCGGTCAAGAGTTTCTAGCCTTTCTTCCAGTGATGTGACTTTTCTTGCCGTCTCGTGCCGTTCCATTTCTAAACTTGAGATATTGCTCTCTAGAGATGATAGTTGATCGGATATGAATGTCATAGATTTTTCGAGCTCGGTATTAGTTGTTCTAATCTCAAGATATTGGTTTTTTATATCCAGAATATGGTTTTCCAATTTATCGAGTCGTGAGTTTTGTGCGGTCATTAGATCATGTATCATCTGTTTGATCTCGGTTTTAAAGCTATCGCTCTCGTCACCAGTGATTTCGGTTGATAAACATTTGCGTTCGGCTCGTTGGGTGAGGTTCGATCCAATGGTTTCATTTGTGCACAATTTTTGGATATCAGATTCCGATCTTGATGGTATATTTTGTTTCGGTGGAGTTCTATGTAGTGACTTTGACATATTCCGGTGACGGTTTAAATCAATATAAAATAATTATTAATTATTTAATCAACTTGAATAATTATTAATAAATAATTAGAAGTTAATTGAACAAAGTTGGGATTGAGCTTGGGTTACACAAAAAAAATAAAGTTACCCGTTAATCGCTGTCGCTTGTAAGTTGTGGCAAGCGGCAAATGGTTCGTCGTCACACGATGACGTGAGATGCGCACACACAGCAGGGCCGACTTACTACCTGTGTCGCCGTAGTTGTTGTCCTGTTTTCTCACGCACTCCGCGGACATACACTGCGTTATGTTCGCCTGGTACTTTGTATATTTTTTAGTATTAATATTTGCAGCGAAATCAACTTTATTTAAATTTTTAAATAAACACGCACGGTGGGTGACGTCTGTTCGCTTACGCGGTCCAAAGGGAAGATTTATAATATCCACTACGGTAGCTATTATATAAATGATTTGAACTGATTATCAATAAATTAACAACTGAAACAAATGCGTGTATGTATAGAAAAGAAAATTTTTAAAATAAGACTTGTGTTGATAGGTACATCATCAATATTAAATCAAAACATCTAAAAATGATACTAACAGTAGTAAATGAGGACGGGGGATAGATACATTAGACAAGCACACCAATGTACACTAAGGAGCAAAAGCACCGGGATCCGCACTAACCCTATTACTATGTAAGATCCGGAGAACAACTGCAAACAAATTTAATGTTATAAATACTATTTTTTGTCTCTCTTCTTTCTTTTAAAAAGATAATTACCGCACTAGGAATATACTCTGTGTAACTTTACAGACATTCATGAAACGGACATAAAGAACACCCAGACTTAGAATAACTACGCGCCATCCGTGCAGTCATTTCATCTGATGGTTTTCTATAGAACTCAATTTAAAACAGCACTCTTCATTATGCAATGCCTCAATAATGCCTCATGAGACATTAATGCTTAGTAATATCTGGATTTAGGCTTTGGTCAATGAGGTTGGAAAAAGCGTGTTTAAGTAGATTGCAGATCAACACTCCGGGCTTTGAATCGGAGCAAGCAATGTAATAATTTCTACGAGTATTTCAGGGCTAAAGCTCATCTATCATGTTACTAGCTATTGCCCGCGGTTTCGCTCTTATTATTACTTCTTATTTCGTGTTTCTAAATTTGAAAATGACGATCTCCATACAACCGTTTTGATCACTTATTTTACTCCCTTAAGTATTGGTGAAACTTTCAAAATATAATAAACTACCTGACCCTGCAAACGTTGTTTTGCTATTTACATATTTTTTTTTTTGTGAAAGGAATATTCCTACAAAATTTCAAGTCTTTAGCTCTAATGGTTCCAGAGATATCGTGATGAGTGACTATATACGTGGAAATCTCTTATATATATATATATATATACATATATATATTATTAGATAATTGTACCTTAGTAATAGTCTTCAAATTGGAAGTGACTGTATAGATCCTGGTAATTCTAAACAGTGGCAGTATATGAGCACCAAGAATATAACGGTGGTTCTCAATCCCGATCCATAACATAAAGAAGGCTATCGGTGTACAGGAGATCAAGTCGAACAGTAACCAAGTTTTCAGGTAGCGACTAGAAGAATAATAATGATAACATATCTCACTCTCGGCCGTCTGATCCCAAAATAGAAAGAGCCTGAATTGTGGTAAACAGATTGTTGATTAAAGGACAAATTTCTCAATATGCATGTATTATATACAAATTACACCAAGACCGATAGGCCAGTCAAAAGAAGAAAGTTATTATGTAAGTTTTTGGGTAATTTAAGCCATGAGACTTGTGATACTCTCTAGCGTAAACCTCAGTAAACGACAAATGAGGGATGGGGTCGGGGCAGCGTGGTTTCTGGTCGGAGGCTTACGGTTAATCCATTCCTGCAGCCAACAAACCTAAAGCACCTAACTAACACACCTAATAAGACCTGAATTATGTGTATTGGTATTTACCCAGCTAAATAAGGACTCAAAATAGGTCTTTACATTAGTTGATTATGATGTGTAACATCCTAACATCTGTCATTATTTTATCTGAAAGCCATTTCTCTAAATTCTCTAAGTACGGTCAAAATTCAGTCCATTCAACTCTCGATCTCGCGCCTTCTGACGTCCAATTTAGCAACGTGCTCACTCATTGTTTAAATCACTTAACTCGCTTTTCTACCTTTCTGTTACATACTTCCGCGCCATTTCATGCGATTACTCTCACAGATTACTAAAACGCGATCTGTGGGACTATGTTACGAATAAAAAAATTATGAAACATTACCAAGCGATTGATTTTCTTTCCAAGATTATAGATGAGAATCTTTTGTCGTGATATCCCATGTTAAAATTTATAAATACGTCGGTCAAACATAGGATCTGGAAGACTAGCAGTCGTTTGTCAGTACTCTGCAGCTTTAAGTCGTTTATTGGCTCCAACACGTAGAATAAACGGAACGGAGACAATGTCATGTGCGCTAGGTTCACAAATATCATGATTGACATCCAGACTAAACTGAAAATAATTATTATTTTGATAATTTTCATCATCTGCCTATCGCTGTCCACTGCTAAAAATATCGATACTTCTAAATATATCTGACAGTACATACGAGTATAAATATTAATTTAATTTTGTGGTACTAGCGTTGGCCTAGTAATATCACATTATTTTATCATGTATGTACATCAAAAGTATAAGAAAGAAGCATGGCAGCAAATTCATTTCTTGAAAGAGACAGTAAGATCAAAACAAGACGATTCTCCGTTTTGTGCAGCGTGTTTTTATGTCATTGTTTCTCGGTTTTGACTGGCGTTGCGCTTTAATAAGACGAGTACGGAATGTGTTCTTGTGTGAATCTTGCCAACGCGTGTTTGGAGCGCTGGTAGGAACTGAAATGCATATGTGGACAACTTCCGATGCCTGTCACTTGAACATCTTAAGTTTCTTAGTTGTGCTACCGTAGAAATGAGGTGAACCGCCGCAGTAAAGTACAAAAAATATCTTGTATATGTAAGTATATTAAAATGTTGTTTGTGAACGCTTCAAAACTCAATAAGTTCTAAACCAATTGATCTCAAATTTTGACAAGATATACAAAACGCTTCAAAAGCTAACGCAAAAAAATTGATAGAAATAATTTTCTATCAATTTTTTTGCGTTAGTTTTGTTCTTCATTTTTCAGGGGGCAGTGTACAGTTAGTATATTATAAAATATCCATCGAAAGGCGTTTAAGTCAGACTCTTTAATGCTTAACAGAAATATAAGAAACTAAAAGTGACGTCCTTGAACTCACTTACAAAGATATGACCGAAGAGACTTTCAAAGCTGTAAAAGCGTAAAAATAGCGTCAAACATTTGACCACTAAATTACTTAACCCTGTCTGTGTGTGTCAGCTGTGTCGCAGTCATAATGAACGTTAGATTTGCTAACACACTAAAATACTGCAACATTCCATCTAGGCTCTAGAAATTACATCTATATACATGATCTAAGCTCTGTATATTCATGATGATTCGGAAAATAAAAGTGATAGCCAAAGATATCATAACATACACTTGGAGTAATTACAATGAAAACTGAAAATGATCCCCAACAGTTTTCATTACAATTTTATTCACAACACAACAATTGCTAAATATTTTGAAACAAACAGATAAAACTACCCTCTGAAATTTCCACTACGTTTGGCTAAATCTGTTTGCAATCTTGACGAGGGCAGAATTAACGCTAAGAACCGAGCCACTGAAGTATGAGAAGACGAAGTCGATTCTCACCTGAATAAACTAAGAGGATGAATAACACGATCGCCAGCTTCGAGAATTAGGCGCTGTCTTTCAGCCACTACGGCTGAGTAGCTTCTGTAATAGGTAGACCTGTCCGGATGATGCATAGACAACTGAGTCAACTTTCGAAATTTGCGGTAAACATTACCCCAGAATGTTTTGCTTTTGGGTAACATGCTGTCAGATCCTTTAAAGAAGATTTTTTACTATGTCATATTGGTCAGAAACGAATTCATGCAATTTGTTACAAGTACCTATGCTTTTTATGGAATGGAACAAAGAAAACGAACAGCTGGGTCACCTGACGGTAAGTAACTATCTCCACCCATGGACACATGAGACTTAAGAGACAGTGTGATGCCGTTCTTTGAGTAGGGAATGCCTCCCAGGAATGAGGAAGATTGACCCTTGCCTTTTCTGACTGGCTGTATGTCTATTAAGAATATTTCTTAGCCACGTTCTACAATTCTGAAGGTCAAGTCAGATTTGATACTACTACGAGGATATTTCCAGCTCTTTCGCGTGATCTTTTACCTTCTGTTTAGCCCACCAGGATTACCTTTTTGAGGTTGTATTCTCAGAAGGGTAGCACGTAACGTCTTACGAGTATAAGGGGAAAAAATTCAAAATGATTTTGAAATGTTTTGATGAGAATAAAATATTTTTTGTAAATGAGCGTGATTAAAATTAACAGTAGGTATTCCACTATAAAATCGTTACGTTTGAATTTAATATGGATATAAGTTACTAAATACTATTAGCAATTTGATATTTGTAGGTCCACAATTTAGGATATACTCACCGAGTTTCAACTCGCAAGAATGTTTCTTGAACATAATTATTATTATTTCCAATGTAACGTGTTTGATAAAACTGGGCACCTATAAAAATGCGGTACCAACATCAAATTAAAGTCTTCTTCTTCTTCTCTTATGTGGTAGCTTTTGCAATAAAAGTACTGTTATCTACAAGCACTAAAATCTCTAATAGTATTACTGTACTCTGTGCTAAAATCCTAATAACTATGTTTTAATACTTAACATAGAATACACAATGAGCACTGAAATAAATGACATTGAAATAAGTTGCCATAATTACAGGTTTTTTTTTTCAAAATTTCAGATTAAAAACTCCTTTGAGATTTTAGAAACCTCTATAGCGTTGTCCCTGTCTGTACTTATGCACTTATGCACCTACACAAGCACTCACGCATATCGCATACATGCATAAGTACTTGCTTATCTGCGTTTTTCATGCACACAGGACTACTATGATACTCTACTATATAATAACATTTCAACGGGTTCGAAGAAAGAAATAGTGTTCTTATATAACTTTATTATTTATCAAATTAAATCGTCGGGGTCGTGTTCAATCCAAAGTTGTTACTATCAGTAGCTGCAGGACTTGTTTTATATACATATATTAGGTAACTGTTGATTAAACATTACTACTACTACTCCAAGGGACCCGCCCTTGCAGTAGTAGTCTTAGGTGTATTGGTACACTTCTGGTCTTAGACGGATTGAGCAATACATTCTCATCTTCATTCATTCGGTCATTTGTTCTGTGTCTGGGTGTAATTTATCTATAATATGTATGTATTTAAAAATATATAAGTATGTTTATCAGCGGTCTGGTTACCATAGTACAGGCTCTGCCTAGTTTGGGATCAGACGGCCGTGTGTGAGATGTGTGAGATATATTATTATTATTATTATTATTATCTTCAAAGATCTTAATACAGATCTTAACTTTATAATTAGATTTTAACTCATAGAAGATTAGGTACCTATTATTTAAATTAGAAATAGGTATGAAAACGTAGTGTGTGCGAATTTTTCGGATACTAATCTGTCCATAAGAGTCCTTTTCTAAAAGCCCAAGGAGCGCCAACCATCCCAGTCGCAGGTTAATTAACTAAAACTTTAGTTTGTATTTACATTGCAGTCACTATAATTGTATGTCCTATCTGGTGGGCAGTCCTCTATGTGTTTAGCATAACACTCGTCGCTGGCTCGCAGCGTGTAGTGCAAATGGTAAGTCGCAGGTTTATCAGCATCGATCTTATGGAGGGTATTCACCGTGATCTGGCCCGTGTTAAAGTCAATTTGGGCTAATTCATCGGGAGTGTCTTCTCTCGTGCTGGTGAAAAAGAAGAAATTAGTAATTGTAGGCAATATTAAAGTGTCTGTCTAAATTTTTACGAAAGTTGCCCAGTTTTCAAACTTAATAGGTTTATGTAAGTTGGGCGACTATTAAATTAAGGAGCTAATAAAGCCATAACTACTTTCTTGTTTTCTTATTTATATCATCACATTATTTCAGTCTTTAGTCACCCTGTACGGAGGAGAGAGGAGAAAATTTAACTGCAGCAAAAATTAAAAGCTTAGTACTTTTAAGTTATAGGTTAGCAATAACTGGGTATTTTATTGTGAGTAACTTAACTTAAATATAATAAATACTATTGTACCACATTCACACAACGCCATCTAGTTCCAAACTAAGCAGAGCTTGTACTATGGGTACTAGACAACTGATATAAATATATATATCCTTTTTTTGTAAATACATACTTATTATACATAGAAACACCCAGACCAAATCAAACACTAAATGTTCATGCACACAAATGTTTGACTTGAGCGGGAATCAAACCAACATTTATTGGAAACAAATTTGTATAACTAATACACAGTATGCTCACAACATGGTGTATCGCACTTGGTTGTAGAGAGGCCCATCGAGGTCCGTGGCCAGCCCTGAGCCGATGACGACGCCGTGTCGGACCTCTCGCGAACCCTGAACTCCTGAGCGAGAGTTAAGTCCGCCCACAGAGGCTTGTTGTCGTTCATGTCAATTACGATTATCGTGAACGTAGCTGAGGAACAATATCAATATTCTTATAAAGTAAATAATCAAAATAATGTTAAATAAACGATATTTTTGTAGCGGTCTTCCCAGTCGCAGGAATATGTTAAGTGCATATTGAATTATAAATAGCCAAGGGAGCTAATAATTTTATTAATTATAGTAATGTGATGAGCCATTACACAACGATAAACAGTACAAAATACATATTTTTGTAAATACATACACATAATACACAACACTTTGTGTGATCCACAAATTGTTGCCCTGAGTCTGGGTGTTCTAGAAAGGTAAAACTATATGGTATTGTTATTGCTTATTTGCCAAGATTTGCCAAAACAAACTCAAGGATTCAAGTGTAGAAATGCGCAATACCGTTTCGGAATACCTTCTAGTGATATTCAAGAAAAAGGAGACCCGTGTTGTTATGCAAACATGCTTACCTTCATCATAATTTAATCCTATTTCAGTTTTGAGGTCAATCACTCGCACAGTGATGTAGAGTATCTCAAACTCCTCAAAGTCGATGGTGACACCCGGTCGGATCTCCTTCACAAACAGCTTGCCCACGGCTGTGCTCGTGTCTTGAGGGTTTGGATATACCGTTTGTATCTCTATGCAGCTGTCGATGAGGACATTTACAAATATCAGTATGATGATAATGTGTTTGGAGCAAATATCAAGACATCTACACTCGGATATCTAATAATATAATATAATATCTATCTATCTTATTTGCCCTACTCGAGAGAGTGATCCTGTATTGGACTATGCATGTATCTAAATATTTTTGTACTAGAATAAAAAATAATTTGGTTCTTACACAAATATTTGATGGCCTAGAAGTACAAATATAATATGTTTAAGTCAAAGACAGAACTTGTCGTAAGCTCGACATTGTGCATTTCTTAAAAAGCAGCGCTGGTGTAGTGTTAACACCTAAAGTATTATTCACAGACACTGAGCCATCGTCTAGTGATATTTAACTAACACATAAATTGTATTTAACTGTAAAATTTTGAACATCACTGGAATATTAACCAAAGAAAAGGCTACGCCACCACCGATGATGAGAATATGAATAGGCGCCCGTTATCTGAACATATCGTCGTGTGCTTGTTTGTGTATGTTTTTCTTAATAAATAACAATTAACTATATTAAATCACTTGTGGAACTCTGTTGCTGGTGTTTCCAGTCCTCGCTTTGTAGCATACGACGTGGTCCAATCAATCTCAAAGACAAGCTCAGCATCTGTATCCGGGTCCATTGCGATGATTTCTTGAGCAGGCATACCTTCTGCAACCTCCACCTCAATTGGGAATCCGACTGGAACGTTCTCCTCTACTTCAGGACGGGCCCGAGGCTATAAAACACATAATTTTTAAATATTATGTTTAATAAGTTGTTATTTTAAACGACCTTGACGAATTAATTTAGAGGAATCGAAACTTTTGCTGTACATGAAAACGGTTAACTATCAAAAGAGAAGTTAAGAGTAATATTAGATAAAATCACATTAATCATAAACAATGATATTCATGGCAAATCCTGTGGTTCCAACAAATTCCAAAAAAGGATTAATTCCAAGAAAAGCACTGAGATATACAGTACAGAACTTTAAACATGATCCCATTTACGTTAAGATCTACGAATTATCTGTTAAAATTTACGTTGAGGTCAAATAATTATAATTTTTAAGGCGGCTAAGGCTCACCAATCTAAGACTTGGCGGTGTATTATTGACATCAATGAGCTGAATAACTAGCTGCGAAGTGGCTGTGTGATGCAGTCCGTCGCCAAGGGTATCCACAGCTTGTACCTGAAACCAGATCACCTTAAATCTGTGTTTATTTTTAATTTATTTTTATTTCTAAATATTTAGTCACTTCAGTGTAGAATATGAAATCGTTATTTCTCTTACTTGTATAAACAGTTCGCTTTGCCTTTGATAGCTAAATGCGTTATCAACAGACACGTAGACGGAACCACGGGCTGGATCGATCCACAAGAAGTTGCCAGCATTGCCCAGGAGTTCGTGGCTGAAAGGAAATGCAGGCGTTTACGTTCATTCTTATCACGATATCTTCAAAAATACATTCTATTACTTCCATGATGCGATTTTAGTTGGAACGACTTAATTTTAGATGTAAAAAATATACATATATGCAAATTTCTTATATGTTCATTGTATAAGTTTTATTATTGAGAAAAGAATCGTGAAACAAGTGGTAGCTTTTTCCGTTTGAAAGATGTATAACTATTTATTTCAGACTGCACAGACCTATATATAAACCGTATGGGAAAGCCACTATTTTCAAAATTGATTTCAGACCATAACTAAGATAAGACATCGACGTCCTGAGATTTAGATTCGAGAGATTGTTCTTTGAAACAGAGAATATCTTGAGACATGAGTTATTTGGTTGTTTACTTTTTCTATACAAGCATTATCGATTTAGGTTTAACTAGTTCTTTACAGTGATCAAGTACCTTTTTTTTTTTTTTTTTTCCGTGCGGAAATCCCCTCGGATACCACCTGTCGGTGGCATGTCGGACTCGAACCGACTAAAACCGCACGCCTTCGCCGGGTACTAATAGCCGGGGAACCAGGTATACCCTAGAAAGGAAGTCCCTAGTGCCCCGACATACCTCGGGTCATCTACAGACGAGTAGACGACCCCCCCCGTGTGGGAACCCCATGTTCCCTGTGCTCCCTGGAAGCGAGCGCGCTTCGCAACGCGCTCGCCGTCACCCCGGCCTGCTTCTGCTAGGGTGACAGATGGCCTCACCTGTCACCCCCAGGCCTGCGCTTATGGAGGACGGAGGTCGTTCTGCGACCTCCGGCGCCTGAGTCGCCTGCGTTGCCTGGCCCGTGCCCGGGCCTGGCGGGCCGGGAGAGTTCTAAACCTCTCCCGGAGTGATCAAGTACCTACGTATTATCCAGGAGATCAAATATGTTAAGCGTTACTATTCGCGTCGTTACTCTGCGATACTCACACAACTCGGTCGTCGATGTCTCTGTCGGTTGCGGTGACGTTGGCTACGAAGTGTCCTCTACCAACTGTCTCTTTAAACGTAACTGTCTGTATGTTCTCGTAGAAGATTGGCTGCTCATCGTTCCAGTTGATAAGGTTTATATTCATAATTGCCTCTCGTACGAACTGTGTGTTATTCCGGTCTGTTGCAACGATCTGTATTAATAAATGTGTGAATTTTAAAAATAACATCATCATCCTATTTCATCATAAAATTAATCTTGATCATCGTTTATCAGGATCATGTTTTGCTATTTGCTCCAAATCTACAATAAATTGAACAATACCGAGTATCTGGGAAAAATCATTTTACTTCATCGCATCGTTAGGATAAAAAGTAATAAAACACAATTTGTGTAGTAATGAAGATACGTATAATTTAGCTTTTCCTTCCGGCAAAGTTTGTTTTTTTTTGTTTTGTTGAGTTTTGCTAAACCGGTTTTAGTTAGTTGTCTTTTCCTGCCGAATGATACTTTTTTCTGCATAAAATCTTTCTCCTCTTCAATTTTTCACGACGATCGGTCTAGGAGTAGAGCTACGGCTAAAAAAATTAAGTAAACAGCAATTGATGCTTTACATACCCTTAATGTAATATTTTGGAAGTCTCTGTCTTCGAAGTCAAGCAAGTGGTGGTTCAACGTTGTCAATATGAAGTTTCGACGCTGGTATCCAGTTGATGGTGAAATTTGGAAACCTGCCTCGGCACCCGGTGGACCATCAGCTATTATTTCCACTGTGTATATAGCATGGTCACCCTTAAATACAGCACTCGGTTAGGATATATTGCCACAATTATTTCACTTTATAGTACAATTATTCCCATATTTAATTACCAAAGCGACTAGTTGACCATTGTTTCCCAGTATTATGTGAGTGGGGCTATATTACCAGTGAGGTTAAGCCGCGGCCTGCCAGGTAGAAGTTAGCAAACCCCCCGAGTTTTTGTTACAATGATTTTTTTCTAGGGTCCGGAATAGTTCTAAAAGACTAATTATGACGTTTTTTTTGTGTAATAGAAAAGTCTAGTCAGCAATGGTTAAATTTATAGAAAATTGGTATTCCAATTTTCTATTAATTTAACTTACTTCTTAAATGAATATTACTCACGAGATCACGATCATGAAACCCAAAGTTTTGTAAGTTCAGTGTCGCAGCTGTCTCTTCCATGATACTTATGTTGTACTCGGCTTGAAACGGCTCTGGTTTCTGGTCGTTGATATCGTTAACTATGATGAGAATGTTGTCTCTTGTCGAAAATGCTTCATTACCGACGTCATCATTTTTGAAAGCGATTATAGCGAACTGGAACACTTCTCTTTCGAGAGTATCTCTGTCTATGGGGTCGACGGACAAAATCGAGCCATTGCGACCACCTTCGAATGTTTTAATGTGGAAGAATGGATCTAGAAATTTGTATTTAAATTTTCCGTGATTGGTGTTGTTAAACTGCAATAAATCATCAATGTATACGTTTCCATGCTTATTGTTACTTCTTACCTTCTGGAGCCGTTTCAATTCTATAAAATATAGGTCTATCAATGCCCATGTCTCCATCCAAGGCCCTGACAGTAAAGTTCATTGCCTGCTTCTCATCGAACTGTTGCATTGCGAATATTTCTACCCATCGCGGTGGCCTGGACTCGATGTTTTGCACTTGTACCATAATTGTTGCTGTGTGATTGTTTAAACGCGAGTCCTGTTACACACAGACAAAATCAATATCAATTGTTAATACAGGAACCAAACGAAACGAAACAAAAGAAGAACTTTTCCCAAAAGCATTTTTTGATGACGTTTCAGTTGATAGTTGAATTTTCATCTGTCACCTAATGGAAATTGACCATCGCCGCCCATGAAAGTCTGCAATTCAGAAATCACAAACGCGTTGCCGGCATTTTAGGAATTAGTACGCTCTTTTTTTGGTCGTATCTGCTAACCCGTTCAACAGATTGCTGTCTCGAAAAGCGCACAGTGGTGGAGCGCCAACTATCTAGGTGATGGGATGAAAATTTTGCCGTGTCTAAGGATGGCCGAAAGTTACGGCCCGTATTAGTCCGAACAATTCCTCGGAGTTTTCTCCATGATATATGCGATAGAGAATGCAGAGTGATAGAATTAGAGGAAGGAGGGGTTCGGGCTCCGGTGATCTCACTTACTCCGGGAAAAGCAACGAATAAATAGCCTAACACATGAGGTTTTCTGTGAGGCCGTGGTATCACTCCGGTCGAGTTGGCTCATTTCTGCCGAAGCATGGCTCTCCTAAGTTCAAATTTAATAAATCTAATAGGTACTTACAATTGCTGTAACTCTGAAGATGTGAAGCGCAGATTCTGTAAAATTCAGGGTTCTCTTAAGTTTTAACTTTAAGTTCATCCGAAACGGATTACCCCTCACGACCTCGTAATCTAGGTCGAAGATCTCTTCGTCGTTACGGTCACTATCCATATTAAAGGTCATGAAAGCTGTACTCATATGTCCGTCTGCGTCAGTTACAGTGTATACGCAGTTAGTTAGACCAGGTTCTGCCGTTTCCTGGGGAATAACAATTTTTTTGATTCCAATTGAAATAAACAGTTGAAATAAAACATGTTAAATGAATTCGGTATTTGAAAGACCTGTTTTGGAGGATTAGCTAGAAAGGCGACATGACTGCTTCTCCTACCAGCTGATGAAGATATTTACCGAACACAGCTGTTTCGTAAAGAACGATTTTAATAGGTCGAAGGTATTCTTAAATAAGAAGGTACAGGTACAAAGTAAATTCATCTCCGCAGTTTTGAAAATTGGGGTGGATAGTAACTCACCTACACCTTGGCTATATTTATTTTTGAAATATTTTGTTGCAAAGTATATTTCTGGGAGTTCGACGGGGTTAAATAAAAGCTCTTATCAGCGTGTGCGAGGAGCGACAGGCCAATCACGTAACTCCCTCCAATGCACAGTCATTCAATAGGTTAGCTGCGTGGCTCAGATCAGACTATCGTGGATTTGCAATGTTATAGACCTTTTATTTTTTTAATTATTTTTCTGTTCTTTTAATCATTTTCACACTTTTGTTTTATTTCCAGAATACTCCATAAATATCAGATTTCATCACGTATTTCGTAATTGATTAACGGGGTTTCATTCGTAACAAAAATGTTTAAAAGTTTTTAAGATTAAGATACTCGTAGGATAGCCCATCCTATCTTCACGATTAAACTACAAAATCAGTTACAAAATGAATTGGTTACAACTTACGGGTATTTGGCATGGAACGGGGACTCGTATTATCGGTGGATTGTCATCTATATTGACGATCAAAAGTGAGACCAAGGGTACGGTGGCTTCTCCATCAACACGCACACGGAACACATAGAACTGCATTTCAGGCATCTCAAAGTCTTGTCTTTAAAAAGCAAACATATTAAGTGAATATCCAGATGATTCTTGTCATCAGTTATTACAACTTAAGAATAATTGATTGAACCTTTGAGTAATAACGAGGTGCCAGGCTCCTTTGTTCTCAGGAATCCTTTTGATAACTGGGCCTAGCCGGCTCTTTGAACCTCTCAGGAAGGATGATAGAATCTTTGGCACCTCAGGACCTGCAAGAGGAGCAGATAACATTACGCGTTCATCTTCCTCGTGTGAGTAGTAGCCGTAATCCAACTTTTACGACAAAAAACTAATCGACGTGTAAATATGGCGGCAAAGATCTATGAATTTGCAAAATAACCCTCTAGTTATTTAACATTAGCTGTCTACTAAATATAAGTTTGTCGATGATATACACCGTAACGAGGCATATGTGAAATCATTTTCGGACATCCAGAATTGGCTATTGACAAATTGGTACTCGGCAGCCGGCTATCAGATATACGGCCTAAAGGTTTACCGAATATCTGATTTCCGGCCTAAACTTACCACCACCTAATTCTCTACACGAAGTATACACTGTGGCGGTATAGATATCACAAAAAATGAAATAACAGATAACACGGTTCAATATACGTCGGTTAAAATAAAAAAAAAAATATTAGTACGAAAATACAGAAATGCAAATTTAGAACAAACTAAATACAATAAAATAATTTTCCGAATTAGAACACCATTGATAGCATGAGTCGGTGAACTGTACCTACACGGCAGCGTCGCAATGTCGGCGACATCAAAACGACGCCGCCGCCGCCGCCGCCGAACTTTACATTCTTATTACCTACCTACCAATCACTTCACTTGCTTTTAAAAATCTATTTATAAAGAATGCGATTTTATTCACGTGTTTATTTCGTGAATGCTCGACTAGCTTCCGACCCAGCAGTACGCGTCACTCCTTGAAAAAGTAGTTACCTTGGTTGTCTCGTAATCTTTGTACCGCCCTTACAAAAATTCGGCAGTCTGTAGGACATACACGATTGACTCCATACGTGTCCGTAAAGCAAAAGATGCGTTTTGATAGAGTTTTTCCATAAATTAACATCATAGCAGGATATTCCGCCGCTGTGAAGGTCACTCACGGCATTATGGATGTTGATATCGATAAATTAAAAGACTGATAATGCACTCAGTTTCACACTACACTACACACAGAACCTAATAGTGACTTTTCAAAATAAAATTAGCAGGACTCCTTACATTACGAAGTCTTGCGCACACGATAACATTAATTGTTCACACCATTGCCGTGTATTATGACGAAAGCAATAAGACTAAACAATTATTACCACAAGAAAACTTCTCTAAGCAAATATGTATCTCATAAACAACAACAATATTATTATTACGGTTATTTGTCGTGAGCGCATCTACAAGGATACGGAATAGCATAAGCTCGCCGGTGGCCAAGGGCCGACTGACTGTCCTTACTGGATGAACTAATTAAAAACGCGTGTTGCATCGTGATGACGTAATAATCAACATATTTCGTTCGATTCGGGTGTAGTAAAAGCGGCAACGTGTGATTACCGCGCCGCTGATCTATACCTACAGCTGATCGCCGCCTGAGGTCAATGTATTATGACTGCATGTACACATGATGTTGCAATTTACGAAACACAAAAATGAGTCCTGTGGCTAAAACTACTGGATATATTTTGTTCATATTTTGCAAATCGCCTAGAAATTAAGGGCAGAATATGTGGCTTAAGTATTTGGATAGGAAATGAAACTCTCTGTATATATATATATATATATGTATATATATATATATATATATATATATATACATATATATATATATATATATCTCTTATATCTCTATTTTATATATATCCACATTATCATTTTAAGTGTTTTTTATACAGGTCCTTTTTTTCACTTATTTACAATTAAAATTTAAAGTTAATCGACTGTTTTCTTTTGACTTGAAGTGAATGAAATTCATTTCTAAATGCTGATAATATTTTATTATATTGAATAGGTACAGATACAGATAACAGATCAAGATATACAAAGAATGGCCTTAATAATAAACTGAGCGAACCTAACGTCCAGTTTCAACTGAACACAACTTTCAAAACAGACAATGCGTCGTTTTTAAAATAGCTTAAGGTTGGATTGAAGTGTTAAATTTTCATTCAAAACTAAAGTGAAGCAGTATTTTGTAAAACAACTGGCAGAATCAACAGACGTATGATTGTCATCTACTATTATTAATGGTATTTATTTAGGTATGTATGTATATATATGAGTTTATGTGTATTTAGGTATATGTATGTAGGTATGTATAATGTGTATGGGTGGTAGTGTGTGATAGGTTTATGTACGCGTATTTGATATTATAACTACAAACAAACTTTAACCAAAATGCACCTACTTCCTATTCTCTCTGCATCACCCAAAGGTTGACTGGTAGAGAATGACTTAGGCATTAAGTCCGCCAATGCACCAAAAATGCATGATGTATAAATAAATAAAAAAAATATAGTAAGGTTAATTAGAGTTGGATAACGACCATTCTAATTTTTATCCGATGTAATACTTACCATGATAGTTAAATTTCGCAAGAACCACATCCCCCTCAATCTCTTCTTCCATATAAATTACCTGGAGCAATCCACTAAAGAACTCACTTACACACACCTCATCTCTGTCAAATGCCGGCAAAAAGGGTTGCTGTCTCCATGTTAATCCTGTACAATTATAATTAGTTATTAGATAATAAATATATATATATACAGTGTGTCCCAAATTTCAAAATAAACAGGCACAAGATGGTGGACCTGCTTATGACTACTCGAGGAAAAAAAAAGCAAAAAAAATCTCTTTAAATTACAATAAAAAAATTGTTAACTCTAGAAAATGATATTTTAAACCCCTCATGTTATTTTTTTTGTATCGGCAACCTTAATATAACTGTTACCCATCACAATTCTTAAAAATAATATAATATGTTTTATTTGTAGTAGTTCCATGAAGCCAGTTCCACATGGCTATAGAGATATCTATATATTTTATATGTTATCTATCTATATTTATTTATTTAATACTTAGGTTCTTCACAGCTGACAGTATATAGTTTACATAATAATAGTCGAACAATACGCCAATTACGAAGTACACAATTAATTGAAGGTACATACACAGCAAGAGTAAACATTCTGTATGAATATACCTAATACAGTGCATCTTAAATATGTTTTATATAAAAGTACATTAAATACTTTTATAAAGTAAATAAATATAAAAGTTAAATATAAAAGCGAAGACGGGGGAAGGTATCATGGGTTTATGTTTATTTTAAATATTCTAAACCGATTTATGAAGTGAATTGACTTTAATTATCGAGGCATTTTGCTCGCTAATTGTTATTTTTTTTACATTCTAAATAGGAATTTTTAAAAAAAATAAACGCCATAGAATAACATTTTTGAACAAAGGAAAAATTAATCATATAGTGAAAGCATTTCACACATATAAGCAGCTAGTCTGATCTAGGACTTCTGCCTGACTGATTAAATCTCTACGGTGGGTGACACACACCCACTGTAGAGATTGAATCAGTTATCTATATTGCTAATATTGACAGGTTGCTTAATGCCTGTATGCGATCGGTAAAAAGAAAAGAAGATCGGATCAGAATCACTTTGCGCCTATTTTTATATTTTATCATGTATTGTAAAAATAACTAGTGCAATAAAAATTAATAGGTGCAAGCAATTTTTGACCTCATAAACTTTTCCAGTATTTGTACGTAATGGCTTTTTTGTATTCGTGATCAGCGTTATTTATAGACCCCAATGAACATGTTTTTAGGAAAATGTCATTAAGGTCGAGAATTGCTTGCAACTGTTTTTTTTTTATCTGTATGACGTTTTGACCACCATAAATAGGCGTAAGGTGATTAAGACTCGATCTTCGCTGCGAAGATATAGGCTCAGTGAAGTTGGCAATACCTTTTTAAAAGCTATTCATGTGACACTCTTTTTTTTGTTGTTGTGTGTTTCTCCTTGTGAGTTTTGCATCTAGAAATTATTAAATTATAACAGCAGTTTCGAAATTAGTTTGATTAAATTAAATGATATTTGAAACTATAGATACACAAAACAAAAACGATGGATACTACTGTTAATAATACAATATCAATCAATCAATCAAATACTGTTAATAATTTAAATTTCGCGTTTTAATACTTAGAAAATCGTAATATTAGGTTTCGAAATGTGACGTCACGAAACTTAGGACCCCTGCCACTTCTTGTCACACAATGTCAGACTTCGTCGACATCCCCTCTCCGCCTTAACGTGTTACGTCAATGATGATGCCAGTGAAATAGCTGTACCTGTGCGATTCTCATCTGGGAAGTACGGCCTTGGTGGCCTCCGTACTTCTTGCATAAACTTGCAGCGGTCTGAAAAGGTTTAGAATTTTATATAATACAAAATAGTCACAGTAGATTACGTGTGATTGACGTCATGAAGGTAAAATGGAAGAGCAGATGATATAGTTTGTGAGGCGTCCTCCTGTCGCGTCGCGTCCTCCTCCGTCGCGTGTGTACTCCTGTATGTGGTGTTCCCTCTAAAAACCATCATGTGATAGGCCCTATCACATGATGGTTTTTAGAGTCCATCAAAACCATCAGTTTTTAGTGGAAGTGGAAAGTATATTTACATAGTTTCTTCATTCATGCATCTACTTACTATAAGTTGAGCAGTTAGAATGTACGTACCGTGCGCTGAAGCAACATTGACAGCTGCAAGGGACACCAGTGCAGCAGTCACTACTCTCACATAGATCTCCATATTACCTGGCATCATAAGTTTTTTAGTAATTATAGTTTAATTTACTTGATAGAATAATTTACCTTTATTATTTTACGTAGCGACCCCAGCTGGAAATAGGCCTGTCCCAAAAATATTTTTGTAAAATATTTATAAATGGATTTTTTTTCACTCCCCAAGTATTGATCATTTGAATATGCTATGGGCTACGCCAAACTAAGTAACTAAAATTTTCATTATACGAAAGCGTTTTTCGCAGAACAAAAGCAGAATGAAGGTATTGATTCTTTTTTGTAAATTAATAGCCAATCCCGGCCGTTTTAACTGCGTTTATGATTAAACAATTACTGCTTCGCCTCTGGATCGTAGTGTCGTGTTTAATAGATTTTATTATTCATTAATAAATTATCTAACCAGTGCAAAAGCTTTATTTTGTTAGTAAGAACAGACAATTCGAAAAAAATAACCGTGTATAATTAAAGTTTACAATCGGTATACATATTATAATGATATTTTCTAAAGCATATATTGTTTATTTTTCAGTATACAGAGTGGAACTTTGAAAGCGTACCCGGCAGTAATTACTCTTAATACAAAAGATACCAAATATTATTCAAAGCACATATTTCAGTTAAGAAAAATATCATATTTAAGCTGGAAATGTAGCCGTTAGGCAGCGTAAATTTTTTCTACTCAAGACAGACAGACAACTGTGTAAAATTTAATATTTTTCTTCTGGAACCCAGCTTATTGAAGCTCTCTGGGGATAATAGGGTTATGTCCTAAAATAAGAGATGGTAATCGCTAACATTAAGGAAGACTAGCCATGTCCTTAGTTTACTAAAAAACTAAAATGTATGTTTTTTCTATTTCTTTTGTTTTTCATCGTCCAAAATATTGTGGCCAGTACTTACCCAGATTGTTATACAACACGCTAACCGCTTTGTATTACTTGTGATTAATATAACTGAATGCTAGTCAAAATTGGCGGTGTACATAATATATTTAGATAAGATTGTGTTACAATTATTAACTTTACATACATATATCAATCAATATAAATATCTGTAGGCTAGCTTCTACCCGCGACTTTGTTGGTTTTAAATAGTCAAGTCTCGAAATTCGCAAAACTGTTTACAGCAAAATGTTGTGAGATAATTGTTGCTTAATTTGTAAATACATTTTATAGCGATCGAGTCAATATCGCGGCACCTTTTTTTTTGCCACATCACCATCACCATCATCAACAGCCTTTAGTATTCCTCTGCTTAGGCCTTAGAAAGAAGGTTTTGGTCTACTACACCACGCTCGCTGGGCGTCTGGCCTGGCCGTAGGGTGGACATAGGTTTTGTTTCAAGTTTTCCTTTTCTTTGCAAAGCTGTTGTCCTGCGTAGTTTGTCGGTTCTTACGACACCCACGGGATAAATAGGGGTGGTGATACTCCGTATTCTTAATCCGTCACCACACGAACGTTTACAACATCTTCACAAAAATAATGACTTAATGACTGGACACATCTCACATATGGCCAACTGATCCCAAACTAGGCAGAGCCTGTGCTACATTAACCCAACTAAAATAGTAAATTGTTCGAGAGGATTCTCTCTGCCCGCATCGTCCGGCACGTCTGCGAGGTGGGCCCTGATCTGTCGCAAGTCCAATTCGGATTTCGAGAGGGGCGTTCGACGGTCGGTGCTGTGTTGCGCCTCAGGACCGTGACCGAAGAGGCGGTAAGCCGTAGCGGTATGGTGTTGGCGGTGTCGTTGGACATCGCCAACTTATTTAATAGTCTGCCATTCATGTGCATCAGGGAAGCACTCCACTATCATGCGGTGCCAGACTACCTGAGGTGGCTGGTGGCAGACTATTTAGAGGAGCGTACCGTCATGTACGAGGACCGAAATGGTGCTTTGAGACATCGGCCCATGTCATGCAGTGTTCCGCAGGGGCCTCCGCTCCATCGTGGTCGGTTCGGTCCTTGTACCGGTTCAGGCCCAGATGAAGTATCTAGGCCTGATTCATGACGGGAGGTGGCTCTTCGATGAGCACTTCCGACAGCTTGCTCCAAAGCTGGTTGACGCTGCTTCTACCCTAGGGCGACTTTTGCCCAATTTGGTTGGAACCGGCTGTACACGGGGGTTGTCCAGTCAATGGCACTGTACGGTGCAGCGGTATGGGCGGCAGCTCTGACCGCCCATAATAGAGTACGCCTCTGGCGCCCTCAGAGGATATTGACGGTTAGAGCCATACGCGGTTACCGCAACGTGTCGACGGAGGCGGCGTGCGCGTTGGGCGGAACACCCCGGTGGAATTGCTCGCCAAAGTATATCAGCGGACGGCTGAGTTCCGTACGGGTAGCGGCATTCGGCCCCCGCCCGAAGAGATACGCGAGTGGCGTGAGGCCGCTCGCCGAGCCACGATGGCTCGTTGGTCGTCCCGTCTGGAGGGCCCACGAGCTGGCTTTGCCACCGTGCAGGCGCTGAAGCCGCTCATCGTTGAGTGGGCAGGGCGGCAGCACGGGGCCCTTTCCTTCCGGCTGACGCAGACCATATAAAGTTTGCCCAACTGTCACTTTCAAACTTCGCACTTGTAAAGCGGCATTTTCATATTATAGCAGGACATCTTTACAACACCATAAATAAGTACTGCAGTAGATATAATCTTTCAAAATTCCTTTTGAGAGCCGCAGACGAAGTTGGTCGGGTCAGCTAGTATTTCATACATTTCCTTGACGTTCCAAGTATTTTATACAATGTCTAGGTATTGTATAGATTTTCTGAATTATGCAGATTGTCGGTAACATATAAAAAGATTACAGCAAGCTACACATGGATTGATAACAGGACGCAATTAACATTTACATTATGAATCTTTATTATCTATTGTTTATCAACCTCTAGTACCGGTGACATTAAACATAAAGTTCCTGAAGCTAAAAAGAGGAGCTCTCAGATGGTTGTAGTCGGAATAATCATTAATCACACATTAACAAATTATCCATGAAGAGCTATGCTTCAATAAAGGCTAGTCTCGTAATAAAAAAACGGCGTGAGGGGTCTATGAACCTTATAGAGGACTGGCTCGAGAGACATCACGAAACCCTCTCATACCGGTTGACGAAGGTGATCACCGGGACCGAAGAGCCACGCGAGTGGCGTGAGGCCGCTCGTCGAGCCACGATGGCTCGTTGGTCGTCCCGGCTGGAGGCTCCAACGTGCTGGCTTTGCCGCCGTGGAGGCGCTCCAGCCGGTCATCGTCTAGTGGGCAGGGCGGCAGCACGGGACCCCTTTCTTTCCGGCTGACGCAGGTCCTTCGTGAAGGCAAGTGCCGGGCACGGCTGCTTCGTGAAGTACCTGCAATCGATCGCCAGGACGATTGCAGTGAGGACTCGGCTCAGCACACGCTGGCAATTTGCATAGCTTGGGTGCCGCAGCGCCGGGTTCTCATTGCAGCCATTGGGGGGGATCTTTCGATGCTGGCCGCCATACGCTCCTTGGCCGGTAGTGACAGATGTTTCACCGCGATCGCATCCTTCTGCGAAGACGTCATCTCGCAGAAGGAGGCGGCGGAGAGGGCCCGGGAGGACAACCTCCACTCGGACCCAATCCGTTGCCGTCGAACCGGGAGGCGGAGGCGCGCCTACCACTGCCTGATGCCGCCCTGAGTGTGGGCGCGGGGACGAGTTTTTCCCTACACCCGCCATAACGGCCAGCCGCAAAGAGGCGATGTCCGCATATGCCGGACGTCGCCTATATGGAGAATGTACTGTTTCGGATGTCTTAATAACAGCAGTTCCTGGATGCCTCCTGTTACAGGCGCAGAGTGGCACACCGTTTGGTTTTAGTCGGTCCGATTCCGACACACCACCCCGCCGCAAACCCGGGTGATTACCACACGTAAAAAAAAAGCAGAAGCGTTAACTCGCTCCCATCCGCTCATAACGTGTAACGTGCGATAAGATTCGGTTCACAGTTCTCGTTTTTACAATTATCATAAAAGTATTTTCGTAGTAAAGTATTAAACACCCAACGTTGACTGTAATGTGATTAAATCGTATTGTGACCAAAAGTTCAATCACTAATCAGCTAATCTTAGTAATACTTTACTATTTTAAGGAGAGGCCTATGTCCAGCAGTGGACTAGTATAGGCTGTTGATGATGATTTTACTACGAAACTAGCTTTTATGACATTTGTGAGGCCGAGAGTGGATCGGTACTGAAATGTGAACGAAATTTTTATAACGAGAATTCACCCCCAGGGGCGGACACTACAGTATCTTATAAAAAACTGTCACCATTTACCTCACGTGTCTCAGTGATAATTTAGACGATATTACTTTTAGAAATTGATGTCATTGAAAAGCTGGTTAAAGCTGGAATAGAAAACCAGTTCAAAAATCAGTTACTTCTGCAAAACAAAACAAATAAACTTTTTGAAACTATTATTATTAGCGTTGGTCACAAACGGACTAGAGGTAGTTTCCCTACGCATCATTGCATTGTTTCATGGTCACAATTCGTTGTCGTTGTATATCATGATAGTCAGAACACAACTTCCTCTGTGAGGTCCTTCTATGGCTGCCACAACGCGTTCTGGCCGTTTTAGTAGGAACCCATAACACAAACTTGGCGATGTGGATACTTTGTAGTGACTACATCATGTTGTGACTTGTTAGGGTTTCGTACCTCAAAAGGAAAAAAACAGAACCCTTATAGGATCACTTTGTTGTCCGTCTGTCTGTCGAGAGCCTTTACCTCGGAATTATCGGAACGCGTAGAGGTATCGAGTGGAACTTAAAACCCTATACTCAAGTCTAGTAGTAGTCCCTTGAAGCTGTGAATTTCGATTGTAATTGGCTGTCAGTTTTTGAACGACGAGTTGAGTAAAAAATAAAGCAAACATGACGAGCCACCCTCGTCAGCATGTAAAACCACCGTATTGTAACGACGAGCGACCTAAACAGCGGTTTTACTGGCCCGTCTATCAGGGCTTTAAGGGGCCGTCCGGACAGCGAAATTTCACCGCAAGGTTTTTATTTGCGCGTAAATAAATCGAAACCGTATCGCGTTCAAATTGTATCGAATCTTAGTGCTTTTTTTCCACCACTTTTTCAGTAAATAGGCCTGTATAATCCCTATGTATTCCAATTTAGCTAAAAAAAAGCCGGTTTAAATATCGCTGTGCGGACGGGACCTTAATCTCCAATACTATTAATGCACTCTGTGGACCTTAGTGTTCTGTGGCAGTGATGTCAACTCCAGGGGTTTCGCCCCAAATTTGGGGGAAAAAATCTATAAAATTAGTTTTTTTGTAGGTTAAATTTGTTGGTGTTTCTAGATATCAAATTAAGTTTGTGTTTTTTTAAACAAATTTTACAGGATTTTCTAAGTTTATCAATAAAAACTAAAAAATAATAATCTGATTGAATGATTCCACATACAATTTTGTTAATAGACTAAACAGGTGATACCTAGTAATTTTAAAACAAATATTTAATAAAACTAAATAACTGCTACTATTAATTACTTATTAATAGTTGTTATTTATTTATATTGCTATGAATAAATACTTGGGGGAAAAACTCCGTCGTTCGGGAGTTTTGGGAAGAATTTAGTGTGGTTTTTTAAATTGCTTTAGGGGAAAGCTTTTAAACAGTTGGCGACACTGTTCATTGGTCTAAACTGTCAGAAGTGTCAGATTACTCACGATATGAAATATGCATGTTATAACCTCAAAGTAAACAAACTCGTGGAAAAATAACAATCAGTGTATTAGAGTAAAGTGACTGAAGTGTGTGATAACTGTAATACTTTATTTATTGGACTAAACAACATACACCAAAATAATTATATGTTCCTTAATATAAGTGTTAAATAATAATGGGTAAACGCAAAGGCAAATGTGTGAAAAAAAATCCGGCTTCAAAGGAGGCTCTGGAGCCTGAGAACCTGGTGAAGGCTCCTCATTCCTTTGTGATACATCGTGGACAATGCAGCAAGGATTTGATAGATCTTATGAAGGACTTCAGGAAAGTTATGGAGCCTTTTACGGCTTCGCAGTTAAAGGTTAGTTTTCAATCTGTTTTGTGGTAAAATGTTTTATAGTTTTGTCATGAGCGTAACTTTGTAAGTAAGACCAGAGATAGAGATATGCTTACGTATTTTACGAACTTTACGGGCTCAACATGGTTTTTGTGTAGATGTATACTTAAACGAATATATACCTGCCATACACAGCTCTTTGTTGTAAATGTCTGTGGCATTAAGTTTGCTTTATTCAAGGTATTTACAGAAAGTATTAAAATATCAAATTAATGTGTTTCCAAAGGGTTGTAAGTATATATTATTCAATATTTAGCTTACATTTAGAATCGTAAATTGCCTGATAAATTAAAACCCTATATTTACATACCAATTACTGACGAAAAGTGTGTATCATACCCATAGTTGTTTCACACGACCCTTTTGCTTGATATTTCTCACGCAATCCAATGAAAAACAATTGTGCAATATTAACATTCTCAGATATATTGCTCTGACATATTCCTACGTACAACTCAAAAATCATAACTTATATATATATGAATGGAACAAACTATGCAGGACAAAAGCACTTCAAAGAGAAGGAAAACTTGACGTAAACCCTATACCTACCAGTCTGGCCAGTGTGGAATAGTAGGTCAAAACCTCCTTTCTTAGGAGAGGCCTATGCCCAGCTGTGGACAAATTAAGGCTGTTAATGTTGATATTTACATGAAATAAAGAAAATTACATTCATCTTAAGACTTTTTCAGTTTTCACAACTTCTCTTTCACAACTGAACATGGAATGTAATTCTATATTTTTTTCATGTATTTTATTAATATACATGACACACTTATTTTTAACTTTTTCTTTTACAGGAAAGAAAGAAAAACACAATAAAAGATTTTGTTTCAGTTTCTGGATATCTGCATGTATCGCATATGATGCTGTTCACAGAGACAGAACTTGGTACATACATGAGAATGGCACGTCTGCCTCGAGGACCCACACTTACTTTTAGGATACACAATGTAAGTTTATAATTTCTGACTAACACTGATTGGCATGAACAGAGCTCAAAAAATCAGCTTTAACTTCAAATTAATGTTGTAGTATCCATACTTGAAAGCATGGGTGGTGTGGTGGTTTAAGTGATCACCTGTCACTTTATCTTGCCAAATTACTGCATGCTTATTGACTATTTGAATTTTTTAAAAGTACAACGTTGATAGTTCTTACTACTAAAATATTGGTCATTCTTATAACAGGTTTATACATGTAACACAACTAATACAGTACCTTGAAAGTTTCAAAGAACTTAAAATAAGTACTTGTGTTAATTAATAGGTGTTGATTTTTAGACCTTGTCAACCCCCAAAATCAGTTTTCGTTTATGTCGACCCCTGAAAAATCCATTTTGACGCCAAGGGGTCGATATTGACCGCTTTAGAAATCCCTGATTTACACTATATTTCTATTCACAGTACAGTTTGGCGCGTGACGTTATCTCCTCTCTCCGAAAACAGTACGTCATGATGCGTGCGTTCCAGAACGCGCCTCTCATAGTACTGAACAGCTTCTCTGGCGAGGGCATGCACATGAAACTTATGGCTACTATGTTCCAGAATATGTTTCCTACAATCAATATTACTACAGTAAGTACTGGTTGACTTGTGTTAAGTGGCAGAGTGCCACCATCAAATCAGAAACAATAGATCAACGGCTTGATTGAGTCTAGGTTTTGCTAGGTACAGTGCAGAGGTATGATGAAATCTAATCTGAATCTGCCCGCTTCTCTCCCGGTCCCTGGCGTCCCTGTGTCCCACAAAACCAAACTCAATTAAGTTTTTTATCTATAGTATAGTCGAGCGTAGGGAATGGTCGAATAGTTTCTGACTGCACGTACTCACGTCACGTACGATGTGACGAGAAGAAAACCATATATCTTGTGTAAATATAAAAACCAGTCAAGTTAAGTGAAAACTTATGATTTCGTTATAGACAAAGATAAAATTAATTAAAATCAATCAAAATTCTTTTTATCAGTTTTTTTTAATTTAGATCTTTTGCGAATCTTGGGCTAGCGTAATAATAATAATTAAGTAGCAGTCGTTTTGTAAATCAGTCACAGGTGATAAGATTTATCACATGTGATTGTGATTTTATTACATCCCTGGTGCCTAACACTATTGTTAAAGCACTCACAAAGTCTTTGTTTTTATCTAGGTGAAGCTAAAGAACATTCGCCGCTGCGTGCTCATGAACTACAACCCCTCCACAAAACTCATTGATATGAGGCACTACGCTATCAGAGCCACGCCTGTAGGACTTAATAGAGGAACCAAGAAGGTATGTTAACTTGAAAATTAAGATAGTGTACTAACATTATAGATCATCTATCATAAGCGAGAGTAATAAATTGGTCTTTGAAATACGATTTCGACTCAATTTCCCATCATCGTATAAGAGGGAAAATTATATGGGAGTTTGCATTTCCGAAGAGAATTATAATAATAATAAAACCTTTATATCCGAAATAATTTCATGTTACATATTGTTGTGTCTTAATAAAAAATTTAAAAGAAAGGATATGAAAAGAGTTTATAAAAGAAAGTAAAACTTATAAACTAAATCTACACTTTCATTATAAGATGTCTCTTGGTTCGGTTTGCCTTACGGCAAAGGCCTCCTCCAAGTCTCTCTATTGCATTCTGTCTGCCGCTACTCTCATCCAAAGTGGTCCTAAGGTCATTTTTAGATCATCCTCCCATCATATTGCTTTACGACTTCGGCTCCTAGTGCCATCCCTTGGGTACCAGGCTGTCACCTGTTTGCTCCACTTTTTATTAAGTCAAGAGGATTAAGTCAACTCAAAATAATATAATTAAGGGTGTTAAAGGGAAATCTCTTTGGGATCGGTCCCTCATGTCTGGCAATCGTGGTCATTTCACGGTCGGATGTGCCTCCATCCATTAATATTCCACAATGATGAGTCTTTCACGTTGTGGGTCCATTTTGTTAATGAGCTACTGCTCGATCTTTTGCCATTGGTGTTTTCAACCACAATGAGCTATTCTAAATTTTCATAGCCTCTGTACAAAATAATTACTGAATTTGATTCTGCCATGTCAAAACTTAATTCTTAACTCCTCATTTGACTCTTGCATTTAAATGAAAAAAAATGAGTCGTTATTCTAAAGATCCCTTTCCTTAAAGTAATAATTTATTTTTCCAAGTTAATACACTTATACAGATGGTACTCCTCAATAGCCCTAAAGTCAGTGGACAATTATTTGCAATCGTTACGTGTTTTGCAAACAGTCCTAACGTAATCGGATATTTTACAGGTGGTGCAAGGAAAAATACCGAATTTAAATCGGTGCAAAGACATGTCGGAATTCTTCGACAAGTAAGTATTACCTATCATCTTATTCGGTATTCAGGTATTCAGTGTTATTTCCTCAACTGCAACCCTATCAAAAGGGTGCTTCGACGAAGATCTTTTATACAATCATCACCATCTCCCTTCCATTTTCCCAATTTGATGTAAGGTCGGTGCAACGTGTAACATTGTATAGGTTTTCTGGCTAGCTTTTTATGGCCGGCCATGTGCCTGAAATGAGAAATCCTCCTTGAAAATGTAACGTAACGTTCTTCTGGACCGATGGCCTTGAATGAAATTCCGGTAGCGAGAAAAGTGGCCAAGTTCATGTGTCAATCCGGTATGGGAATGTACCCATACTAGATGACCCGTTCAGGTCGTAAATAGAGTCAAGCTTTCTAATTATCCCCTGCTGCAGACGAAGAATACTCCCGTTATTTAAGTGACAGACACAATTTTTAAATATTCCCTTTGTTTACAGAGCAGGATTGCTATCGGAGAGTGAATTCGAGGACGACCCAAATTCACAAGTTATTTTGCCTCAAAATTTGGCCTCAAGAGGAGCCGCTGCTGAATCTAAGTCCGCCATCAGGCTTTTCGAACTGGGACCTAGGATATCATTTCAACTTATTAAGGTATGGGACAGAATATTATATCTTCTATTTTGCAGACATGTTAAAAGTAGAACAGTAGACTAGATCGATTAAATATGATGTTACCATATGTACACAGTTAACATATTATGTAATCGTTAGTACTATAATTAAAAAAAACGAGATTTTAAAAATGTATACATATAGATAAAAAAATAACGAATTGAGGATGTACCCTGCTCTTATTTAGTCACTTCCAAAAACAAATTTCCGTGTCCGTCCGTGTGGTGACGGATTAAGAATACGGAGTGTCACCACCCCAATTCATCCGTGGGTGTCGTAAGAGACGACTAAGGGAGCAAACTACGCAACACTGCAAAGAGAAGGAAAACTTGAAACAAACCTTATACCAACCCGTCTGGCCAGCGTGGCATAGTAAGCCAAAACCTCCTTTCTAAGGAGAGGCCTATGTCCAGCAGTGGACTGTTAAAGGCTGTTGAAGAAAAACAAATTTATTTATTACATCTTCTTGTCACAAATATGCTAAGTAATGTCTCTTTATGGTAAAAACCGCAATGTAATTTGTACCGCACTCCCAGGGGGGTTTATGAACAACTGTCCCATAGTGGTTGACAGCCGCAAAGCCTCAACTGTTTAACACTAATTTAATCTCAAAACCGGTTGTTTTATCAAAAAGAAAATGCAGCACAAAACAGCAGATCAACGTATCTGTAGTATTTGGTAGACGTTAACTGCTATCGTTATAAGAACTCGTGATAATAATTCATGTGACAAATAAATAAATAACCACTTATATTTTACACAATTTTCAGGTAGAAGATGGTTTAATGGATGGAGAAGTACTTTTCCACGAATTAGTTGAAAAGACAGATGAAGAGAAGAAGCTTATCAAAAAGAAGAGAGAAGAAAAAAGGTACCGTTTTTTAAATTACTCTGTTTTTACTCTTTTCAACAGTCTTATTTCTAAATATAGCATATTTACCTACATAAATACCGTGAGAGAGCCGTGCTTCGGCATAAATGGGCTCGAGGCTCGATGGGAGTGATACCACGGCCTCATTGAAAACTGGTGTTAAAGCAAATTTTTCCTTACTTGTTATCATGTGAATTAAGTTAAAGGAGCCCAGACAAACTGCAGACCAGTTCATGATTGGGTTACTGTACGAGGTATTTAACGCCAGCTTAGCTTTGCATCATAGTTCTTTTTTTAAATAAGTTGCAAAACAAGCACGTGACTACCCTGCTGAGGAGTTGCCGACGCCTTTAAAATCTCAAACCTTAGACCTGTCCTCTGGCACTACAATATGGCTCTCACGGTCAAAAAGCATAATAAAATATTTAATTAGTGCTAGTAAAACATACCATGTCTTCCCATTCTTTTAGCTCAATCAAAAATATGTTGTACCATTGTTAATCATCAATCATTTAACCGTGATTAAGTAAAAAATATATGTATATTTATAGACGATTAAAAGAAAAACGCAAGGCGCAACAAGAAGAGAACGTCCAACGTAAGCAGAAGGAGAAAGAAAATCTCAAACAGAAGGCGATTGAGGGTATGAAGAAAAAGAAAGATGTTACAGAGAGTCAGAGGTAAGTTGTAATGTGTTCATCATATGATATGAAACTGTTTACGAGAAACGGTTTTCAATAAGTCTCTCAATCATTGCCTGGTTACCGTTACCTGGTCCGAACTATAAACAACTCAATCGCAGGCGGCAAGCTTCAGTCCTTACAATCTATACAATATAAAATAGCTAGTGGTAAAATAAGGGATGAACGGTTTTATGGATGTTCCTCATTTTCAAAGTTAGAAACACGAAATTAAAAAATCGGTTGTCTGTAAAGTCGGTTTACTGACGATAGTTGAACGTGACAACGTCATAAGAAAATACTGATGGAATGGTTGCATTTTTCAAAAATGTATTATTGTATACGAGTAGCAGCTGTCCACGCGGACGCATCGCTCACTCAAGTAGGAGAGAGACAGATGTCGAACGCGGAGGCCGATTGTGCCTCTTTGTCGCTCGTTCCGCGCTCTCGCTTGCACTTCACGCCTTAAATGGAACGCCTCAGAGCGAGGTAACGACGCATGAGTCATGTTTTTTCGTGCGTGCAGCCGGCTCCATCGAATTATAAGACGTTGTCACGTCAAAAAAAAAACACGCTAGCTAGTGTGCCGCCTAAAACGACATGACTCTTTTTTTTTCATATTGTTTATTTCGAGTTCTGGTATTTTGATATGGAAGTTAGAAATAAAAACGATTAAAACTCACTGTATTTAAGTGTGTCTGTTGTTTTTATAGGTTAATGGAACTAGCGAATGCTGAGTCTCAACACGCGAACATGGACCAAGATGCCGACGAGGACGATGCTGATTATTATCGACAAGAAGTCGGTGAGGAGCCAGAAAAAGGTTGGTGATCCTTAATTTTTTTTAACAGTACTTTAGTGTTATTATAGGCTACTAAAAATTTAAAAATAATAAACTACAAAGTTCTAAGTGAAAACTTCTATAAAATTGCAAATGCTAATATGTTTTCCCTACATCCAAGATTTTTCTATTTTAAATGCCATGAAAACCTGTTCAGTAACTTCGAAAACGTGTTTTTGTTTCTCTCGTCACAACACACAGACAGAGTTTTAAAATCGCTGATTTGTCTATTACTTATTTTTTTACTACTATTTTTGTTTACTTTTCTGTCAAACAGTTGGTTTTAAATTGTCTGTAATGTATAGACTAAATAGGGTATTATTTGTATCAAACCAACCCTTAAAATTTTTGAACTAGGGAATTTTAATTTTAAACATAAATAAAGAAACAGTAATGAACCTTGCAGTGACTATTATTCTTAAAGAAATCCTTTTTTTTAGATCTTTTTACACGAGATACGACAAGAAAACGTAAAGGTGACGACGATGGACCACGAGGCTTTAAGAAGTTGAGATTAGATAAAAAACTAAAGAAAAAATATCAAAGAAATCAAGACACAGACAAAGTCCAGAACAGACAAGACAACAAAAGACAATTTAGAAATAACCAGAAGGATGGCAGGAACTTCCAGAATGACAAGAGGAGTGGTGGTAAATTCCCCAATGACCGGAAAGGTGGTGGAAACTTCCAAAATGACAGGAAAGGTGGTGGAAACTTCCAAAATGACAGGAAAGGTGGTGGAAAGTTCCAAAATGACAGGAAAGGCGGTGGAAAGTTCCAAAATGACAGGAAAGGCGGTAGAAAGTTTAATAAAGACGGAAATGATAAAGGTAACTTTAATAAGCCAAAGAAAGTCTTTGGTGGTAAAATAAACAAAGGGAAACCTGGAAAAGGTATGAAAAATAAAGGGAAAGGCAAGGGTAGAAAATGAACTAATTAAATACTGAGTTGTTAGGTATTCTTAATTTAGATTAAAGTTATAAAAAAATAAAACCTAGTTATTTATTTAATCCTTGTATTTCTAATAGATACTCCTGGTATGAGAATGCTGCTAACTGCTGGGTCTCCCAAATAGATAAATAGTTATAGGTATAATGTTTTACACATCGGCAATATCATAATCCGCTTTATTATATAAAAAATGGTGTGTAGTGCGTGTTGGTACGATCTAGGCCATACCGTTTAGATTAACACACAGAGTAGAAGCAATTTATTTTAATTAAATAATCACAATAACACTCAGTCACCAATAATTCTTACTGATATAGGTTTTTACTTTTCGCTATTCTTCGCACTTGTGTACAAGTTTCAGAACCGTCTCGCAAGATCTCGTAATACCTAGAGACCTGAAACCTTTTAGCAATCGTAGAAAAATTTAGAAAATACTGATATTTTCGAACCTTCCCCCAGAGTCAGTAACGCCATGTTTTCAGAACGCGTGATTTCAATTCGAAAAGTTTAACTTTGGTATTCACTATTATCCGTCAAATGAAAACGTACGATTTTTAATTTTGAAACCTCAGAAAACGATGTCAACATGACAAACCCGTTGACCCGTTTAAAACATCATCCATGTACAGTTGCTAATCATTACGCATTGCATACTTTATCATATTTCTGTCATATTGTTTTATAATACTGTCAAAAAAATCTTAATCAATAATTTATATTACGAGACTATACCGGTTCAAACCGAAGTGTTTAGTGAACATTCACAACATTTAGTAAATATTTCAATCACGTATCAAAGACAACAAAACTATGTCTGCATTAGCCTCTAGTGAATACCAAAGTTTTTATCATCGGTTTGTTTTCAAACATACGTAATTTTACTGAATCATCATCATCAATCAGAATATTTATTTAGTTACAGGCGCCCGTAACAATGTAAGTTTTTTTTAAAGAAACCGTGATCTTTTATAAGTTGAAACTAAAAATACTTTTAGTTTAATCGTTGATTGTTTTATTTTCTTCTAAATAATACAAATTTCTTGATATTGTTTGTTATCAAAACAGTACTTGGATACATTTTAGTCAATATACTAGTACATAATCAGCATTCATTTATCTAACAATCAAATTGAATTTTCGAGATTTCAAATGTATAATCTGCGTAACATTGTACATTTGAAAAGATTTGAGTAATTTCTTGTCTTACTAAACCGTTGTATAAACAGTTTTTAATAGACGACATTAACATGTAATTAGGCGGTATCTTATAATTAATATTATCACAAAATAACAAATGTGATGGCAACAACATAACAGAAGCTAGAAGTCTATGGAGTAATCATGATAAATTGAAGAGGTATTTTATTTCAAGGGAAGTATTAAACTTTAATTAAACATCAGAGTTGACTAAATATTTGAACATGTAGGGAATTAGTAATGCAGATATATTTGTCATTGTTGAACATATTTTGTGAAAAAAGGCGAGATTGCGACATTCCTGAAAACCGGCAGGAATTCTTGTGATAGTGGGAAAAATATAGAACTAATATGTTCCAATTTCAAATTCATATATATTTCCTATCATTTTTAGGGTTGATTAAATATGAAGATATGGCATTACAAATATCATGATTATGTTGAGATCTAACCTTCGTTTGGTTTAAACAGGAGTAGAATATGCATTTACTGTCTATGCAAAGTATACAAAGTTCCATAGAGGTTCGCTATTACCTAAGTCATAGACTTGTTTCAAAGTGTCTTAAAAATATACATAGATTGTAAAATGAGTGAGCTATTTATTTGCTCAGAGAAACGTAGTTTTTCGTTGAAGTCCTGTAGACTTTTACAGTTAGTTAAAACTACCGTACCTAAATCAAGAATACAATATCGTCAGCCATCATGACCTGGTTGTCGCTGGTCATCCTGTGCAGCGCGGCCTGTATCTCCGCGGGGTCGAAGGTCTGGTGCGAGTAGCGCTCGTTGACGTGCGCAGTGATCTGGGCCAGCGGCAAGGAGTTGGCGCGCTCCGAGCGGAACAGCTCCTGCAGCGCACTCTTGAACTCGCCCAGTCTGGGACAGGAGGAACTGGTCAATACAGACACTACGATCGCGACATTTTATAAAGTGATGAAGTAGCTATCTGTATTATACATAAAAATGTTAAGTTGGTTTGTTTGTTTACGATTAAAAAACGTCAAAAAGTTCTGCACCGATTGAGCTCAAATTTTGACATGATATACACCTTCAAAGATTCTTTTTGTATATTTTCCGCGTAAATTTTGATTTCTCATAAATGAAGTTAGAGCTAAGCGTAGCATGTTACAGTTAGTTACTTATATGAATACAAAGGGGAAATCAGAAACAGTTTGTTTCTGATTTCACCTTTGTACAGAACAGAACGTTTGAGAAATCTGATAATTGGGCACTTGTTATAAACGGTAGTGAAGCTCCCAAACGACAAAGTAGTATTTTATTTAAATTCAGAATAGTAACAACCCCAAAACGGTGGGTCCCATAACCGCATGCCTTAATAATTTAATTGACGTCAATTATAATTTTAATATTAGCAAAATAGCACCCCAACTCACCTTTTGTCATCAATACTCTTCTGTGAAGATCTAGTGGAACGTTGAGATGGTTCAACTTGTGAAGTGTGAGCGGCCCGCAGTACCGGATCCGTCTCCTCGTCCGATGAGAAGTCATACGGGTCTCCGTTCTGACCATCCTAAACATACATAATTAATTATTAGTACTATTACTAATACCCATGTAAGTTAATAGATAAGTAGAAGTAGAGTAAGTAAATTTTTGAATTATACTATATATTGCCTGACTTCAACAAATCCGCTCTATTACGTAACGTTTCCGGTGTTTTTTTAATTTGACGGGTTAATTACTTTATACAACACATCAAATACGTGTCAATATCATAGAGATAATAATATAGATAGTGGAGAGAAGCGACCCACGATCCGGGAACGTTGGTGGAAAGAAAAAGAAGACGGCGTTTTACGTTAGTAGAAAGAGCAAGACGGCGATTTACATGCGTCTCTTTCGCACCTCTTCGCCGAAGTGGTGGCCATCTTTATTCTCTTTCTACCGACATCGCTATTTCACTTATAGGCAATCCAATACCTTGTATCTATAATCTGTATTATCTCTATGATCAATATTAGAAATTATTGATAATCCATCAGATTTAAATTTACCGGAAGTGTTACATTTCCTAAGTCGGCGACTGTCTTTCAGAAATTTCGAAAATATTCACGAAAAGAAAATATGGCGGTACGAAGTTCGACGTGTCAGCTAGTTTATTAAATAAAAGTTTTATTTTAAGGGTGGATTCTAAAACTTCTTTAGGCGCGTTGGGCAGTTTTTAACAACAAACAAAATAATGTTTTTTTGAGATGGGAAAAAAACCATTGAACTCGCGACACTGTTACCGTTACCGACACCTCTGTTTATAAGTATCTACATATATTGGCCCTGTTTACACGAGAGTTGAATTTGGGTTGAAATACATTGATAATATAACTATATAATATATTGTAAACATATACGGTGTATATACGTACAATATTGCTGTATATTCATGTCGGAACTTAACGTTTTAAATCGAAAAAAAAGCTGTTATAATTCTAAAAATTTCAAGTTTTCTCTTCTGTCGACACTCGGATTACCACTGTTTTTTTTAATGGAATATATCTGATAGTAAGTGACTACCGTTGTCCATGGACACCTGTAACTCAAGAGTGGTTGTGTGTTGAATTGCCCCACCCCAGAATTAGGACCCCACCTCTCCCGGTGGAGTTGAGCTACGGTTACCTCACTCACTTATTGAAAAGCACCAAAAGAAATAGCTAATGGTTAGCTATAATAAAAAATGTAAATACCTTTTTTCTAGATTTTTTAGCCCTGGGTTGCCCAGGCTCTTCCCCATCAGATGCGGCAGCTTCTTCATCAGATGAAGCGCGACGTTTCCTCTGACGTTTTTCTTTTGTTAACACCTACCAAATTAATAATTGTCATAATAAAATATTCCTCAAATTGAACTCAATTATAATTTATTGAACCTTGTTACGAGTACTACACTGTAAACTGACCTTTTTGAAATAAGCGAATTGGACGAGTTCTATGGCAGCCTGGGCGTCTTCCTGCGTTATTTGGAAGCTGAGGCGGCACTTGGCGTGCGCCGTGGAGAGACGGATCAGGGTCTCCAGCGTACGGGCTGTCACCGGTTGTGTCTGGACATCATTGTAAGAATAAGAACACAGATATTATATTTTATAAAGGTCAAAAAAAGAGAAGAAAAATTTGATATTTCCCCAGTTAATCTATCTAGAAAACAACAAACACCATACATTATCATTATTTCATATCATTATATGTCTAGAGAACTGTTTTGAGTTTGATTGTAATTAGAGCCTAGTAATTATTGTAATTAAATATGTATTGGAACACATAAAACGGAACGTAATAGAACATTAAAATTCCTTTTTTATTAATTATAGAAATCGTCATAGAAATTAGTTGTATCTTGTTAAGGTAAAATTTGTGTTTCTAGCCCTTATTCAGCTCGTCCCAATTAAATATATCTCTATCACTGAATTATAAGTAAGTTTAGTGTACTACATACCCTAGCTACATCACTATCCATCATATCCAGGTTCCTGAGTCTCGCATACTCATCAGCTATAGCGTCGGACGCTTCCTGGGTCAGCTTGGGCTTCATGAGCCGCGCGATGTGGATGAACTTGCGCATAAACTTGGTATTCAAGATTTGGTCCTTCTTGCTCCGAGTGTTGCCATGCAGTAGTGGGTCATATTTTTCGTAGATTGAGCGATTTGATTCCTGTGGAATGTATAAAACTTTTGTTTTGATTTTACTTTTGTGTCGTCTATATAAATTGCCACATAACAAGAATCTTTATTGTAAGTTATGGTATAAACGAATACTTTAAAAAACTTTGTTAAGTAAAAACGTGTGGTGACACATCATACAGACAGCATCTCTCCGCATTGCGTTGCCTCTGCGCATTACATTGCGCAGGCGCGCGTGTTCTCGGCCCGTTGACAAAAATTCGGACTGAGATTTTATCTACTAACTATTCTGTAACCTGTATGAAGTAAATATATTAATTTATCTGAGTTAATTATTATTGTAAATTATGTGGAGGTTTGACACGTACCCCCACAAACTTTTAAAACGTCATAACTCAAAAGTAAGATGACTTAACCTAAGTGGTTTGTGGCGGGTTCTCAATGAACCCTTGATAGATATAAAAGTTTTTTTATGATATAGCAGAGCAAACTGTTCACCTGATGGTAAGTAACTACCACCGGTAATAGACACCTGCAACTCAAGAGTTACAAAAGCCTTTACAGCCCTTTCAAACCCCGCCCCTCCTCCCCCCTGAATCAAGATGATAAGCAACGAAAGAATTGGTTAACACAAGTTTTCGGTGAGGCTGTGAAATTACTCCAGTCGAGCCGGTCCATTTGTGACGAAGCATGGCTCTCCCAGTCAAAGTCAGTCTATTCCGAAACATCACGCCCAACTAAAACTCCGCTGGTAGTGACAGCCTGAAGGGGTCTCCACACGCAACAATAAAATCAATTGTGAATTTAGTTACTAAAGATTGTAAATTACCTCAGTTTCATCATTATCGGGATTCTCCGTGGACAACATTTCTACTAATGAACCCATTGGTAATACTTCTCCGTCTTGTTCTTTGGGATTTCTGTAAAATAATTAAGTGATGAAATAAATAACAGAAATGTTACTGCGTGGCTATTCACAAATTCACGCAACAGATAAAAAACTATGAACTTTGAAAAAAAATATAAATTCATGAATTGAAACTAACTTTTTTGACTATTGATTAGCACCAAAATTATCATCCTTTTATATTCAACTTCGCTAGGGGGTTTTATTTTTCGAGTGTATATATGTTTATTTATTTGGCAGCTGTACCAAAGCGGCTTTTTGAATTTGTTTTCAGGTGTTGTTAGATTCGTCTTAATTTTAAGAGTGGACCTGGCTATTTAAAAATTATTATACCTGGTTTATAAATTTTAAGTTTAAGTTTTATTTGTTTTTTTTTTTCATTAGTTATCATTAATTAAACCTTTCTAAAGAGAGGACTATGTCCAGCAGTGGACTAATAAAGGCTGTTGATGATGATGATGATCATTAAATTTATAGGGTAAAATATGATATTGAAGTAAGTCGATAGCACTAGATGCGAGTACAAAACTAAGTCAGTTATCCTAACTCACCTATATCTATGCATCCTCAGCACATGTTCGGAGATCATATTGTCATGGTCTGCGTCAGCAATGTCCAGCATCACGAACAGCAGGTCGAAACGTGACAGTAAGGAGTCTTGCAAACCTATGTTTTCCATAGGCGTCTTATACTGGTCATACTGTGGATTAAATATGGGTAGTGTTGGTTTTATAAATGTTAATATAAAAAATGTATTTAATGGTGAAATTTATTTCATAACTTGCTTACACTATGCATCTTTTATAATAATAACAACCCTCACACCTCTCACACACGGCCGTCTGATCCCAAACTAGGCAGAGCCTGTATGGCCTGTGCTATGGTAACCAGACTGATAAATATAATTACATATTTTACATACATACATATTATAGATGAATTACACCTACACAGAACAAATGATTGTGCTCATGACACAGTTATTTGTCCTAGATGAGAATCGATCCTACTACACTCTTTACTAGGATAAGTTCGAATTTGCATGTGAGTCTGTATATTGTTTAAATACATTACACTGATGTACACTCAAGAGCCAGTCTCGATCACCACAGAGATAGTTAGTTAGATAGAGAGAGGCAACATAGTTCTTTTCTAATTCTTACAACATCGTTTAGCATGCTATAAAATAAAATAGCAACTGACCCGTCCATACACAGGGTTGGCGGCTGCCAAGACCGAGCACCTGGCGTTGAGAGTGGCGTGCACTCCCGCCTTGGCGATGGTGACGCGCCCCTGTTCCATCACCTCGTGGATGGCGGTGCGGTCGATGTCCGACATCTTGTCGAATTCGTCTATGCACACCACGCCGCGATCTGCCAACACCATGGCACCAGCTTCCAATCTGGAAAAATAGTGCTCTATACAACTGAACTAAAGTCCATTTGCGTTAAGAAAATAGTGACGCACCCATCAAGCCCCAGCCCCCTGACTAATCAGGTTCCAAGAAATTATCATTTCGGAAGAAAGTACAGTAATTAAGGAAGTTCAGTATGCTAATTTTACTTAAAAATGTATAGAATTAAATTTAAACTGAACAAAAATTATCAATTTATAAGTTAAATTTTTTTATTACTCCTACTTACTACTAAGTTTCAAATTAAACTTAGGAATAACTTAAGAAGAATGTGATGATTTAAGTGCGACCTTCTATAGAATACATCCTTTCATTCCCTGTTTAGCGTAGTAGTAGTAACATATACATAACTTCCTAACTATAATTAGTGACTCTAAGCTTTACGCAATGGAGTATAAATTAGCTTGATAAGACCTTGTAACCTATTATATCAATATTCATAGATTTTATTTGATAACTATATGTACATATAATGCAACTTTAAACTAAAACAGCCACTTAGACTTAGTCACCATTAGACTAACAAAAAATCAATACAAACCTCCGATCACCTGTCTCCGGGTCTGTTGTAACCGCAGCAGTTAGACCAACGCCTGAAGATCCTCGACCAGTAGTAGTGATTGCACGAGGAGCTGTTTGTAACACGTAGCGAAGCAGCTGCGATTTAGCCACAGATGGATCACCAATGAGAAGGATATTAATGTCTCTAAAAAGGAAAAAAAATCGGTCAGGTACGAGTCGAACTCGTGCGCCGAGGGTTCCGTACCTACACAGACTTTACGTAGATTTTCGCGAAAATTTGTAAGTATCAAAATTTATCTTAATTGTCAACTTTTTCCATTTTTTGGAATTATTCCTTTATTTGTGCTGTAAGACGTTACTTTTTGCCAAATTTCGTGATTCTAGGTCAATGGGAACTACTAGGTTTTCGACCCAAAACCTATAGGGTAATGCCGGTTGACCTAGAATTTTCAATTTTGGTTGAAAGCAAGGTCCTTACAGCACAAGTAAAGAGAAAATTCTGGAAAATAAAAAAAGTTCAAAATTAAGGTCAATTTTGGTACTTTCGCGAAAATCTAAATTTTATCTTTTTATCGTGTTGACTCAAGACCCTGATTTTGATACACTTAATAGGCGACCATAGACGCCAGTTTCTGGTATAAATTTCAACTTGCTCGGTCTACCCATTCCTGAGAAAATCGGTGGTGACACACGGACAGACGGACTAGAAAGTCTCTTATAAGGGTTCCTTTTTTACCTTTTGAGGTACGGAACCCTAAAAAGGTAAACATAGGCTGACTGAAGGAGATCGCAGAATGATCTCCGTCCTGTCCGTGGATGGCCCGAGGTACGTCGGGGTATCAGGGATTTCGTTCCTAGGCTACACCAGGTTCCCCGGCAACTGGTACCCGAGAAGGCGTGCGGTTTTTGGTCGGTTCGAGTCCGACATAACCACCGGTGGGTGGTATCCGAGGGGATTTCCGCACAGAAAAAAAGACTGACTGAGTCCGTGACTGCAGCTTGTGCACCTCATTTGTGTCGCAGCATTGCTCTCAATTTTAAACCAAACAACGCACCATATCAGAATAAAACCTTTCATTAATGGTATTTTTATTCGTGAATAAGATATACGTATAGTACTGATTACAGGATACAGTGAATTCTGGTTTGAAACTATTCAGGCAGTTCAGAAATACATATCTAAGTAATAAAACCAAACAATATAGTGCTTAAACAAACCATACTTTGCACATGAATGGCTAAGTTTACTTATAGGCCGTGTAGGTATGTCCGTGTAGTGACGGATTAAGAATATGGAATGCCACTACCCCAATTCATCCCGTGGGTGTCGTAACAGCCGACTAAGGGCGTAAAACAACGCAGGACATCAGCACTGCAAAAAGAAGGAAAACTTGACACAAACCCTATACCAACCCGTCTGGCCTGGATGATGTGACTTATAGTATCAGCTTACATTAGAGCTTTTGCTATTTTAATATAATAATACTTTAATAGCTATCTTATTTTTTTAAAGTATATATAATAATATGCTTTATTATTTTTTGGTGTAGGGGGGCAAACAAGCAGACGGGTCCAATGGATTGAAAGCGACTACTCCCGCATGCCTGCAACTCAGGACTCAAGACTTCAAGAGTCATAAAGGTGTTGCGAGCCTTAGAGGTACACTCTTTCTTTGAAGGTTGTATCGCTCTGAAAATACAGGCAGGCAATAATTTGTACCACAAAAAGTGTCTTGATAAGCGCAGTGGTGGTGTCAGTTTTCCAAATGACGAAGATAAATAATAAAAGTTTTGCCGTGTGGAACGATGGTGGAAAGTTGCGGGTGATATTAGTCCGAATAATTCCTCTTAGCACTATTCAGGTTTGCAACTTATAGTGTGTATAATTTTAAAAGATATTTTTTTAAATCTTACCCTCTAAGCCTGGTCCCATTAGGTAAAACCTTCTCCATGCCTCCAAGCAACAGGCACAGTATTGCCTTCTTGATATATTCATGGCCGTGTATACTCGGAGCAAGTGATTTGCTTATAAGCTCAAACATGTCCACTGTTCCTCGTTTGGCGAGACGCTTGCAGAGCTTGACATCCTCATAACAAATGGCCAGATTCATGTCCTTGTTGATTTGAGTTACATTGTTTGCTATTAGGATTGTTCTGGGGGAAGAGAAAATGAACTACGTTAAAAAGACAAGCAGTACTCAATTTGGTTGTATCTTCTTCTCTTAAATTTATGAATGGTAAATTAAGGAATTAAGAGTATAGTGTGATCGCGGAGCAGAATTTCGTACATTGAGTTGTTAACAACATTTTAACATTGTATATATTTTATTATTTATTTTCATAACATTTAAAAATTTGTTTCTCATTTACCTGAAAGTACCAGCAGTAAAACTTCCTTGTTTATGAGGCAGACATCTGTAGTTTCCCACAATCTGCACTCTATCTCCAGGTTTGCAGCGATCTACCAAGTCATCATCACAGATGATGTCAACACTTCTAGGTAGCTGGCCAGCTGGAGCCCGCTCTGGCATCTCTTGCACTGTGAGAGTCTGGTGATCTTTGTAGCGAGACAGACCATATTCTGTTTCTAGAGGATTACCTTCATCATCCTGAAGATAAAAATTAATGGAAGGTTAGTAAAAATTCTAATGATTGCACATGCGCAATGGTTTAACTGGTCGCCCTGCCGCTGAGCTGTGCCGAGTGGAGGCACAGCAGTACAGGTTGGATTCATAGTGATAAAAAAATATTTTATTCATTCTAACATTTTTTATACGAGCAGACTAAAGAAACAAACTACGCAAGACAAGAACAATGCAAAATGAAGGCACTGAAAACTTGACACAAATCCTTTACCAACCCATCTGGCCAATGTGGTATAATAGGCCAAAACCTCCTTTCTAAGAAGAGACCTATGACCAGCAGTGGGCTATTAAAGGGTGTTGATGTGAAAATTTTGTTTATATAAATACAGATATAAAAATCAGTTGTATAGAAACAAATCATAAATATTGTCTACATCTGTAGTTACAATACAGAATTGCACATGAAATAATGCTTATATCTCTCATTACCTTGGTGGGATACACAGCAGAAGTAGGGAATGCTTCAAAAGATGTAAGATCAGTGTACTTTCTCTCCATAACTTTCTTAGTGGCCGGGCAATAGTGAACACTACGCACAACCTTAGGCCGCACCAAAGACACCCTTGTAACAATACCTTCTACACAAATTAGATTTCCTAAATACCTGTAAGAGAATATGTTTATTTTAGTATTTAAAAGACAACTCTTGCATTAGGGACATATTGCTATATTACGGGGAAACATACATGAAACGGACACAGAGAACACCCAGACTCAGACCAACAATTTGTGGATCACACAAAGAGTTGTCCCATTCGGGGATCAAACTTACAACACACAGAGCAGTAGTAAGTGGAGTGGCGACCGCTTAAACCACTAAGCCATCCTTGCAGTCAAATAGATTATTTATTATATGTAAAAAGTTATGCAATAAAAGACAGCTTGATAATAGGTATACGAAAATACTGTTGATGACCAGAGGGCATAATGGTTAGTGTAACTCTCTGCAATGACAAAGGTTGCGGGTTTGATTTCCGCTCAAGTCAAACACATGTATCCACAAAATTTATTGTCAGATTTTGTGTATCTATGTATGTTACCTAAGGCTGCTTCACATGCTTCCTTTTAAAAGTATAAATTATATTTATTGATTTATTTTTTTAATAAAAAATCTTTTTAAGGTACAAAATAACCAGACCATTATGTTGTTGTATGTGTTATCTTGATTTAGTAAAATTATTTGGATACCTTTTGATAAAGAAAAATCATGATATTTTTTCCACAAGCAAGTCATAAAAAAAAACACAATTGTACTTACCGAGAAGTTAAACTCCTGGGTGTAACATGTTTATTTCCAAAGCTACCACTGAATGCGACGAAAAATTCTTCTTGCACTTTGGCATAAGTAGGATCAATAGAAGAAACATATTCTTTCAAAGCTCTTTGAAATGCTATTTGTTCTTCAAAAGCGTTTTCGAGTAGATTCTTAGCACGTTCAGGATTCTTTCTCCGAAGATCGTTAACATTAACGTTGAGCCTTTTAGACTTGTCAGCTACCATTAATTTAACCTTTTCCATATAAATTCCTTGGTCCTCCTGAAATTTATTGGTAAGTTTGTCAATACTAGTAGAACACAAGTTTATAAAGGTTACAAATGTTAGATCAAACAACATACCTCATCGTCTAAGAACTCCAAATATTCTCTTTGCAAGTCTCGTAAACGTTGGTCAAAATCTCCTTCTTCCATTTTTATTTTTTTGAATAATGATGTAAATACAAAGAAATTATAGCGTAAAGATTCAAACCAACCAGAAGGGCACAACAGAGTTCTTTAAATTTTTGACAATGACAGTTTAAAGGTTTTGGCGCGAAATGAAGTTTTTTTTACAGGGGTGGAGTTGCGCTAGTCTAACCATAAATTCTGTGACTATAATTGACTATTTACACATTATTAAGGGCATTATTATTATTATAGCATTATTAAGTAGATATTATATTTTTTAAAGCGATTTATTTTTTGTAGTAAGTTTATAGAGAACACAATTTTCTAAACAAACAATAGAATTAAATAGTACATTTACAGAATCAAATAATTTTGTTAATGCTGATGATTAAAAAAGTTGTCGTCTCAAATGGTACTTTGAATTAAATAGGCATAAGGTACCTAATCATTAACTTAAAGAGACTTTAGGCCAATAACTTATGATATCTGCTTTAAGAAATCTTCAAGAAAGAAAAGGATGGGAAGGGAATTTAAGGAAAATTTAAGTTTCATAGATACCTACTGCCACATAAAAAAAAACAAACTAATCTTAATCAAACTTCAGTTCTGCATAAAATTAGATTCATGTTTCATTATGCGGCAAGTAGCCAGCAGCCTTACTTAGGAAATCGATAATCACAATTGTTAAACTTTGCTACGGGCTAACAACGTAAAAAAGTATACTCACAAGCCAAAAGTTTTATCGGATATTTTAGTTACAATTATAATAATAATATATATAAATATTATATTATTAGTCATATTTTATTACTTTTTATAATTAGATTTATTAAATCATGTGAAATTAATAATAATTTGAGTTATATTTTAATGATTTAACCAACCAGGAATATCCAGGTACTAATTCAAAACCACTCCATTGTTTGGAAACCCTATAAACCTAAAATTCTGCCTCTCTATTTCTTCCCATATTTACGATGTGTGTACAGATTATGAAAAATAAATGACTCAATTTGGCACATATGTTTAAGCCGTATGAATTTTATTTTTAAGTAAATTACTTACTCACAAGAAATAAGTGGTTAGTATTAAAGTAAACGAGCTCTCAGTTATTAGTCGAATAGAATGATATCTCTTTTTTTAATAATCAATAATATTAGTGTGTTACAGTTTGTTGACTTTGTTGACAGTTGCGGTCTTGTCAAACAAGTTCTACAAAATTATTTGTAAAACAGTACATATTTTCTTAAAAACGTATTATAATACGTCTTTTTTTTATCCTCGCAGTACTATTGTAGTTTATGACTCCTTATGGGCCTATTGCATGAAAAAGGAATTCAGTCAGTCAAAAATAACCTAGAAAAATAAAGAAATATAGCTTAATTAAATTAGCAATTAAATTTCATGACTTAAATTATTACATACTAAGGACTTTCGCAACTATGTCTGAAACTAATTCAAACTCTAACCATTCGCTAACACCTCCACCGCCGCCACAAATCAGCAAAGAGGCTACAGATCGACCGAAACTAAAAATTCTAGCCTTTCATGGCTATAGACAGAATGGAACAGTCTTTAGAGCAAAAATTGGTTCATTTCGTAAAGCTGTTGCAAAATATGCGCAGCTAGTGTTTGTATCGGCACCACACAAAGTCGTAATTGAAGATGGAGGAGGTGATGAAGGTTAACATATTTATATATATTTATTAATAACATTCCATAGGAATCTCTTCAAAGTTCAATCTCCTTTGAGTTTTCATTTTATTACCAAAACCCTGAACTAGTTTTTTTAATCTAAATAGTTTATAGCTTATTATGTCAAGCAGTGGACTATTAAAGGCTGTTGATGATATGAGGCGCTCTTATTTCCCAACAACAACTTTGGAAAAGGGAACTAAACCCCCTTACAAATACATTATTGTTGAGGTATATGTCGAGTAAAGTAATGATTGGTATATCTGGTTATTTACAGATGCTCGATCATGGTGGTTTAATGCAGAAGACAATACATTTAGTGGTAAATGTCTTGGAGGGCCAGCACTTGGATTTGAGGCCACATTGGACTTGATTGAAAGAGTAGTGAAAGAACACGGACCATTTGATGGGTTTATGGGTTTCTCACAAGGAGCTTGTTTAGTGGGCTTGTTAGCTGCTATGCAACAAAAAGGATGTAAGTTGGTAAAAATTTATTTTGTTTCTGTCACCAGTATTTTATGTTACTGTTCTGTGCTCGAGGATTGTAGCATAACAGTACATAGCCTATAAACTTCCTTAATGAATTCTTAAGTACTAAAGAGAAATGGATCCTTTATGTGTGTGTTTGTCTAAAACAAAGTGGGGATTCTCTTGATCCTTGAGAAGTTATACCTAATGTACTAATTAAAAAAATAATTGGTGCAGGCACTTTGATTGATGCAGGATCAATAGTTACTCCAGAATTTGGTGTGTCTGTAGTGGATAATATTGAAGTATATTTCATTTTCCACATATTAACTAATAAATCTACCTTCCATCCTGACTTTGGATGGGTTAAATCACAATCACCTGTGATTATTATGATTACGCTAGCACCAGACTTGCATAAGGTCTAAAAAAAAGTAGTAGTCTTTGATAAAAAGTAAATTCAATACATTTGTTTTTTCGTTTGGTGTGATTTATCACATCAATGATGAGAAATTATTATTTAAAAGCAGCAATTTTTCCATCACTAGTTTCAATTTTTCTGGGCCATTACATTAGTTTCACATGGCTTTAATCATTGTGTCAATATACTTGGATCAGTTATTTTATTTACCAGTTGTTTCCCATTTCAGATTTACCATATACTTTCAAGTTTGCAATATTTGCATCAGGATTCAGATCAGGTAGCTTGGTGCACAAGGGATTTTATGATGAAGAGATTACATTGCCATCGTTACATGTTTATGGTGAAAGTGATTCTATTATACCTAAAGGTGAGTTTAAAATGTTGACACTTCGAGCTGCGGGAAAAAGCTAGTCCTTTGCAAATAGTAATGATGGTGTAATAGTTTGTTAAATGATTTTATGTTTTATGTTTCCAGAGATGAGTGAATCACTTATCAATTTATTCATCAAGCCAGTAGTAGCAGAACATACTGGTGGCCACTATGTAGCCTGCTCTGGTGCTATCAAAGATGCTTACCAAGATTTCCTAAGTGATCAGTGCCAAGAAGTGCTAAACGAAGATAATGTAGAAGAGACAGAAGAGTCTTCGTAGTAGAAATATTTATGTTAAATACTTCTGTATGTGATGTTATGAAATATGAATTCATTTAACTAAACTTAATGAATTCGGTTTTTGAATAAAAACTAATATTTAAATTAATACTGTTTTTATCACCTAACTTTTGTACTTACCTTATCAATGTACTTGTGACTCTTCGGTTGTACAGTTGCATGTGTCCATGGGATGCGGTAGTCACTTACCATCAGGTGCGGATCACCTGATGGTAAGTGACTATGTTATCAATTATTAGAATTGAAAACTAATGAAAGCAGAAGGTGTAGGTACATCTCGTATTGAAAACGAATTTCCTTCCTTCCTTTTGTTATAATAAATAACTATAAAATAACATGTATTTGAATGAACACTATATAAAAGCGAATAGAAGAGTCAGGGAAAAGAAGTCTAGAATACAGTTGATAAGATTGTAAAGTTGGCATGTTTGACAGATTAGTATGTTGTATCAAAAAAGTGTGGAACCTAAATGTTCTGTGAAAAGTGAGACTACAGGAGACCTTGGTATACGGTATGAATAAAAGTTAGAAGAACCACTGTATACCTTAACCGATTTTTGTTTATTAGGCGGCTACACTGCGAAGCGCTCTCTTATTTCCGTGCTGAAATTCCGTCGGATACCTTAACCGGTCGGCCGGTGGCGACCCCATTGTGAGGGGTTTTGTCGAACTCGCACCGACTAAAACTGCACGCCATCTCGGGTACTAGAAGCCCGGGGAAGATGTAACATACAATATAGCCCCTGGTACCTCGAAGGGCCCCGGGCCCTGTACAGTAATGGGCATTAATGCTAATTAGATTTAATTTAATTAATTGCGAATTCTTATGTCTTAGCAAGTTAATTTTGCTAATGCTAATATTATTAGGTAATATTGCAATTTCGTTCGAGAAATAATGCAATACTACAGAGTTGTAAATTAAGATCGGTTTTTTTCAATATTTTTTTTTAGACATTTCCCGCATTAGGAATTTATCCTGTGTCGCGGGGAACTTTACAAACATACATGAAGCGGACACAAAGAACACCCAGACTTACAACAACAATTTGATGATCACGCAAAGTGTCGTCCCATGTGGGGTTTGAACCCATAACACTCGGCGCAGTAGAAACCGGCGTGGCGACCGCTTATACCACTGCGCCATGCGTGCAGTCATATTTGATCTTGCAACTTATTACTCCAACTATTTTGTAATTTAGTCATTATTTTTGTTTTTTATTGTTAAACAAATTAAAACTAATCCTTAAGAAGTTGTGTACAAAAGTTACACCAGCAGGATCACGAAAACTTCGCAGCCGAAGAAAATACAAATACCAAATAAGTTGTAACATTTACCTCGTCCAGATAACTAATTATTTAGCTAACATTTATTTCAATATTCCAATTAAAAAAAACGTTTCAAACGTTACCCCAGCAGGAAATGTTTTTTTTTTGAAATAACTAAAAAATTAAGTGAAACAAATTTAAAAATGTGCCTAACAATTACAGAAGGGGGGCAACTAAATATCTGTTACGTTTAAATGACCATTTTCGACATTATTTTGCTGGGGTAACGTACACAGCGTGAGGGGAACGCGAGTCGCGAGGTATGTTTTCGGGGCGACGGCCGGTGTCCGGAGGAACGCGTAGTCTGTCTCCGGTTACCCGGTGGATGGTCGCTCGGCCGGAGCCGGGTGACACAGAGGTATCAGCCGGTGGATGGTCGCTCGGCCGTAACCGGGCGACAGGTGTGATGTATGTATAATACGGCGGTAGTTGTAATAATTTTATATAGGCCGATTATTACGCTACCGCCAATCTCACTTGGGATTACACTTTAAAAGGGGAGAAGTAATCCCTAACTCATACAGCCAGTGTCTTCCTAACAAAGTGGTATTGCCATTTTTTATTACAAGTAAATCTAAATGTTTACTTTTATCTTTGAAGCAAACTAATACGTTTATTTTGCCCATAGGCTTTATTATTTCTCAAGTATAATATCTCAAAATAAGGTTACATTTTAAAATGCTGCTATTCGGAAACCACTTTAAATAGTTAGCATAACTTATACAGGAAATAGTACTTCCAGTATCTAATTCCATACTAATGTTTTTTGTCTGTGGGTCTGGACATGGCCAATCAAACTCTGGTACTAATCTACTTTTTAACTGATTAACGTGTTTCTTGACAAGCGAACCGTTATCCCTTACTATTTTATAATTACGAGATCCTAACTTTTCCTTTACCTGTCCCCTACACCATTTATCGCAAACTGGCAAACAAGCACAGCAGATTCGCCGCTGAAATACAATTGCGGGGAGTTGGGCTGTGGTCGACCCACAACTATATGAGCACTGCTGTACTTATTTGCCACCGCATTGGTGGGCGCACGTCATTGCTGTAGGTTCCGTGCAGTGAGCAACGATCTCGGAGGCCTTCGGAAATCCTCTGAAATCTTCGGGCGCTCCGGAGAAGTTGCTTCGTCGACGTGCGGGCCAATCCTGATCAGTGCTCTCGGCACATCGGTTAAATATGAGTGTGAAGACTAATTATTCCATCACTACCATCTACGGCTAGTAGATAGACACCCGCCAAAGCGGCTTAGCATATCATTAGCAAGTAAAATGCCATGAGGAGGAATCTAAATTATAAGTAAATTGATTTATTAAGTAAAGTGAATTGTCATGCATATATATAGTCATGTATTTTTATAAGTAACACCGGTAAAACATTGTCATGGAAAAGTAACGGTTTATATGTCAGATTTTTATTTATACACCCATAAGGTGCTCTTAGCATAGATAGAGGGGAGCAGGTATTAGATTAATGGCGACGTCGGTAGAAAGAGAAAGAAGACGGCGACTACTTCGGGCCAACAAATCAACGAGAGAGACGCATGTAGATCGCCGCCTTCTTTCTCTTTCTACCAACGTTCCCGGATCGTGGCTCGCTTCTGTCCTCTATCTATTTATTATCTCTACTCTATGGCTCTTAGCTCAATTTGTTTACTTTATTTTTGACAGTTCAGTGAGAGGTTATAGTCAATTACAGACTTATAAAACATGTTTAATCAATTATGACATGCTGGTTGGACTTATGATATAACAAATACAAAATATTTATAAGTATTCATATTTACTAAGCTATGCTTAATGATGATAAAATGTGGCGCCGATATTTGATGTGGTTTGCTCACGAACATGTAGATTTCCGACATGCGGTAAAAGTTTCTCTTTAAAACGCTATTTGTTCCCTGTTGATTTTAATGTATTAGGTATTCATTTTCTTTTTGTTCTCAGGAAATAAATAGTATATTATCAATATTTAATATACCAATCAAATACATAGAACAACCGTCTGTACAAAAACCGTATTGGATAGTTGAATTACCTACTGAAGATTCTGTTAAGAAGATCGCTTCAAGATCTGTACTTGTCAAATGCTGCATTGAGCTTTGGTCGAGAGCTAATACAGAGTCACAATTACATACAAACTTAAAGAATTCTTTACAAAACAAGACAGGCAAATGGGTGGTAGGTGATGATAATAGCAATTGTACGAGTGATAAATATTTTTGTCCAAAAGAACTAATAGAATCATGTTGTACAGCGAAAAATTCGTTTAAAATAGAAGTTGAGACATTCTGCAAGCATTTCACGTTGAAAGAAAAAGTAGAAAAGATAGAGGTAATTGTAATCTGATACTCATTATTAAATCTTATGTACCATAGCAAAATTTATTAATATTATTAATTTAAATTTAGTTGTACACAACAAGTAGGTTTTATACTATGCACTTTTTGATCTAATAGTTTCTCCTTTATAACACACAATATAAAATACATTTATTTATTTGTTAATTACATTTATACTGTTTTTCCATTCACTTAGTAATCACAAACTTTAATACTATATATTTAAATTTCGGTTGAACCATTAAAAACATTTCGAAAATGTGTTTAACTATGTGAAGATTCTTTGTTTTCATTAATTTTTGACACATTTTCATGATGTTTTTATTTTTTGTAATGAACAGTTTGCATGATAACAATACCTATTGGATGGATCTAGGTGTACAGGTTAATTATTCAATATCTAAAACTATTTGTGTTCTAGGATAGGAACATCAACTGGATGCTGCTAGTCTTATATTAATCTGAAAATGTTTCACTTTGCAGGGGTTCAGCTACTTACCGTTAGACGGTCCTGTAAAATTAAAAAATCCAGATGTGACCTTATCTTACTTGGAGTTTTATGGAGTAGATCCCAATAATGTTCCCGGGAAGCCCTATGATGTATTTTTTGGAAAGTGGGTAAGAGTCTTAGAAAGCTTTTGTTATATAGACAAACAATTCTCAAATTTCAAATTCTCTTGTTTATGTATGCTAAATATGCATGCATTTATTTTCATTAAACCAATACCAAATTATGTGATACCTTGAGTTGTACGTGTCCATGGTCACGTCAGTCACTTACCATTGTAGTTGTTGTGTATGCATAAATATTTTGTTAGTGGATTTTTTTTTGTTTTTTCAAATAAAGATTGTAGACTCATTATTATCATCTGGGTAGAACCATTACAAACATTTTGAAAATGTGCATTTAGTGAAGATTTTTTGTTTTCATCAATGTAGCTGATGTTTTCATGTTTTTTGTTATGAACGTTTTGCATGATAATGATGTAGGTACTATAGGACTATGCGAATCGCTCAGGGATTTGAGTGTTTGGTTTAAACCATAGAGATAAGCATAAGGAAACCACGGGGTACAGCTGCCTGTAAGCGGAAGCAATACATCCAACGAGAAAGATGAATGCCCGATAATTCCCTCTGTCTCTGTTTAGGTAAGCTGCGATTGGCTACTTATTAACCCCTCATATTCGCCAGCCAGCTACAGAGCTCGACTAAAAACAGATAGAGGTAACTCTCCATTATCCATCTCTCTCATTGGATATATTGTGAGATTGGGGCTCTTGTTCACTCTATGCTTATATCTCTATGGTTGAAACAATATCTACTTTGCACTTAATTATAAGTTGTCCACATTGAAAAAAAAATTTTTTTTATAAAGTCATGACTTCCTGTCTATCTTATTCTTAATTATTTTCAAAAATAGGTAGCAGATGGACAGCGGGAATTGATCCAGACCCATTCGCTGAAGAAGCGTCAGTTCATTGGCAACACAAGTATGGATGCCCAGCTCTCGATCATAATGGCGAACCAGGCGCAAGTGAGACCCGGAGATTTGGTGCTTGACCCTTTTGTAGGGTCAGGGTCATTGCTCGTGCCAGCTGCACATTTCGGAGGTATTTTAGATATGTGATTTAGAAAAAAAAAAAATGTTACAAACCAGTGTTGAGTATCGATTTTTGTATTAAATCATTCATAAGGTTCACACACTCACTACCACATCCCTAGCGTAACTTTTGGTAAAGATGGCCGAGCCATTCTATTAACTAATATTAAGTAATCAGGTTCTTTTATTAATAGACATATTTGTGTAAACAGGTCTGTTGTCACTTGTACACCATCCGATTAACTAATACAGCTATGAAGGAAAACAAGAGTAGTACAATTTAAATGTTAATCATAATAAATACTATGTAGATTGTAACTTGAAATTAAATAAATTATAACCTATTAAAATATATATATTTTTTTTAAATACCCACAAGACTGTAACTGCCATTTTATGGTATTAATTAAACAGAGAGATAAAAAGTATGAAAATAAGAAAACTGAACTAAGTTTTTTAATGATAAATAATTTTAAATAATGAATATAAATTAATAGTCTATACCTTAATACTTGTATTGTAAGGTATGTATCAATAGATTCATAAATAAAAACAATTGGATATTAGATAAATTAACTTTTATTTTTCTAAGTAGATGTTGATTTTATTATATATTTTTTGCAGCACACGTTTGGGGTTCCGACATCGACTTTATGATGCTGCATTCCAGAACGCGTCCCACCCGTGTTGGACAAAAGGTAACAAAGTATGTATTACATGTTGAGCTGTTACCTTAAATTGTCATAATTTAAGGCCCTAATTATACGTTCTGAAGGATTGTAGGTTTTAACGTGGAAGAGCCTTGCTTCGACACAAATGGGCAATTCTTTCGTTGCTTCACATCAAGTGACTAAGATTATCGGAGCCTTAACCCGCATAATATGTTTATTATAATGGCCTTGTAACGTTAGTAGAAGGAGAGAGAAAGAAGACGGCGATTTACATGCGTCTCTTCGCTGATCTGTTTGCCTGAAGTGGTCACTGTCTACTTTCTATTTCTACCTACGTAGCTTACAGGAAATTTAATACCTTCACCCCTCTATCTGTATTATCTCTATGCTGGAAACCTATCCTAGTGGAAGAAATATAGAGCAAAAGTTGCTTTGCTCCCGCTGTCTGTTTCCAATTTAGAGTAATATGTACAGTAAATCAGGATACCATAGTACAGGCACCGGCAGAATCAGCCATGTTCTTGTTGTGGTATATAGTAATGGAAATTATTGCTACATTTAAATCATAATCATATGATTAAATTATTGGTTTTAGTCACTCTGAAGTCACCTGTGATAAATCACTACTGGGATTTGGTCAAAGACAAAGATAAATGTCTTCAAAAACTTAAGCAAAAGAAACAAACCTTTTAGTTTTAGACCTTTCGCAAGTCTGGCGCTAGCGTAATCATAATTTATAACAGGTGACTATGATTTTATTCCATCCCGGTATGGACGAAGCAGACGGGTCATCTGACGGTGAGTGAATACCGAATAGGTTAGGTTGGGTTCTGGTAACCTCACTCCTTTGTTGAAAAGCAACGAACGAATCCAACAGAACAAACCGAAACAAACGAATCAGATTGGAGTTTGGCCGTGGCATCACATCGACTTGCCTATTGGTCTAGTGGTTAGTGACCCTGACTTCAGGCTTTTGGCTTCAGACGGCCGTGTGTGAAATGACTGAAAACATTATTATTATCACACCGGTCGAGTCGGCTCAGTTGACAAAAAGCTCTGTGGATCTGTTTTTATATTATTATCTAAGTATCTTATGTATTATTTTATTAAATATAATCTTATACTTATTGTTATAGAATTCTTTTATCTTGCAGGTTCGTACAAAAGATGAGAGCATACGCGGCAATATGAAGCAATATGGTATTGAGTCCCAGTATTTAGACGTGGTTGTTAGCGATTTTTCAATGCCTATGTGGCGACCAGGATTGAAGTTCGACGCTATTATTACCGACCGTAAGTCTATTTTACATTATATTTAAAATTTAAACGTATTTACCACACCCAAATTGAATAGTAAAATTTACTTCAATTGTGCTGCGCTCATCGCCTACCTGGTGCCTAGCAGATTATGACCTTTAGAAACTTTCGATATTTAAAGTTGTATTGGAATATTCAATCTAAAATTGCAAAAGGAGTTGCCATGTATAGTTTATACAGGATGTCAGAAAAGTACTGGCACAGCAGAATAATTCGCTATTTTGATAATTTTGACCTCTAAAGGTCACCAATCCAAGGTCAAACTCACACGTTTAGAGGTGAAAATATTGGTTTTACGGTTACGTCTTATAGTGATTCTTTAATTTTTAAATAAAATCAGGATCCTTATCTAAAAATATGACCGTGACTATCGGTGAATTAGTCGATATTTATTAGTTGGAGTCTCTAGTCAGTCTTGCATGACTCTTGTAAATAAAACTTATTTTTTAGCACCCTACGGTGTTCGGGAGCCTACAGAACGTATTGGTATAGAGCGCGAGAACTACACTTTAACCGAAGACCATTTAGTGAACCATATCCCCGCCAAAGTGGAGTACGGTTTGCCTCACTTATATAGTGATCTGCTCAACTTTGCCGCCACTCATCTGCAGATCGGCAGACGACTTGTATGCTGGTACCCTTTAGTTAGGTAAGTAGTTTTCGACTATTTTGTATCTATTATGAAATACTCGAAAAAGGAATGTGCAACGCTGACTTCCTTTAATATATTGGATGCCCTGTTTGAATTACTAACATACTAACATTTTATTTGTTGTATTTAACAACATACGTATGTACAAACAGAGCGACATTAAGCACCTCTTCTAAATCATTTTTTGAGCGTGCGGCTCACCGATTTCTATTACTGCTTGGTGTGACCTTGTTATTTGTAAGGAGTAGTAGTGGAACCGACAGAAGTTTTGCTGCCGAAATGTATAAAATTATTCCTCGAGCCATATCATAACGCACCTACTGGACCCCTATCCAAGGCACATAAAAATTGAGTGGTTTAAAACAGTTTCAGTTATGTTTTATATTATCAAGCACCAGAATAATATTAAGAACTTTCATCAGTCGCTTTCCATTCACTTACTTCAATTATTATCGATAAGTAGTATGTAACGTCGATAAATCGAGTGCGGTGCGGAATGATTTTGCAAAATGATTGCAGAATGATTTCACGTCGTCAATAATTATCACGTTCAATAGATGGCGCTGTATTCCTTATCAAATATACTAAAGCTGAATCAAGCAATCGCAGTTATGTGTGTTACTAAGTATAAGTACGAGTATATTTGTTTCGGCAGTACATTTAATAAAAATGAAACGATGCAGAGAAGATTAGCATGGCCCCTGCGCAAGGATGACACGCAAAATCGTGAAGCGTTCCACATTTTTTCAACAATTAATTTCTGAGTAACTTGCGTTGTAGTAGGTATTTATTGCCTAATCATTCCCAAAATAATAGGTATATCCAGGGGACGCAAATAAGTCAACTGGTCCAATGACTTTTGGTTGCTTACGTACTTATACGTTTTCTTTAGGCCGTATGTTTTGCAAAATAGGGGTGCGAGATCTGGTTTCAATATCTATCGACAGCTGATCACGTCACGACTCTATTGCACTAGTATGTAAAATATAGGAGTTACATTTTGATATGTTTTGTTTGTTTTTACATAACTTGGTACACAATCGCTATTTTTCTTAAATAGGAAATAAATAATTTGATATGGTTTTATATTTTAAAATAGGATTGGTATTGTTTTAAAAAATACCTGCTTTTCCTCAGAGAGGAATACAACGAAGACCAACTACCGCGTCATCCGTGCTTCGAACTGGTATCGAACTCGGAGCAGGTGTTATCCAAGCTGACGGCAAGGCGGCTTCTCACTTACCAGAAGGTGCATGACGACGTGCCTCCTGTACCAATCGAACCTATCGCTAGGGCCTACAATTTTAGGTATGTCTACCAACGTATATGATAGTAGAAGCTGACTCCAATTTTATCCGTAAGAGTATTACAGAAATAGGTAATCGAGGCGACTTTCATATACAATGAAACAAAAACATATTTCACTGCCATCTAACGAAGACACACTGAACCCGTAGTTCAGTGTGTCTTCGTATAACTGGTAATCCTGTATGGCGATATAAAAAGTTCTCAAGCCGAAAACATGTTCCTCCACGGAAATATGGTCAAGTCTTATACAATAATGTTTATCATGGCAGTGCCGCGAAGTTGCAGAGTAGCCAGCCTTTACACCAAAAACACATTTTTAAAAATCTCACCTGGGTATGGGAGTGGGTTGAATCAAATCTCTTGACAACTCTCCAGGGGAGGAGGTGGGATCAGAAAATCGCCGAAAACCCCTCACGTAATTAATGGACGCTCCCTTGTTAAATCGTGGTACTTCTACTCAGTAAGGCTAGGCTTTCAATAATGATATTTTATATACCATCGACATATATTGATTCTAGTTTCCTGTTTTTCGTATTTCCAGAGAGAAGTACTTTTCCGTTGGTGAAGAATCAAGACGGGAGAGAAAAGAGAGGAAAGCAGAAGAATTGGCCACCAACCCTCTGTGGAGAGCAGCGAAGAATCTGGACAGTGTAACATGACATGTATTAACGTGACAATTAATAATAAGGATTTTTAAAATTAAATCGAATAAATCATATTTTTGTTTTTAAATTTTAGTAAATAAGACTGTCTAAGGAGAGTTATGTCCAGGAGTGGACTATTAAAGGCTGTTGATGTGATGAAATACGACTGTCGTAGATCTAACTTTTTCATCTTCTCAGCCGAAAGAAGTCCACTGTTGGCCGTCCAGCTTCCCACAAGTCTTCTTCACATTAAAAAAAAAACATTTACTTTAAAACACATGTACTTTATGTATTCCGCCGTAGGAGGCGTCCCTTCTGGATTGAACATCATTGGATGACAACTTCACTTCAGTAGATAAATCTTAAAGGGAAATAAAGTTACCTTCGCAATTGTTATTAGCACAATTAAGATTTGTCATCATTTAAAATTTTTGTCCCCAGGCTCATTTAAGGATCAAAAACTTTCAAAGTAGCTTTAAAAGAATAAATGAAATGTAAACAAAGAAAGTAAGCATAAATTTCTGTTAAGTTGTCTTTGGTTAGCTTTGCTGTCTCTTGTCTATAGTGTATAGTCTCTTGTCTATGGCATATGGGACAGAATAAAAACTTACAGTAATTCGAACCGATTTGAACAGTAATGCGTCCATTATTTTCATATGTGTTTCATTAGTTTCATACCGTTTAAAACTTCATAACGTTTGCAAATAGGATCTAATTTTCCCCTGATTAAGAATCACCAGTACGCAACGACGTTCTATATTTGTATTTAATCTTAGTGATGTGACACTATGTAGTAGGGCAGACGTTGAATCTGAGCCACACCAGGAAAAAAATGAAGTCACAGCGTACAACTTAAATCCTCAATACTGAATTTTCATTTCTGAGACCGAGTTCAAAGGAGCAACATAGATAAATGAAAACAGGATATTGTTTAGTGGTAACATAAAATATATTTATTTAAACAATACATACTTAGCGTCCAATACTTATAAATATAAGATTGGACATAAATTAAAAACATTTCCCTTAACATACCTTGAAATAACCATTTTAAATGCACAGTAATTATTATTAATATTTCTGATGTACACGTCACCATTAAATATATGTTTAGTAATGAATATAGTAGTGTTAAAATTAATGGATGTTTGTAAAATAAAATACTCGATTTTTAAGTTGACTGGTGTGAAGTTGAATTTTAAACGCATGTAATATTTTAGATTAAATTTCACAGGGGTCCTAGAACACAGATATATATTCTTACATGTTGTGTTCTAAATACATACATTTTATATTAATTCGCACTAACGCTGTTTCACAGAAGTCGTCTGTGTATCATATCGTTTTGGAGTAACTTTATGCTAATTTAAATGCAGTATATGCTTCTGAACGTTTAAGGAAATAAAATCGATTGCGTCGCTATCTCTCAATAAGTGAAATAAAAAAATCGATTAATATCGATATTGGCCGTACTATTTGTATCATTTTTAGTATTCACATACGTGCAAGATAAATAATAATTTTCGCTACTAAATTACCTATTATATACAGGAAGCGTCATCATTCCTTAGATATTTGGATTACACAAATAGTGTATAGCCCCTAGTGTCGGCACACTAGTCGGTGATGGCGAGCGCCTGCAGCGCGTCGGCGAGCTGCGGCGCGGGGGGCCGCTTGTCGCGGGGCGCGGGGCGACGTGCGCGAGACTGCGCCCACGCACACAGCTTCATGGCCTCGGCGCGTTTGCCGCCCGCTCCCCACGATTTGTACTGGCTTAGTAGGTTGCTCGTCACCTGTACCAAATACGATTCAGATGAAATCTTTGTATGTGTGTTGTGTGTATCGGTGTTTTTCGCATTACTAATTATACGAATGGGCGGTTGTAAATCGGCATAGACAATAATATTTCCATAGGTATAATTTTATTTGTTCATTTATTCCGAAAATGTATCACTTTATATTTTACAAAGTTAATAAATTAATGCAGTTATAGTATCCCAAAAAGCTCAACTTTAAGTAGCAAGAAAAAAAAATTGAAAATAATATATTGAGTACACTTAAATAAATTATGGCAATGTGAATGACATAAAATGTTCCACATTGATAAAAAATGTCAAAATTCCATAGAAATAATCTCAGCCCATAGATAACTTCAGATGAAAACTTACCAGAAACAATCCAAGGAGCGCTCTCATATTGTCCGGGTTCAACTTTAACGCTTGGCAGTAATACGTCTTTGCTAATTCCAAATTCTCCATTCCACCCTGATAAAAATGAAAAGACCACAACATATGACATATATTGAAGTACTAGCTTTTGCCAGCGGCTCTTTGCCGGCAGACTTTGTCTTTTCTTAAGAATCAAAGTAGTTCCATGCCAAATTACACTAAAATCGGTTCAGCAGTTTAGCCGCGACAGTGTAACAGACAGGGTTGCTTTCGCATTTATAATATTAGAAGGGATTTGCATAAATTAAAGTACTCATTTGCGCTTTATACAGAATATTTTGAATTACACTGTTAATATTTTTTTATTTATAGAACAAGACTATATTATGTGCATTTACCATTGTATATCGTATATCGGCAAGTTTTTGATGCATGAGGTGGTTATGAGGTTGGTGTAAAATCAGCTCCTCTGCGCAAAAGGCTGCACGCGAGTACTCCTGTACTTGAAGGTACAGCTCGCACAGTTCCTGCCATCCCTCTACATCTGACATGAACCTGGTGAGAAATAAAATTAGAAAAATTGAAGACACGAGATTCTGAGATGGCCGAATTGTACTTCCAGCGTTCATGTGACGTCACCAGAACATTGCTAAACAAATTAGTGTTTTACTCAATGGGTCGTAGCATTCACCTCAATCAGGGAGTCGACTAGAGGAGCTGTACTATCTGGAGTAAACAAGTGTATGGTTTCTATGATTCCTTATCCAATCCTAGTAATTTGCCTTGTTTGATTCTGGTGGTAATGAGTAAGGATGGACTAACAAATATTCTCGTTATATGTCAATGGTTAAATTGGATCTCTACTTGTCAAAGAAAATACTCACTGCAAACGTTACTATTAAGGAAACTTTTGCACAAATCCAATTTTCTTTCCCACATTCACACACAACATACTATCTGTACTGTAACCACTTACTTTTTCAAGTAATCAACAAGATCTTTAATAGCTTCGGTGATGAGGCCCTGCGCTTTCAGTATTGCCACGCGTCTCTTACGTGCAACTGAATTAGTCTCGTCTGACTTAATTATACGGTCCAGTACTTCTAGAGCTTCATCGTACCTAAAAAATAAAAAAGTAGGCAATGTAAATAAAAACAAAATTTATACATACAGGGAGAACTCCCTGTTGAATAAATTTTATTTTATTTACACAGGACATTGAACGAGTTCATGGCATTGTAGACGTTTAAGAAAAGCAATAAAGGAGAAATAACACTATTCTGCTATATTCTTAGCTGCAAGTAAAACCTTCGACAAAGTGTTTCATGAAGACCTGCTTTTGAAATGAAGTGAAGAATGAGTGTGAAGATGAAAAAATTGTGTGGATAAATACTCTTCCACACTATTTTCTTTTTCATATTGAAATCATACCTTGATAAGTGGTGCTTTGAGATGAAACACAATAAAAGAGCTGTCAAACCTGATAAAGTGAAATCAGGTGTACCACAAGGTAATACACTGGTACTGATACTTAAAAAACACAATTTATAGATATAAATTTAAATCAAGATTTTTACGAACTTTTCTTCAGCCTCCAATAGTGCAGCGTTGTACCGCATTACTCGTAAACTACCAGGGAAGTCCATAGCAAGCTGGTAAATACACATCGTAGCTAGCTCAAACATGTGGCAGTCCAGTGCTGCATAAATGACTTGTTCCAACACCAGGTACTCTGTGTAAACAAGAATTTAATTACTTTAGTTTTATTAGATACAGGTTATAACATTAGCCTTTAAATTTATTTTATTATAAGGGTGGGTGGCAGTGCATGGGAGAAATCTCATAACTATACTAGTGCCTTCAGGCTTATCATTTCATGATCAATGCTAAGAAGAAGGAGAATCTCAAAACCTTGAAACTGTGTTACCTCATACTAGTGCAAAAAGGATTGGTGTCCAAGTATAAATTTGCGTAACATTCATTTTATTGTTGTATTCACATTCACTTTGATTTTTATAAAGATTACACACATGATACTCTATGCTTAGTTCTTGGGTGCTGTAAGAAAAAACTTCCTCCGAAAAGAAAAAGAAAATTACAGACTCACAAAACCACTAAGATTCACAAACAACATTATTGGACAGTATGGACAGTGTAGATTCATGTGTTTAATACTTTGTGTAAGAAAGTATATACATATCCTTAAATGTGTAAGTAGATATTTTATTCCATTTTTCTCCGTTTCTTCTCTTTTCTTTTAGTGTGAGAAGATATTTCCTAATATTTAGTCCTTTTTTTACTTTAAAATGCCTAACTAAAGTGTTATCACCTTATCAGTTATCTCCACACCACTCTACTGTAGTAAAAATAAATAAACTACAAAAAGGTAACTTATTTCTGCTGCTGAATTTTTGAAGTATTTTATGAAACAGGTATAGCTAATAATATGCACATATATTTTTTTATGTTGCGAATGTCGTTTTCTTGGAGTTATTTTTAAACAGTGTCTTTTTTGCATAAAGAATAAAGTATTATACTTACTTTCATTTCCTATCTTGTCCAAATCAGAAACGACCACTTGGAGCCATAACTGCATAATGTCCTCACTCTTTCTTTCATTTCCTTCTCTCCATTGACGCAGTAGATCTATTGCCTCTGAAAATTTTTGTACAATTAAAAAAAACAAGAATTAGATTGAAGAAAATGTTCTAAAATTACAAGTGTCCAAATTATGTATTTACAGTATTATAGTTGCAATGAAAGTATTTAGTACACAAGTGTTAAGCAACTGCATGGATGAAGTGGTGGGTTAAGTGACCACCTTGCCGCTTCTTACTGCACTAAGTGTTGTGGGTTTGATGGGACAACACTTTGTGTGTTCTAGAGTTTCCTTTGTATCCGTTTAAATGTTTGTTCAGTCCCCCGCACAGGTCATATTAAGGTAAGGTGTTATTATGTAGTAGTTGTTAATTTACACATAACGTTCTGCATATAAGAGTTTGAAAAGTATATAGGTACAACGTGAAAGCATACAAGGTTAGGATTTTCAGTAATAGAAGTATTTACATAAAATATTTCTGATAATTATGATTCAAATTGAACTACATTTAACAATAACTAAAATTCAATAATTCTAAAGTTTATTTGAATAGTTTGATGACATACCATTAAAGGACAATTCTTCATAGTTGTTTATCATGTTTAGTAACTTTTTTGTATTTAACAAAAAATTAAAAAGCCGCGGCACTTGCTTTGAATTTAATTAGATTTTTAGACTAAAAAACAGAAACGCTTAATTAATATATGAATATGATACATCTACTATACATGAGATGCTTTTCTGTCAATTTGAAATTGTAATTTTACGTCAAAGGTGTCATTTAAACTGAAACAGTGTTGTACCTTTTTTTTTTAATTATATGTATTTTTCGGAGATTTACTCAGTGTTTCAGGCTTTTAAGATAACTTTTTATACTTTTTGATGAAATCAACGTAAACGGATTTTTATTTATTTTAATGCACTTTTGTACATCGGCGGCCTTGATTAGTGAGATACTGCTTCTGTCTTTTGATGTACTCTTTTTTTAAAGTAGTAATTTCAGTAATATTGTACTTCTCTATACGATGTCTCGTCATTCCTGCGATGAACCCACATAAGGAGCGCTATGACATGCTTCTAGCCCCCTTAAATAGCAGCACAATCGTGGCATTGATCTGACGTCTTTGTGTTTACCCACCATTAATGTAACTGCATATAGCTGCATTTCTTAAGGACTCTGTATTCTGGGCAAATTTTGCATTTCACAGGGCAAAACGCAAATTTACCGTTCCTTTACGTTTTAGGTGGACTTAACTAATGGTACCAAATCATCAAAAATGACGCTCGTGATAATCTGAAGTAATTTAAATTGATTAGATTAATAGATACTGCTACTAAGTGATGATTGTTTTGAAAAATTTAGCAATATTAATATTTCAATGAAAAGTTTATCATTATTTACAATTATATCAGCTTATATTCTTTCGAAACGTTTGATCTTCACATCTTCATCTTCTTCTCATCACATCTGTTAGTCATAGGCCATAAGCCTCTCCCAATGTGGGCCATCCTACCTACCTTCGTTAGGTCATCATTATAGTACTACTCTTTTCTACGAGAATAAGGTTTGAAACTAACAGCATAATTAATAAAATGTAACAAGTAATAACACATATTTTTTATTTTTCTAGAGACAGCATTTTCAACATTTACTGCTCTATGCTTTTGAAGCTATGAGTCTAGTTCCGTTTCACGCATATCTTATTGGAGATAATGTTTTAGTAAGCGAAAAACCTTTAGAATTTCAATTATAGTACACCGCCACGAGCACATATCGATGTTCAATTTCGTACATCGGAATATAAAAGTTTGTGTGTGAACGTGAACAAGACGTCTGCAATATGTCTGACTATTTGGAAATATTTTTAGATTTAGCATAATCGTAAATAAATAAGCATCTATATAGAGTTATCGATGTCATGGACTATACATGACAGTTACTATAATAGGTGAGTCCATTACCAAAGTGGGGCTACATTAATCGCTATTAATTTTATTCTCCAAAGTACATAATGCACGACTTTTTTATGTCTCAATGGCCTTTATCTCGGAGTTTTGTTTTCTTTTGTCCTCTGTTTGCTCGTTGAACAAGTTTGGAGAACATGGTGTTGTAAACTTAATGTAGTATATTTATACGGAGTATTTTGTCTGACAGATCGATAAGCAGACGACGTGCAACGAAGATATGTATTATAGTGGATCGAGCGAGAGCCTAACGTGTGAATAGTAGATATGCGCGTCACGGACATTGTGCGGACAGTCTGTACGGACCGAGTGCGCGTGCTGTGACCGAATTATATTGATATAATCGCGGCGAGGTGGTGCAGAGCCGCGTCGCTGCCTTCTTTGTCACTGTTTCACCAACCTAGTGACGTCAACATGGATCAGCTAGTGCAGTGTCCCGTGTGTACGCTGTTTCTCCACAATGGAATGACCCTGGAGTCACATTTAGACACACATCCTAAAGATCAAGTTATAAAAGCATTATGTAGTCTGACAGCAAATAAGGTATCCGGTTATGAAAGCAGAACTCCTACTCCATTACATTCAGACCGGTCATACAGAAGTAGGTCAAACACACCTGCTGCAGAGGATAATAGGTGGAATGGGCCACGAAGGAGTGAAGAACGCTACTGGCGTAGAACACCTAGTAGAACCCCAAAGGCTAATGCTTTGTCAGGAAATTCAAGAAATGGTACACCTGATGTGAGGATGAGTGAAATAAGTTTTGAAAACAATAGTGCTTCTGCCAGCATAGGGCAGGTTTCAGGTTCTCCATTTGTGATAAAAGCTGACAAAATCCAACAGACATACCAGTCTCCTCCAATAACAGAATTTGATCCACAGTATATTTATTATGATCAACAAGAGGATAGAGAAATAAAATATTCCCGTAGTGCAGAATATAACTCAATGTCGAGTCCTAACAGCATGTTTACATACAACAATATGGTGCCAGCTATGTCACCAGCAGTCAAATTAGTACCAGCCATAGCTAAAAGAGGGAATGACCTCAATAAAATTTTACCAAAACCAAATAATATACTTCTTAAAAATATGGGTGGTGTGCAATATATAGGTCCAGGACCCAAACCAATGCATGTTATGGTTCCTAGCGCATCTACATTTGTGCAGAAGAATGTACAAAACAATATGATCATGACAGGTAATATGCCTAGTTTACAAATTCAAATGGACCATAAGCCTGGAATGCCACCACAACCTAATAGTCAACTAAATCAAATATCTTCTAGTGTACATACTCCAGGTACAACTGTAGTTACACAGAATTCACAAATCATTTACAGAGAAGTTAACAACGCAGATGGTAAGCCTTTTGTTACACGTGTGCCTACAGTTCTGGGTGTACATGACAATGTCACAAATTTAGCTCAAGCCAGCTCAATGTACCAAAATGTAATGGTAGTCGACCAATACGGAAATACTTCTTGCATGTATCCAACACCTCAGCATGTACTACCTAAAGCTCCTGCTTATAATGAAACTGCGACTATACCAACCAACACTTTGGTTGAAGTTGAGAAATCACCTGAAAATGTTAATGACCCTAAAACACTTATAATTGAAGTTAGCCCCATTGCACCTCCTGTGCCAGAAAATATGTGTGAACCATCCAGCTCTAGTGGGTCACAGTCAAAAGCACATAGTCCAGTAAAAAAACCAGAAAAAGTAAAGGAAAGTTCAGAATTGAAATGTGAATCACCTGTTGTAACGAAAGGTCTCAAGATTCTTAGTAACATAAAAGTTGAGGTACTAGTGCAACATCACAAAAATATGGTGAACACTGTTATGGATCTTACAGGGCCCAATGATTCAGACTATCCTGTGGAGCGAGTACCATCACCTGAAAAGATATTGCCTGATTTAGATGACAGTGTTAATCCTGAAATGTTGTCCGATGATTGCATGCCACCATCAAACTGTAGTGGTGATAGTCCGAATTCATCATACTCTTCAATAAAAAGTAAATCTTTGTCAAAAGATTCTAATAAAAATATTGATGACAGTAAAATGGATGGTGAGTTTTCTGACAGTTGCCCAGTTCCAGACTTAATATGTAATGAGAAACCCTCTATATCACCTTGTAGTGAATTATCAGAGAATGGTGATAACTCAACTGATCGTACCTCAATCGTATCTCCTAAACTGCTAGATCATAGCTCAATATCTCCTAAACTGCAAGATCGTAGCTCAATATGCCCTAAACTGCAAAATCTTAGCTCAAGATCTCCTAAACTGCAAGATCATATTTCTATATCTCCTAAACCACAAGACCGTATCTCAATATCGTCTAAACAAGTTATCAATAGTAAATTAGACATTTCAGAAAAGAAAATTCAATTGCCACAAAAGCCAGGCAGGCAAAATATGTTAAGACTGAACAATATTTATGTGAAAAAACACAAAAAAGTCTTGCAGATAAAAAATGCTAAAAATTCTACTAGTAGTAGTAGTACTACTATTAAAACACCAGAACCCGTAGCAACGTCATCTAGTAGCAAAAGTCCCGAAAATTTTACAATGAATAAATTGCATCAAACAGATAAAAGTGACAATAAAGAAAAATCTAGTGTACTACAGACTATATCAGTGGAGGAGATTAAAGAAAATGACGATAACAATGATTTTGATGCCGATACAGAGGAGCAATCCATGGATATCGAACCCGTAGCACCGTCTAGTATGAACCAACCACCTAAGTTCACTGCAACTGTAGAATTACAATGTGTACATGTAAAGGAGGAAATAAATACCAGTAATGAAGGAGGATTTAGTAATCATACAGCCACGTCGGATCGTGACCTTGCGCCGATGGAATCATTGCGTCCAATCAATGTTGTTCCCTATGCCAATATGTCGGGGGATTTTGAAGATGACTCGAATGACAGAGAATTATTAGACCTCGAAACAGCATCGAAGAATAAGCAATTTGTCAGTATGATGAATGAGAATTACTTTGGTGATAATATTTATGCAGATTATTTCACACCAGATCGTGTCGAATCCTTTGAAGCTGAGCGAGAGGCAGCTGGATTCAAGGAAGGACCTAAAGATGGTATGTATAATATTTGGGGTGAACCATCCCAGAAAGAGAATGAGAACGAGTTTGTTCTGCCTAATTTTATACACGAGAGTTACAAAATAGCGGAAAGTAGTGGAATAGACTATTCCGAAGTCGGTACAGAGGGACAGGGCGATGGCGAAGTCGATGGGTGCGAGCGAGAGAGCAAAGCAGATGTGTTGAGTGAAGGTCGGAGTGAAAGCGAGGTGCCGTTAAACATTTGCGCAGACGAGCGAATGCCACCACGGGGAGAACTTAGCGGACAGGAGAGCAATGGAGATATGGAGTCGCCCTGGGGTGGGGTAAGAATAATATATTTTGCCTATATTAGCACCTACAAAGTCCATGAAGTTCCAGTTTTATATTTTAATTAAGTTACATTTAAAATCCTTATTAATATGATGAATTAACAGAGGTATGTATAATACAATACATTATATTAAAATATAAAGTATTATCAATAAGAAAAGATGATGTAATAAAAAATAATAATAAGAAAAGAGAACAATAAATATGTAAAAAGAATTATGACAAAAAGAGAACATAAAAAAAAATAGAAAAAAAGGGAAGATATAATTTATATATACATACAAGTTTGTGGTAATTCCTGGTATGACTGGCTTGGAAACTATTCATTTAAGTTCTTTGTCCATCAAACATACTTTTGCCTATAGAAGCACATAGCAGTGAAACAAAAAACCTTTACAATAGTCACATACTCCTTTTCCCCAGCTTCCTGATAATCACCTGTTCCATTCGTTCCAACAGATTGCATATGAAATGAGTACTATGACAAAATGATTTTGTTTTTAGTGGTCTGTGTGTCTTCGCAGATGTATACAGACGTACCGGCGACGGAGCCGTACGACTTGATCGCAAGAGAGAGTTGGGTCTCGGACGGGTCGGACGTCGACGTCACCGAAAAGAGAGAAACATTGTGAGTAATTATATTAATGCTGATTGCCTGCTTTGATGTTGCAATGGTAGCGTATGCCACTACTGTGCTGAGGTCTTGGGTGCGATTCCCGGGTTTGTCACCAAATGTGACCAAATGTTTGTTTTGAGCTGCAAATATTTGTTTCGGAATTTTGGGTGTTTTCTATGTAAAATATGTATGTATTTACGAAAAAAAATACAAGTATTCTCTCAGTCGTAGTAGACCAGATGGCGTCGTGTGTCAGATATCCGAAAATATTATTATTATTTCTCATTTAATCATAGCTCTCTATTTTTTTTATATCACTCGCCATTCGAATTGTTTTTCTGTAAATAACTTAATGTAACTGTTTTATGCATAAAGTACATACATATAGAATATACCTAATATATTAATATATTTCGGACATCTGACACACAACGCCATCTAGTTTCAAACTAAGCAGAGCTTGTACTATGAAAGCTATATTGACTGATACAAAACTTATATACTTTTTTTTTGTTAAAACATACATATTATACATAGAAAACATCCAAACTCCGTAACATTAATTGGGTTCATAAAACGAAGTCTTATTTGAGAATTTGAATTTTTTTCTTAGTTATTTTTTTTATATTATCAACTTTAAATAATATATGTAAACAAAATATTAAATGAAACTGATTAGACAATAGCCAAGTATGATATTGTTTTATTACTTAAAATTACTATATAATGTACTGTTTTGATATCTGATAACAAGTAGTTCAAACCCAAAATATCTTTATTTCGTAAAAAAATTAAAATTGTTTGAAATCGTCTTTTATGTAGTCTCTTAAAGTCGTCGATCAACACACACACAATAGCAACAATCTCTGTTTTGTCAAATAGTTAGCAAAATAAATTTAATAAATTTATACTTAAGTATACAAAATGCCAATCTCCAACTGCCCGTTTCCAAGGAGTTGAGCCTTATTAGAAGAAAGGGCAAACAAACTCATGGCTACTCTTTAACTTAACAGTAAACGAAAAATAAAAGTGATTCTATTCCTAAATTACCTAGGTGGCAAACAACAAGCAGAGGGAACATGGGGTTCCCACACGGGGGGGGGGGGGGGTCGTCTACCTGTTGTTGTAGATGGCCCGAGGTACGTCGGGGCACCAGGGACTTCCTTTCTAGGGTATACCTGGTTCCCCGGCTATTAGTACCCGAGACGGCGTGCGGTGTTAGTCGGTTCGAGTCCGACATGCCACCGACAGGTGGTATCCGATGGGATTTCCGCACCGAAAAAAAAAAAGGTGGCAAACAACATCCATGGCTCAGCAGCATGGGCAAATTAAATCAAATCAAATCAAATCAAATCAAATCAAATTTATTTTTGCAGAAAACACTGTTACAATGGTTTTATAAATACATAGTTATGTTTCAAGTGATTCTACCTTAAGGCATGCAAAATATATACAATTATTACTTACTAAAATTAAAATCGACATCGAAGTATTTAAATCAAATTAGATTACAGCATTTAAGTATTAAAAATGAATGTAATGTCCTTATTAAAATTACAATGATAAATATTAGTTATTTATTTAATAATAATTAGATTAGTTCTATGTCACTCACTGAATTATTTTGTATTAACAAATTAATTACATTCAAAAGACACACAAAAGGTCTCAGGATTGGAAAGATCATCGTTCAGATAGTCATTCAACTTATAATAACACTTATTAACTAAAAGGGTCTTTAAATGTTTCTTAAATAAAGTAGTATTCATTGCCCTTATTTCTTTAGGTAATTTATTGAAAATTACCGGAGCCATGTGAAACACACTTTTGTGCATTAAAGTGGTATAGGTTCGGCGCATACAGAGGCGAAATTGGTCACGTTGTCGCCTATTATAGACTTCTGAGGCTAATGTAAATAACTTTTGATTTACCTTAACAAATATTGAGACCTCATAAATATACAGGCTTGGGAGAGTTAGAATTTTGTACTCTTTGAAGAATGGTTTACAGGTTTCGATTATTTGAAGCCCAAACATAGCCCTTATGCACCGTTTTTGTGCCTTAAAAATTGAATCAATGTCTGTCGAATTTCCCCAAAAAACCACACCATACCTCAGGACTGAAGCAACTAGACCATGATATGCAGTTAACAAGGTACTAACACTTGAAATTTGTTTTAATTCATGTAGCGCGTACACTGATTTATTAATTTTTTTGCACAGTTCTTCAATCTGTGGTTTCCATTTCAATTTATTATCCAAAGTCAGGCCAAGAAATTTTGTGGTTTGCACTTCAGAAATAGGTTCACCCCTATAATTAATCTGAGGCATAATTGCATTCACACGCTGTTTAAAATGGATAATTTTAGTCTTTCCTATGTTTACTTTCAGATTATTAACGTCCAGCCATTTGATGATTTCATTAAGGGTACTGCTTATATCATGCTCATACGATGTTCTGTCATTGCACCTAATTGCAACGGTGCTGTCGTCAGCAAAGAGTGTCATTGGGTTTGAATTCGCATTTGGAAGGTCATTAATGTATATTATAAAAAGTAATGGACCCAATACACTTCCTTGCGGGACGCCATATTGTATTTTACGTCCGTTTGATAAGTATGTATCCTCCATCTTAGTTCTAATATTAACTCTGTTAATTACTGTGTATTGAGAGCGGTTCCTGAGGTAACATGCAATTAATTTTAAAATGTTGCCTCTTATGCCATATGTCTCAAGCTTATTTAATAAGATGTCATGTACCACGTAATCAAAAGCTTGCGTCATATCCATAAAGATGGCGCAGATCGGTATTCGCTTATCAACGTTGGACGTTACAATTTCTAGAAGTTCATATATAGCAAGATTGATACTTTTGTTCTGTCGAAAACCCTTTTGCTCCTTAGCTAAAATGTTATGGCTTTCGAAATATTTAACCAATTCATTATAAATATATTTTTCAAATATTTTTGAGAAGATTGATATTAGGGCAATAGGTCTATAATTATTCATGTTGTCTTTACTCTCTTTTTTGTGAATCGGTTTAATAATTGCAACTTTTAATTTTTCAGGGTATACACCCGTTTCTATAGACAAGTTTAGAATATAACCAAGAGGTTGGGCAATGCACTCTGTTACTAGCTTAATGGCTTTAGTGCAGATGCCGTCATAACCCACACTATTGGTGTTTTTTACACCTTTTATGATTTGTTTTATATCGTCTGGCAGACACGGTTTCATAAATATTGAGTTAAGTCTAGATGTGAATTTTTATTGAAAAAAATATATAAAGAAATATAAAGTATATAAGTGTGGAACATTCTCTAGAATAGAATTTGCACAATGACATCAAGATGTTGATGATTCCAGATGCTACCTATATTTTTGAAATTTAAAGACTATTTGACCTGTATGTTACAGAGAGGAAGAGCTTCAGTTCCCCAAGTCTTTGTCCCGCGTGTACTCGTGCACGTCATGCGGGATGAAGGCGTCGTCACTGAAGGAGCTGCGCGCGCACAAGTCGTTGGCGCACAGTGTGGCCGCACTGCCAACCTGCTCCGAGACTAAACACACGCCAAAGCACGCGCCTCATACTTACAGCCGCCTCGTCACGGACAGAAAGATTAAGAAGGAGGAGAAATCGCACGATACTAATGCTTTGACTAGTAAGTATTTATATAATGTACATCAGACTTACTGATTTTAACAACTACACACCAATATGACCTTTTACTGCTTTGAAATCTGTACACAAACCTACTGACGCAATAGTGACGCATTGATCAGCCAAGTTTTCGTACGAAACGATAATTTTCTGGAACCTGGTTGGTCAGGGGGCGGGGTTTATAACCCGGCAATCTCGTGCGCGACCGTCCCGCGGGGTAACAGACAGTGGCGGGGGCGAGGTACGTCATTCTAGCACACGGCTACACACGAAGAGAAGCGTTTCCCTTCCCCGCTACACCACCCGCTACCCGCTGACATCTTGAGTACCTCGTCCCCGCCACCGTCTGTCACCCCGCAGGGCGGCCGCGCACGACGTTGATAGACTATAATCGACACGTCACTATTTACTTAACGCGAATGGACTATAGACACCAAAAGTAATTTTTTTTTACATACAATCCATCCATTTTAAAAAAATAGTAAAGGAAATATATAAAAAAACAACTATCATACCTATTTCTTAACGTTCTATGGATTCACCGTGCGGGTGCCGGGTCCATCGCGTGATAGACGGGGGTCAACACATGCGCTTCGACAGCGCTCTGAAATTACCGAGAAGTAGGTTTAGGGAGTACTTGCGATGCGTCATCGCTCAACTCCACTGTCTGCTGTGTTACCCCCTCTGCCTAACCATATGTGATACGAGCCTAGCAATGACGCTTTGAATATTTGTTCAAGAAAAGAGCTTGTTGAAGCTCTTGGCAATCCAAGGTCTTTAAGTAGGTTATAGAGGGATTTAGCTGGTATACCCCTCGCACCAGTTCCACGGCATATAACGCAACGAAATAACCATTATTAAAATCGGTATTTATAATTGAGTAGTGTGAAGTCTTTTTTGTTGAGCCTTCCTTTACAAACTAGATGTTAGTTTTTATGTTTGTTGTTACTTATAGTGACGATAGAGTTATACGACCTCAGTCTAAAAGCGCCTTACAACTTGTCAGTGTGTGCAAGTGCCTGGCTGTACCGTTTCTGCACTACACATCGTACAAGCCTTTTCTGTAGCTTTTCCCCACCTTACTAGGTTGCTTAGATCGGGGAGAGTTAATTTAAAGGCTTTGAGGTAAAATTTTAGTGATCAATTATATAAAAGTGGGCGCAATTTCAAAGCTGGTGGGATACAAAATTTCCTTTTTTTTAACGTGGGGAATGTTTTTCGCACCACATCCTCCGTTAGGGAAACGCAGGGCGTGTGTGGAATTCCTGGAGAACCGGGCTACCCACTATACCCTACGGCGGCCTACCTTGGCAGTCGGGAGGCACGTATCGGCAGCTTCTGGAGTCCTCCCTGCCGTACCCCATGTCTGAGGCACATCCCGGGGTAGTTACCCTGGGGCAGGAAGTTGCCTCGGTTCTAACTGCTCTATACAGTAACAGCGCCCCGCCTTGGACGACTAGCGAGCGAGCGAGCGAGCTAGCGATCTAGCGACCTAGCGACCTAGCGACTTCTTTCGCGTCCCCTTCGCCGCCTCCCTCGAGCGGAATCGGCCCTCTCCCGATCCCGCTCTACCTAGAGTCATCTTGTTGTAGGAAAGATTTGGTTATATCTTTGTCTGTCTGTCTTTTAGCATTGCCCAATCCAACTCTACTGGACTGTATACCCACCACACGACTCGAGCTCTGATAAATTTTTGTCTTTTGGAAGGGATTTAACGATTTCTTCTTGTGATTTTGACAAGACATGCATTTTAGTGACTTAGGTGTTTGTAGAGAGTCTTTTTAATTTCATTTCAAAGTTCTTCAAGACCCTGTACAAAGTTGACGGGTCTGCAGATAGTGCTAGCCTGAGCCACGACTTCAATGTCTTAGTGATTTTAGGGTCTAGTGTTCGTAAATGGTTCTGGTTTATATGTTATACGAGGAATGGCCGTTTGAGACATGATGTTAAGTACTTGCCGTAAATCTACCTTTTCAATGTCCTTTACGAAGTCATCGACTCAAGGGATTTAAAGGGCACGGTTTCTGATATTGTTAAAACACTATCCTCACCAATAGGTAAGCCCGGGATCATATGAGGTATATCTTGTACCTCGCCGGCCCAGACAAAGGCAATAGCATTTGTTAGGTTTTGTCCTCATTCTTTCCGTCCAGGTACAGAAGTCATACACCTTACGCAGTAATTCTTGGCACTGCTTCGGGTTAGATCCGGATCGTGTGAGAATCGCGAGGTCGTCTGCGAATGCTAAGATGGATTCCGTTTATTTTAAATTGACCTTAAACCGGTAGTTCCACCTCTTTTCTATTAATTATGTCTATTTAATTTTAAAAAACTATCTTAATTTTTTTACCCATACAGGCAGAATTGTTGTTCTATCGTCGTCACCAATATGTCGTAACCCATTTTAATTTTTGCAATATTGCAATAATATAGGCCTTTACTATCAAAGTGATGTATTGCCGAATGACCAAAATGGCGTCTAGCATTGTTATCAATTTACGCGGGTAAATATTTAAACAGTATCGACCAGCATCATCATCAGCCTATCGCACTCCACTGCTGGACATAGGCCTCTCCCGTTGCACGCCATTTCGATCGATTTTCCTGCCAGCCATTTTGCGCAGATCGTCATTCCACCTGGCCTGTGGGCGTCCTACACTACCTTTGTCTAGACGCGGTCCAGCATGCTTGTGGTTAATTTGAATTACCATCTACTTCAGAAACGGTATACTATCAGACGAAATAGAATGTTTAAAGTGTTAATTTTTTTGCAGATAATCTTCTAGCAATAGACACAAAAGAACCCATCACATCAACCATCCTTCAAGTGTATGACACTTTGGAGGAGGCCAAGCCGAAGCTCGAAGGTCTGATCAAGATTAAGCAGGAAACGAAGCGGAGAAGGAAAGACTACATCTGTCCTACATGTAAGGTGGATCAGGGAAGTGATGCAGCGTTCAATGCTCATCTCAAGATACACCCGTTAGAATGTTTGACCTGTGGGAAATGCTTCTTCAGAAGGGCGAATTTAGCACTGCATATGAAGATGCATTTAGGTATTAGGAATTTTAAGTGAGTGTTGAGTATCCTCTTTAAATATAAATATTTGAAACACATTCGAATTGAACCAATTTAACAATTTAATGAATTTTAACCAATCACAAATTGGTCCAGTTAATAATCTTTTAAAAACATATTACTGACTTCTATGCACATTCATCAAATATTTCATTCATCAATCATTTATTTTCTTATTTACCAGCAGTTAGGGGTTGTATTTTTTCTTCTAACAAACGGAAAGTATGCAAAAAAAAAGAATTTTAAAATTCTAAAATTCTTTTTTTTGAAGTACTTCTAGTTTTAGACAGAATATAAATATAGATCCTTTTTGATTGCTTATCATTAGATATCAGGTTTGCTGTTTTTAAGTACTTTTATTTGCTCTGCTGTGTATACATATAACTCACCTGTGTATCAACAAAGAGGTAGTCAGAGATTTATTATGTAGCTCCAGGTGTACGCAATATGTATTGTATACACCAATCTGCAGATATTCTACTTCAGCGATCCAATCTTATACACAATGCTTTTAATCCACAGATGTGACGTGTGCGAGAAGCGGTTTATAACGCGACAGAAGTTGATGGAGCATCACAACGTGCACACGGGCCGGCAGCCAGTCAAATGCACCATTTGTGACGACACCTTCCGGAGATATTCCAACATGGTTCAACATAGGTATGTTACGACTCCTATTTAATAGTTGAAATTAGTGATGTGCCGGATATCCGTATCCGTATCCGTATCCGCGGATATCCAAGGGAGAAGAGAGATCCGTAACCGTATCCGTATCCGTGACTTTTTTGGCGGATCTTTCAATACATATTACATAGATGAAATTCTATATAGGTGATTTTGTATTCACTGTAAAACTCTTAGGTATGTGTTTGTAACACTATAAACAGCAACTTTTTTTCTGGCCAACTTCAAAATAAAAAAAATTGGTCCTCCATTCAAATGACCAATCAAATGTTGTTAGTTTATATGGAGAAACAATTTTTTTTCTTTCGATTTCGGTGTTAGTCCAGAAGAAAAGTTGTTGTTTATAATGTTACTAATATGCACTTCAGAGGTTTTCAGTAAATTTAAAATAACCCTGAATAATTGTTATTAGGTAGCTATGAAAAACTATTGAATTCTGTTCAGAATACTTTTTATTTCTTAAAACAAATATTTGGCACCTTTGTATTGCAATCATTTATCGTACTACACTAAATCAACTAGGCAGGTCGTAGGTACTGAAAGAGCTATCTTTATAATGAGATCAATCAAACATCTTTGTATTAGCTTATTAAAATAATGAAATATTTAAATATCAACGGCAAAGCGTCAAGTGGCGACAACTATCAAGGTCACGGGCTCCAATTGAGTAAGAAACTCAAGATCCGTATCCGTATCCGCGGATCTTGACACCAAATATCCGTATTCGGATCCGTATCCGCGGATATACTTTGTTAACGATCCGGCACATCACTAGTTGAAATGGCTACTCCAGTGCGCTTTTTTATCTTATAATTTACAATCGAGCAGACTGATCATTTGCAGGTAAGTGACTACCTGCGCCTCGAGAGTCCAACTGCATAGCCAACCTTTGAGTCTATCCCACATGGTCAGAGGGAGGGAGAGAGAGACGGGCCTCCCGTAACCTGATTCCCTCGGTTCATTGTTCCTTTTCACATTAACACTAAACATTGCACAGAGTTCGCATGTGTTCCAGAAAATACGACTACCTACATTGTAGGAAAATAACAATAAAATTGAACTGATTACATTATCAGTGGTTATGCTCTGTTTTAATGATATTAAATGTGCCCTAGAAAAAACATGGTTGAATTTAATTTGAGTAACATTGTGCGATGTCCGTGGGACACAATGATCCTGTGATCAAGATAGTGGATTCTGTCTGGGAAGTCATATATATTCCACTCATTACGGGAACTTGTTACGAGGTGCAGAATTAGTAATGACTGTAGTTCGGTGTGTCTTCGGTAGATGGCACTAGAACATTTCAATTGGTTGGTGTAACTTGTTTTCACTAACAAGTGACACCAACCTTTTCAAGTGAATAATGGTTGTGCAATGTTCGTGGCAGAGACCGGCACCACCTGCAGAAGCGTGCCAAGGTGCGCGACTTCGTGTGTCCGTGCGGCGCCGTGTTCCACTCCCGCGCCAAGCTGCTCTGGCACAAAGAGACGCACGACGACAAGCCCAAGGCGTGCCACTACTGCAGTGACAAGTTCGTGCACGCCAGCTCGCTCACAAGGCACATTCGTCGCACGCACAACGAGTACTTCCTCTCCGCCAAGCACAAAACCAAGGGAGAGAACGTCACGTGTCCCGTATGCAAACAGGTCAGACTCGTACCTTGCGTATCCAGTATTTATATTCATATCTAAATAAATTTTGCCCTTTTGAATTTCGAGTACAACACGCTAGAAGTTTTTAATTTATTTTTAATAATTTTGCTGCCTCGAGTTATAAAAAGTACCTAACGTGTTCGTATTGAAAACCCGTTCTCGATATAATAATGTAATCTACCTAGTAAATACGTTATGTATCTTTCTTTATCTGTAACATTCGTTCGTTGCGTCGGTACGTATAGTAAGTGTATATAAATACAGAGCTATGCCTGTGCAGGTGTACCTGCGCGCGAACCTGCGCGCGCACCTGAGCACGCACAGCGGCGCGCGGCCGTTCCCGTGCGTGGTGTGCAACAAGTCGTTCACGACCAAGTGGAACCTGAAGCTGCACCGCTGGACGCACATGTCGCGCTCGGCCAAGCCGTACAAGTGCGCGCTGTGCGCAGGCGCCTTCGTGCGCCACTCCGAGTTCGTGTCGCACATGAACGCGCACAAGTGCGTGCGGCCCTACACCTGCAACTACTGCGGCTGCCAGTTCATCCGCAAGTACAACTGCCAGCGCCACGTGCGCGAGCACGAGACGGGCAAGAAGTTCGTCTGCAAGGTCCCCGAGTGCGGCAAGTCCTTCCACCGGAGCTACTACCTCTCCGAGCACATGAAGGTGCACAGCGGGGCTCGCCCCTTCTCCTGCAACATCTGCGGCAAGACCTCCAGCAACAAGTCCAATCACAACAAACACATCAAGATACACCACGCGCGCGAGCCCGTCGCTACCGAGGCGTAAGGCAGAGCGGGGCGTTGTTGCGGTGTGACACCTCCTTTATTAGCAGCGCATGCACTGACGCTAGTTAACTAATATGACCTTTGACTAGAGGAGTTGAGGTACATATATCCTGTCGGTGTATCGAGTGATGAAATTATCGGTTTTGCATACGCTCCTACATAGAACGGTGGCATCACAATATTTTTATGCAAGAAAAAAAAATGTGTCGCAGCAACGCCTCCGACGTCCCGCCGATGTAAATACTAGTTAAATTTAAATTTTATTGTAATTGTTGTAAATACAGGACCAAGCGTGTGTACATTGGGGTTGGAGTTATAATGCGAACTGCATTTCGGAGTTTAAAAAGTGCCGCACGATAAATTGTACAATGGTCGAAAAGTGATACGGTTCCTTCGACATTATTTATGATAGTCTTAGATATACGATCGTTATTTATCTCAGAGATCGTTAGAGAATCTTCTTATAAAAATCGATTGGTTGTGATTTTTAGCTATTGATTGAACGATGTATCACCTGTGTCAAGCAATATTTAAAATTAGAATGTTACTGTTTAGGAATATATGTGATAGATCCGTGTAAAGTTTATCGTGCGTCTCCTATATGAATTAGTCAAATTAATAAATGGGCATTTCGGTATAGGTACCCCGCTACACTGTGTGTAATTTTCTACTTATTTTTTTTTATATTGTCTTAATGCTTCCATTTTTAAAGTTCGTTAGGGCTGTGTCTTACTACGTTAGAATCATTAGGCATGTAAGTTCGAATGTTTGAATTTTGTTCGATTGTTTAATTCTTTTTTCTTTAATAAGACGACTCGCGCACTAGGTATGATTCCTATGTCGCTGGGGACTTTACAAACTTTTGAAAAACGGTCACAATGGACACCCTAACTCGAGACAAATATTTGTGTAACACACGAACGAACCCACAATAGTCGGCGTGTGTTAATGACAAGGTGACCACTTTAACCATTGCGCCAGTGCGTCAAATGATTAAATATTTTATTTTTACCTAGCTTTTAAAGCTATACAATGAAAAACGGAAGTCTATGTTCATCATCATCATCAACAGCCTTTAATAGTCCACTGCTGGACATAAACCTCTCCTTAGAAAGGAGCTTATGTTACTCTCTGATAATGTGGTTTAGGCGTGAAAGCGTTACAAACAAACAGAAAAACAAACACACTTTCACATTTATAAGTATGGATAAATCTGTATGTTGGCAAATTTGCAAGGAGATTGAATTTTCAAATAAGTTTTTACAGCCATGTATGTGATTAGATTATATTAACACAATTTAAGAGTAAATTACTAACAATATTTTTAGATTACAGGTATGTATTATTTTTTGTGTTTAGACTATTTTTTTAAGTAAATTATTAAAATAATGGTACACTGCCAATTAATAGTTTATAATAGCTTTACATTATTTAAATTGTTTGTATGAAAAATGGTTGTAAATTTAGTTTCTATAATAGTATAAACACATCCCTAGCGAACTGTAACATATAACTTTAAACTTTAGTCAAATTGACATCCCTAAGGGAATACTAAAAACTCATCTTCAAAGTATTTTAATATTTACATTATTTAAGTTACTTTTGTAAATAGTTAATACATTTAATTTATTCTTATTACACTTTTGTACTGTTGTTATTCAGGTTCTCTTTATTTGCGTAAGAAGCGACATTCGTGTGTGTTCAGAAACAACTCTAATGTGAAGTAAGTTTTGTTTTCTTTTTGAATAACTAGCTTTAAGAGCTAGGATAAGCTCCGTTCGATTGTGGTGGTCCCTCAATATATATATAAAAAAAGAATAGAACGCTGAGAACATCGGCGGTGTTCATAAGCATTGGGCGGGAACTTTTGATTTTCGTAATTTTTTTTTGAGCTTTTGCAACTTTTACGACAAAACAGGGAAACCAATATTCGTCTTAAAATATCCAATGTAATTATATTTATTTAAAGGTCCTGTGTCAAGGTGTCCGATATTGTAGGTACTGATGACCAAAAACAAAACAAAAATCTGCTAACAAAACACCCTTTTTCTTGCGTCCTAATCTCGTGTCTTGTGTGTGTGTGTGTGTGTGTGGAAAGTGTATTACATGTAAAACACTTCCGCTAATTTTTTGCGAGTTCCCTTAACTTGTTCTAGAACCATTATTTTGTTCAAAGTAATTCTCCATCTCTATGACAGGATAAATAGCAGTGATTTAAAACTAAATCGTAATGAACCAAAAGGTGTTTCTAATAAAATAAAAAACACATCACGAGTGTCGCGCTGGTAAACTTTATTTTGATGTATTTTTATATTAGTTTCGCATATATTTATTTAAATATTTGTTCGGTATTTCGATAAATTAAAAAAAAAAGTGCAATCACAAGCATTTGTTGTTGACTTATTGATGTTAATATCTTAGGATATGCGTTTTGATCGTGGTTGATATACTGTAAGACTAGAAATCTATAAAGGTACATTATTAGTAAAAATAAACGAAATATAAAAGATTAATATCGTTAAAAGGGACGGAAATGTGTAACAGGTGCTCGTTCTCCGCAAATATGATTTGACCAATGAGAGCGCGGTGTCAGAGGGTACACATCATTTGCGACTACTATAAGGGTCGCTCGTTTTTTATACTTTTAATGTCTGTACCTTAGAGATGAAGGGTAATAATGAGTCGTTGATTGTTTTATATAATACATTATTAGATGTTGTTTATAAAATGTTATTATTTTTAAATTATAACCATTTTTCTCCAAGGTACGGATTTATATTGCCATAATAAAAAAATACTCGTTCCATCCAATTCCATCGGATTGTTGATGTTAATAATTTGACTCGCCTTTGACTTTGTTGCTTGTTTTAATAGGTCGAATAATATGCATCTAGTGCCTTCGTTAATAGTTCAAAAAAGGTATGAAACTTTTTTTAAGGCCGATATCACTTCCATCGGCTAATTCTAAATAAGTTTTTCTGCTAAAAATAATGGAAAAGAAATGATTTTTAATTCTCAAAATGAAGATTCTGTTCTTGTTAGTTGAAAAAAAATTCTGCCATTATCAACCATGATCACAGCAGGTATTGTGGTGTCTCCAGAAACAATATTTTTAAATTTGTGATATCAATGTCAACAATTTGTTTGCGAATGTAGCTATATTTTTATATTTTGATATAACTTTCTGATATGAATCACACCAGCTGTGTTCATTATAAGCTCAGCTTCGACTCGAGAATCGAGACAAAGTTTTGGAATGGATCTCCTCAAATACAAATACTTTTAAATTCGAAACATGCTTTATAAAGAAAAAAGTTTATAATCAGAAGGTCAATATAAGTTGTTTTTTTTTTTAATACAACGCCCGCACTATGGATATATCCTGTGTCGCGGGGGACTACAAACACACATGAAACGGACACAAGGAACACCCAGACTCAAAAGACATTTTGTGGATCACAAAAAGTGTCGTCCCATATGGGGATCGAACTCGCAACACTCGGCGTTGTAGGAAACGTGGCGACCGCCTAAACTACTACGTCATTCGCGCAGTCTGTCAAATTGATAGTGTATTCTTTTTCTTTTTGTAAAATCTGTAACATACACCTTTCTTTTAGTTTTTTTTTTGCGCTAATGCACATACGTCTAACCATTTTGCATTCAATATTATGAAACCATATAAATAAATAAATATCCTGATGCATCATCGGTTTGTTAATAAACTCAAGACATGCGTAATTTTTACATGATACCTTTTATGAAGCATGCAGAGGGTTAGTCCGGCTGTTGGCGTGGCTACGCGCCGCCACGCTATGTACCTTGTAATGCGGTGAGGCAAAGCGTCGCTATGCGTATGTGACTCTGCGAAAAGAACAATTGAAAAAAATATATCCTACCTATATTAATTATGTCTCCAAAATAATTTCGATGTTTTGCATTTTCCAGGCGTCCCGTCAAAGCTGTTTTTTTTTTAAGTGGATACATTTCAAAATTTGTATAAGATTTGTACTGTGAGTTTAAAGTGCTGAGCTCTAAAACGATTACCGTATATATATTTTTACACATAAAACAATGATCTCGTATTTTATAAACACAATGTCAAACAAATTGATGTTTTTTTTAAAATCGTTTGCAGATTAAGGTGACGGCTTGAAATAGTAGTCCAGTGGGATAATTATTGTCCTAATTTAAAACAATTAATTTATCGTTTCAAGCTGGCGTCTTAAGATAACCACGTTACGTATGTTCGACTTCGATGGTTAAACTGGTTATAATATTAATACTGGCAACCCTAAGCAACAGTGTTTGTGATGTAAAAGAGGTTGATCTATGTATTTTTTTTTTTCATATGTTGGGTAGTAAGTAGTCGAATATATGTGACGAGGAATAGAACGACGTACATAGACGTAATCTTGCTCTTAACTCAGTTATTAGAAGAATTTGGTTATTTATTTTATTTGTCTAAGTTGTTGGTTTACTTGTACATAATTTAGGTAATTTTGTAATTTCAACACGTGGGTGGTACACCAAATTCGGTTCAGCGGGGTCACTGAACTGAACAGTTTGTATCTGCAATAAATTATATTAAGAACTTATAGTTTTGTCACATTTATTTAATGGTACCTATATTCGTTTCTCCGATAAAGAAGATAGTTCTCAATTGTAGTCATTCGCGTTAAGGAAATAGTGACGCATCGATCCAGTCCCGCATCTTGACCAATCAGGTTCCAAGCTTTCCTACGAAACGATAATTTCTTGTGTGCGTTACCCCAGCAAAATAATGTCGAAAATGGTCATTTAAACGTTATAGATAATTAGTTGCTCCCCTTCTGTAATTGTTAAGCACATTTTTAAATTTGTTTCTCTTAAACTTTTTTAGTTATTTCAAAAAAACATTTCCTGCTGGGGTAACGTTTGAAACGTTACCGCAGCCAGACATTTTCTTTTTTAATTGTAATATTGAAATAAATTTTAGCTAAATAATTAGTTATCTGGACTAGG